TTGCACCGCTCCAGGACAACACTGGGCAAGTGCCTACCTGTGCCAATGCCGAATTGCTTCTGACACATTCAATCGGCAAGATGGGGAGATGAGTGTCCAGGGCTTCCTGCCACTTCTACCTCCGATAATCACGTGTGCCTCCCTTTCATTTACTTTGTTTTACGCAACACTCGTCTTCATTCTTCCTTTGACTTTAGATGTCAATCCAGCCACTTTGATTCACACATTCTATTTCTGCTGATGAGCAAGATGTTTCATTTACACATCCGTTGCGTTTCTTTTCTCCAAATAATTCACATAGCTGGCTTGTGCAACTAATCTGGGAAGTTGATCGAAGTGCTTCAAATGCTTGGAGACAACCCTCCTCGTGGCCGTTTGCGCGTCCTAATCCATCAATACATGACACCGAGAAATATTCAGTGTCCGATTTCTCCGACATCTCATAACATTGGACTCACGTAGGTTGCCTTTGGTAGTGCTTAGGAGAAAATCCGAATAAGTTTGCTTCAGTGTACCGTCTAACAAAGTTTTCCAGTCACTCTCAGAAGGGCATATGCACTTCCGAACCCGAGCTTCGAGCCTGACACAATCTCTTCAGGCTTCTTTCTTCGATCGAGTAGATCATTGCCCACAGATCAGCGTCACAACTGCACACTCTTCCCTAAACCGTCAGCCGTGCCTGTTTTCATTGGTTCATTAAAGCAAGACAAGAGACTGGGCATCAGAAAATCTCGCACAATGACCTGGGAACTGATTGGACCGTGGCTGTGGCAGGCTAATGCAGAAATCGACAAGATCGACATTGACCCCGAGAACAAAGTTTGAGCCTGGAAATTGGCTGGCTGGATGAATGTGGCAGCCACCAGTTGTGTGGCGCGACATTGGAGGTCGGCAGTCCTTTTCCCTCTATTTCCAGCTCGAGTATATACCTTGAAGCTTCTTGACCTTCGAACGATCTCATGGAGTAAGCCTGGGGTCATGGCGACTTGGGCCACAACAGGCGCCCCTGGCGCCAGAGATTTGTGCTGGCCAATTCAGAAATGCGTGCCATCTATTGCATTCGTTGATACCCCTCAGCCACCTTTCCTGAGCTAGACAATGCAAGCTGCCAATAAATCCGTGCCTTTTTGATGGCCTTCCAACCGGCCGGTGTCGCCGGCCTAGTCTCCGTCGTGGATCTGGGAGAGATCGACATTCCGGGGCATCCACTCTCGGGAGGATTCATCAGATGAGATGGCACATCAGCCACAGACAACCCTCACAAAGATCATGTGTCGCATTAGCTTTGTGACCGGCATCTACAGGAAGTCATACACAGCTCTAAGTCGGAGTTCGACATGCCAGTGACCCGTGTGACCCCCTCATGAAAAGATCGGTTGATTAGACTATCACTCATGACGCTCTCAACTGCGATACAAGGACAATTCGGAAAAGACGTTGATAATTTCTCTAACTACTGTTCATCTGTCGCCTACAATCAACCAGCAGCCTTCAAGCCTCCATTGAGCATCCAACGAGGCACCTTCTTGACCTGGTCGGTATTGAGTCCGCTACGAGGGAGATCGAACACTTCCTTGAGATATAACTGTGTTGACACACAATAATTGCCAAAGAGAATATTTCGGACAACTCTTCCAGAAAAGTAGTCTACTGTCCATCTTGATACGGACCCCTTGGCTGCTCGGCCGAAAAGGGGGGAGTTGATGATTACCACACTGTTGCTGTGCATCCGCACAGTGAAAAGTAAGGAGTAAGGAGCAGTACTACCATCTGCGGCAAGCTATTTTCGGAGTTTTATGACCAGGTACATCAGCTGCAAAGTACATGCAGGAAGATTTTTCAAGGCTGCCACAAGGGACCCTTGATCTACAGAGTACGAGTACATTCGTCAAAATATGCCCGCGGTTGGCAAAGTACGAACACGCAGTGACACATACACCGAATTCTTCAACCCTACTAGCTGGGCATAACCATCATATCTCACAATCTTTGGTATCACTCTCTAGCATCCATTTGAGCAAAATACTGCGCGAATGTGCAGCGAGCAAGCCGCGCGTACAAAGCCAAACATCTCGTATATGGTTACAGGCAGAGCATTGCGTGTCATGACAGTGATGATATGCAAATAACTCCTGTTATGAAATAGAAGGACCAAGCCTACATCCTTTCTACTGGCTGCTTATGGTCCAATTCTGTCACAATACACCAGAGCGACAGATTGACTGATTATGGGAATACATATCGCTGAGTCTTACCGCCAAATCTAGTGTCAGAATCGACCAGCCTCTCCTTTGGCATGCAGCAACACTAGCCAGCCTCAAAATAAGATATCATGCAGCCACATGGGGGATTGATCCCGTTCCTCTGCCCGTTCCCGGCACCCTTGCAGAATTAAGAGCAAAATTCAGCAATTCCCGCTGCTATACAGTAGCATGTGAAAAAAAACCGCAAGGACAGAGAAGAAGGTAGAACGACATATGGGATAAAGGACGCGGCACTGTTGCCACTGAGAAGCTTGGCCGGAGCTTTGCTTTGTCGTCTTGTCAAAGTGCATTCCGTCTCCCCCCTGTCGATTTCTGTCTTACTTCGGGCTCAATATCCGGTGAGCCACACCCACTGAAAGCGTGAGTTTTCTCTTTCGCGTGCAGTGTTATAGACACCCCCATACAGAGGCTCCGCACACCAGCCACGCTGCAGTGCTTTCTCAATAGCGTCCAAACCCCAGCATGCAATCCAGACGCGCAGCTTCACTCGCCACAGTCAAAGGAAATCAGCTTTCTCTGCTGATCAGCACTGGGCTGGAGCGTTGGGCAGACGGAACGTGGTCAGGCATTGAGTGCCACAAAACAGAAGGAAGAAAGAAAAACATTGGATGTGGTTCTTTTGGCCCCCTAGCCGTCCGCGCCGCAAGGCCCCAACAGAGACCCGATCACCAGACAAAAAAACAGATCACAGATGTCTTTTGCCGATGGCTGTCAGCAAAGAGCAGCGAAACGATCGCCCCCTCGCCGCGACTAATGCATGGCATCGAGCATGTCTCCCACCAGCGACACGGTGTGCGCCCACATGAGCCAAGAAGGGGGGCCGAGACAGAGCTTGCGAAAACAGTCGGGAGTCCACATCCATTGATCCATTTACTGTGTCGGCTGCTAGGCGACTTGTCGTGCGCTATTTTCTCCTCTCGGGTCTGGCTTGACCCAACGGTGAGCGAAGACGGACACGCACAGCTGATTCGCCGGTTCGCTAACTCGTCGACTGGGTAATAAAACTCGTGCGTGATGCCTCGCATACACGCAGCACACCACAAATTAACCGCCGCTCGCTCTTTGTCTTTGAGCAAAGCCACAAGGTGGCGAGTACTTTGTAGCCTCTTGCTCGACGATAGGGCGCCCACCCGGTTCTCGACCGCGCTCTAGCTTCCCGCTTCCAGTGTGGAATTCTGGACTTGATAGACAGCGGCCCTCATCTCGATCCGCACCAGGTACGAATATCATATATTGGTCCGTCCTCTTCGGTATGGAGTACCAAGCATTTGGTGGATGCAACAGCCTCCATGCAAATGTCCAAATTTAGCATCGTGGCAATCCACATGGTTCTCAATGCCGTAACTGATCTTCGGTGGGTACACGTGTAGAAACACCAGGTTCAAGACCACAACCATCCTTTTGCAATTTTAAACGCTCTTGCTTCTTTATTGCAGAAGCCCTCGAGGATAAGGGAGATGGCATCGTCGGTATACAGCTTTATTGTGTCGCATACTCCTGCCCCCTTGGCGGAGCACGGCACTCCATTGAACGGCTCGAGGCCCTTGCAAAGGACGATGTGACCCATGCCAAAGATTGCCACGGCGCACAAGCTAGTGGTGTTACGACGTTGAGAAGCGGCCCAGTCACTTCGAGCCTTTCCACCAAGCAGGAGAAGCACTGGGCGATACAGGAATATGACACGCATATATTGCTGCTCCACGCCGCATTGCTCCAAAAGCAGGTACTCTGTACCCCGTACGAGCACTCGTACGTGCAAAGCTTTTTCGACAGTCTCCTTTTTTGCTGAACTGGGGAGAGGATCCTGGCGGCGCTCAACATCCATACTAGTGACGTTGAGCTAGTGCCTGTACGAGGTAGGCTGTTCTCCATATATGCCCAACGTTCCGGGGCTCATTGGGCTTTGCTTTTTCTCGCGTGGACGAAGCAATATCTGTACTGTACAGGTACGGGTACGGGTACTACACGTGTGTCAAACTGCATATTCCACCACGCTCCTTGTGGACATCCAGGGGCGGAGCTTCCCAACAAGGAAAATAAGTAAACAACCAACTTGGGATTCATTCAAGTAAAAACAAATTCAATGCCATTGTCTGCGTGATGCATATGTAGTCATATTCCCATTAGGCGATGCATGTCCTGGCCTAGAGCCTTCTTCCCGTAGCGTGTATATCATATGTCGACATCCCATGTCCTCTCACCCATTGTAATACCCAGACCAAGAGGTGAGACCCTCCCGTAAAAAAAAAAAAAAAAAAGAAAGAAAACGAAATTACTCGTGTGCTATATCCTAGCTAAATGCGTGTACGGCCGGATCCAAACCACCCTATGAAATCGAAGAAAGAAGAATAAGAAAAAGACGGGAAAGAAAAAGTGAGAGAGAGAGAGAGAGAAGAAGAAGAAGGAGATCGGTTGTCAAATGGTAATGATCCGGTTGGGGGTATTCGAATGTAACAGAAGCAACCAGATATTGTGAGCCCAATCCCGTCCAGCAGAATGGGGGTATGTAGACGACGCCGCAACCGACCCACAGCTCCAGGTAAAGATGGGTATGTAATCGCAACGTGGTAAATCCAAGGCGCCTTGGTATCTTTGAAATTATCATCAACACCTTCCAACTCCAGCAAAGAATGTCCCTCTTTCATGCCCGCCTCGCTCGAATTACTGGGGTTCCTGAAAGAGATGGAAAACAAAATTAGAACAACAAGGATATGCGCCATCGTAGCCGCAGTATCTCTAGAAAAGGAGCCGGAGAGCCAGGCCTGTCGGGATGGCAGCAGGACCTTCGGGTCCGTCGTCAATGGACATCTCCCAATCTCGTTTGATGCTTGGCTGTTCAACCACATCCTCAATCTCTAGCTGCATGTCCTGGCCTTCCCTCAACTCCTGGACGAAGTCGTCGTCTATTTCGATCTCGATACCGGCCGGCTTCGTCACATGAATGGTGCGAACTATGAGAGATGCGTCGAGTCCCCACTTGGCGGCGATCCGGCCGTTGAGTTCCCGGAGCGTGCGCGATGAAAGATAGATGGCCCTGTGGTACTCCTTCTTTCCTGCCTCTGCCCTTCCCGAATAAGCAATGTAGAAGCAAGCCACCGGTTTGGCTGGCCGCTCAGGCGGAGGTCGATAAGTCGGGTCGACACCTAGAGCCTCGATCCATCCACTTAAAGTTCCGTCTTCCTCCGTTTTGCTGATCGTAGTGGGGTTTTCAACCCTCTTGACTCCAGTAGAATCAAAATTCTGCCACTGCAATCCGGGGCCAATGGCAGATGCTTGAGATGCTAGAGAGAGTGAGCTTGGGGAGGGGGACACCAACGAGCCGGCAACGGAGCTGTGTGTGCTACGAGCCTGCCAATTGCTCCCTTCACGCAAAAAGTCTGCCTTGCCCGGCAATGATTCGCCCTGTAGCGATACAGGATGCAGGTCGGGGTCGTCGAGTTCATCGCCCCGTAGATACAAAACACTCACGGGCCGCGTGCTCGTGAACATATCTTGAAGTGTCTGCAACTTGAAATGCAAATCATCCTCCAATGTCAAGCGGGGGGCTGTACCACCAGCAGAGCTGGCCGAGGACATGGACCAAGTTCTCTTGTGCTTGTGCTTGGCGGGTATTCCTCCCTTTGCCACAGCTCCCGATCTCTTCCGTTTGAATTCCTTCATCCCACTCTCAGCTTGCGCAATCTGCTGTTTGAGCTTGTCAATCGACTTCTTCACATGGGCAACATCGTTGGAGAGCTTTCGTTCAGCGCCGTGGTCCCTAAACAGCTTGACTTTGCAATAGCATGTCTCAGGGGCTGCATCTGGAGGCGACGGTAACTGATCCGAACAGAAAATGCTGGTCTTGGCACAGAGGCGTACAGGAATGCCCTTGACACCTTTCGAGTGGCTGAAGTCGGTCGAGAGAAAGTTGAAGCGGACAGGGATGTTGACTTCGGCGGCACCATTCAAACCGGGCGTCCATACGACGGAGAAGCCGTCAAACGACGAAGATTCCAGCTCAACCCGCGTTCTCTTGTCATCGCCTTCGGCGGGTTGGCCAGCTTCGACGTACTCGACAGCTTGTAAACGACCACCTCTTTGATGAGCCTCGTTTGTTCCCCTGCCCTCTTTCCACAAGCTCCAGCAAATGCCTGGTTTCTGTCGCTGCTGCTCGTCTTCAAAGGATATGCGCACGTATGTCCTGTATCTAGTACCAGGGCTGATAGGGACTGCTGTGCCTGTGTCGACGATGGATAACGTATAGGCTTGCCCCTTGTTCAAGTAAGTCACTGGGATCTCAGTGGAATGCTTTACCATAGCTGTAGGGGCATTCAGCGTTGAGTGAAATCGAAATTTCTCAGCAGATGCGGGGAGAGGATGGGAGATTGGAATTCCTATTAGCTGCTGCGGGTGCAGCGCAGAGGCAATCGTCGGGATTCGTTCCTCTGACGGATCCGAGTCCATTGGAGATCCATCATGGTCCATCGTCTCGTAACCCGTATCGTGATGTACGAACTCGGTCGGTACGCCGGTTTGTACGAAAGCTTGCTGCGGGTGTGGTGCCTGGACGAAGGCCTCATAGGGGGCGATCGGAAGTGTATCTATTGTAGGGAATCCTGCCAAGTTGGGAACTTCAATGCTTGGCTGGATGATGTCGAGTGTCGTCGGTATCGATAGGGGGGTTTCTAAGCCAGTGGTTATAGCCATTGCGGAAGAGGGCACTATCTCAACTGCATGAGGAGGAAGCAAGGTGCCTGATCCTCCAGGTGTAGGAGGATAGTATGCTTGATGACCTGGGACTCCTGTCACGCCTGGAATGCCTGGAACGCCAGCAACACTTGTAACGTTGGCAACGCCTGGTGTGAGAGAATTGAAGGTAAAGGCATTGGCATCGAGGAGTGAGGGTGTAAATCGCCAAGGATCATTAACAGCTCGCGGCGTAGGGTCCATGTCTCGAAAGGCTGCAGTTTCGATATGTGCTCTATCGTGTTCCTAGTTAGCACTCAAGAGAACTGGGTCGTTATAGACAGAAGGTCGGAGTAGCCAAGCATAGCTTGACCCTGATGCGCTGGCTTTTGATCAGGAGGAAGCTCAACCTACCTCTCATTGACTGGTGCATTGATGATGGGTTGAAAGACGGCAGTGGTTGCCTGAGAGATGGCAGGGGCGGCAGACTCTGTGACTCCGGCAGAGACCTCGGGGAACTGCTGTCTGAAGTCTGCCAATAACTCATCATCAGGCTTCCGCGCGCTCGTTCTACAAGTATCAAACTACGTTAGTATATCAAAGTTGGCAAGGCAAAAGCTAGGGAGGTATGGGGTCGAGGCTGCGCAGTTTTTCTTTATCAGGCAAGATCCACCTCTGCAAAGCCGCTGGAGCCGTATCAAGCTGATTCGGAGATGCGAGGATAGCACAGGCCGCGGAGAGACGGGGACAGTGTACTCTCGATGAGCAATACGGAACAGATAAAAGGCGCCTCACCTTGAACGAAACATGTTTGCGGCGATCCGAAGCGCCTGTGTGCCCCCGAGACGCTTATCGAGATTCAAAAAGAGCCCAAGAGAAGTGTGCGAAATTCAATCCAGCCTGGTTCTGTTGGTCCTGTCTTTTCACGCAAAGATGATACTCCTGTTTGCCTCTTACGTGTCGTCGCAGCGTACAGGCGGTCGAGCTACTGATGGAGAGAGTAGTGCGATAAGCCGCATAAGACACTTGTTAGAGGCGAGAGGGTAGGCTATGGCTCTCAAAGGGCAGCAAAACCGGGGAGCTGAAGCTGGGCGTGACCGCGATGCTCATTCACCACCTCGGAGAGTTGTCCGCCGCTGTAAGCGCAATGCCGGTGACACGAAGGCGCCCTTGAAACCGTTGGCAGCTCTCAAAAGCCCGGGCCGCCAATCTGGCAAGGCTTGTAAGTCGTCTCCTTGTCGGATTTGCAGCGCGCGGGACGGAACGAGGGGATGGAGCGACGGGGACGTTAAAACGGGAGAAACGATGGTACGAAGTGAAGAGAAGAAAAAGTATGATCAAACGGGCGAGCAAAAGAGATGTTGCCTCGAAGGCCCCGTCGGCTGGTGATGGAGGCGCTGGGTCGGGTGTATATTAATTAGAGACGCAACTGGCGGCGGGGCCAAGCTTTCGATCTGGTCGCTTTTTCCCCTAGTAAGAGCTGGCCTGATGTTCTGGACCGTCTTAGGCGTGGAGCCCCTGTGCTGTGCTTGTCTCGCAACGCTGTGGCTCGCCCTTGTCCCCTGCTGTGGCTCCGTGCTTTGGGGGTGCCGTGGTTGGCCTTGGGGGGGATCTTTGTTTTTTTTTTCTCGCAGCGGTGCTCGAGGATTTCTGGTGTGCTGGGGGGAGGGGGGTGGTGCCGCCATTGAGGGCTGCATGGGGCAGATGCGACAGCGGATCGAAAAGTCAGTGGTGAATCGGCACACCCCGAGGAGCGTTCTTAGGTTCATGGGCAGTAGCTTTATGCAGTGCTAGTCCCAGGTAGTAGCGCTGTCGATGGAGAATTTTCGCTGGGGCCGTAGCAGCTTAGTTTCGGTAGCTCCTCGTACAGTGGTGGCTGACGGAGGACTCAGGCACTCGTTCGGCATGTGGATGCGCGCGCGGTTGAATTATTTTTTTGCCTGGCCCAATCAAAGTAGGAGGAGGCCGCCAGTTTGTGAGTGCGTGGGAGAGTGGGAGAAGAGAGTCAGATTGATACTCATGCTTGGTAGATGGAAGAGGACGGAAGAAGATTTGCGAAGGCGAGTGGCAGAATAAGAAGAGGGAAGGGACTCTCACCCAAGGTACCTACCTATTACTACCTGTACCTACCTAGGTAGGTATTACCTAAAGGCGAGGCACCTACTCGTACCTGCCTGGATTGATTGAAAAAGCGCACATGGCAAGTCCAGACGGGATGCGAGTTGCCTCAGCCAGCTTGGCAGATGATTAGGTAGGTTGTTTGATACCAGACTGTACAGTGTTTTCTCCACAGTGCAGTCCCAGGGCACTTGACCACTTGCATCGTCCGCCTGTCTTCCATGCTACCAACTCCGTAGATGCCATCATGCGCCGTTCAGGTACTACCTACTACTCACTACTACTAATAGGTGGCATCCATCTCTAAAATGCAAGCAGCGTCCAGTAACAGACAGCACGGGTGCTACCTTTGGTAGACCGCATCGTCTGCATGCATGCACACCGAGTCGTTTCTGGCCACGAGAGCCGGAGCTGCAGCCTGCGCCGTACGAGAACCCTGTAGCTGGTACTTCCCCCAGGGTCGCACCGTGCGCGTCACAGTGCGCCAAAGCCGCCGCCAACCCGCTGCAGGCAGCATCTGAGGCCTGTATCCGGACAATCCTCCGTCGAGCAAAGCACTTGGCCGTTGCCATTTGCCGTTCGCCAGAACGCCAGCGCTCTGCTAACACGGCCGTAGCACTTCTAGCATCGCTACTTGGCCTCATTCCTCGGCGCCACCAGCCACGAGGCTCCCTGTCTCGTCTTTTCTGCATCGAAATCAATTTGCTAGCGCCGACACTGGCCTCGCTAGCCTCGCTTTCCGCTATGTCAACGCCCCTCTGGTTCGTTTCGCTTCTCTTCCCTCTGTTCCAACGGCTGGCATGGGAGCCTGTTCAATAATCGACGCCGTACTCGGACCAGGACGGGATGGAGGCAGGGCTGTACCGGCAGACATTGGATATCTCATCTCTGCCCAAAGCTGGAAGGGATACTCCCTCCATACTCAATACTCCATGCTCCATGCGATTGCCTGGGTGGATAAAGCAGCATCTCCTCCGGCCGGCGACCAAAAACTCTACAAGCGAGTTCCGTGTTCCCGGGGGTTAGCAGGAACCCGGCATGTCAGAATCAATGCCACCATCACAACTGCGTATCACTATTAGGTACCACAGTTAGCACCTACAAAACACCAAGCTCATCAGACGATACTCCGGCATCTATACTTGCCCGCTCGTGCTGACATTACAGGTAGGGAGGTATGTAGTAGCAGGTACTCGCTCTTCATGCCGGCCTCTGATAAGGCGACAACAGCCTCCGGAGGTCGCTATCCGCCGTCCCACGCTGCCACCCTCGGCCGCCGGGTGCAGTGAAGCCTTGTCGAATCTCCGAGGCAGGGTGTGGCCCCAGGATGAGAAAAGAAAGAAACCTATGGAAGGGCGTTTCTTCATTGCCTAGCGGCCAGACCCGTTGCAGGCCGTGTGGCTGTGCCCGCGCAACTACAGCTACATGTGCTTATATGCAAGGAGCACAGAAATGCCACTGCCGCTGCCAGTTGCTTGTACAAGGGCGATGTGTGCTCTACTGTACTTGTATGCCCTTGCTTGCATTAAACCGAAGCATTCCAAACGGAGTACAGAGACACGGTGTGACCAAGGCCTTTACCAATCGGCTACGTGTTGTATACATATACACGCGCGCTCACTCGCTGATGATTTCTCTCGAACAAAGGGGAAAATCTCGAACAAAGGGAAAAAGAAAAAAAAATTCGCAAGGGGGCTAGCCGCGGTATGGCATGGCATTTGGCATCTAAGAAGGTGGCAATTTTGCGGTCCGCTTACTCGGCCGCCGCGCCATCTACGAGCAATTCGGCCCTGCCATTGCTTAGACCGTGACCCTTGCGTGCTTTTGATTTTTCAGATGTCCAGGTAGAAACGCATCAATTGGGTAAAAATGCATTGGGTCTCAATCTCTTGGCTGCTGCTCGACATCGGCTACATCCAGGCTACATCCAGGCTTCTAGGGGGGCCGTCTTACTATCAAACATTATACACGCCGGCTCTGGTCCATCCCTTCTGTTTCTCTTCAGAATCTGAACAAAGAAAAAAGGAAGGACAGAAAGAAAGAAAGAAAGAAAGAAAGAAAGAAAGAAAAGAGCTTACGGGGCACCCTGTGAGCCTCATCAACTCGTTCAGTGGGGGTCATTTGATCTGTTTGAGCCTGCCTACAGCACAACTGAGCCTCTAGCCATGTGGGAGCTGTAAACTTTGCGCGGCAGTCCGGGATGGATTGTCGAGTCGTATGATCCGGGAGTGGCAGCTAGGTTCGCAAGAAACCCAAGGGCTCTCATAGGTCCCCGGGGTGGCAAACTGTGGCGTATCAGGCATCAAAACCTCACTGCCGCGTTGATGCTAGTTGGTGGGTGTAGCATTGGGGCAGCGAAGGGGTTTATGCAATTCATTAAGCATCGCAGGGTTTATGGTAGGATGTAAACTTCACATGGATGCAGATTTCTTATATATCAGTTTTCGTACTGCTTGACAGCATCTAGAATGGAGACATAACGGATGTATGTAATCTAGACGTGGTGTTCTTAATATATGGAGGGAGTCATTGTGATGCATCAAGTGTAGCCCTACACTACATCCATCTACTTACCTACCTGACAGTGCCTTTCGTCTTTCATCTTTCATCTTTCACAACATACACAAATTAGCAGTTATTGCAACTATAATGGCGTGCGTGAAATCTCCGAGACATGCATACACGTGCACATTAAGCTTCACCTTCTCAATGGGCATCTGACGCAGGACTTGGCATTTGCAGAGATGCCCAATGCAAAGCCGATACTAACCCATCCCTACAAGGTGTTGCGGCTCATTCATGTGTTCTCAGTCCACAGCACTTTGTTACAGCCGCTTTATTTCTTTCGGTTGTTTGTTTTCAAGGTAGATTCTCCGTATGTCGGCCATCAAAGCATCTAGAACAGATCTGCAAGTGCCTAGCCTTGGGCCGGGGCCAAACCAACCCCGGACTACTATTTTCTACTAAAGAGGATCCAACAACTGGGATTCATGCATGGAACAAACCATCGACTTCGCGCCAATGTCTCTCCCTCTTCATCATCAATTGAAAGAAGAAGAAAAATCTAAGAATCCGCCATTCTCTGATACTCTTTTCTACTATCCCGCTACATCCGCCTTGATGATTCGCTGTAAAGTCTTGCATATGGATCCGTAAATTATCGCCTTTTGGAACCGTCATCACAATGGCGGCTTCGCTCCCGTACCACGAGCCAGGAATCGTCACAATCCTTATCCAGACGTCCTTTCTTCTCGTCCTCAATGTCGCCAATTTTGTGCTTGATCATAGTGTCTACTGTGGCCTTCTCGGGCAGATATTCGTAGGAGTAGCCTGGGGAACGCCCGGAGCCAAATGGCTGAGCACAGAAGCTGAGCAGGTTGTTGTCCAATTGGGCTATCTCGGATTGCTGCTTTTGGTATATGAAGGTAAAAATTCATTGAGCTATTCAATCGTTTCTTGATCCACATAAGCTTACTATATCCGAACAGGCGGCCTGTCAACCTCTCTGGGCGCCCTCAGGGCCAATATTTGGCTGTCTTCGTGCGTTGCCATTACTGGCATCAGCGTGCCCATGGGCCTCTCCTTCGTCCTCCAGAAGCTCAGCGATGCAACGCCTCTCCAGGCGTTTGCTGCCGGTGCAGCGTTATGTTCCACGAGCCTTGGTACGACATTCACTGTGCTTCGATCAACTGGTCTGGTCACGTCCCGGCTCGGCGTCGTGCTCACCAGTGCCGCCATGATGGATGACGTTGTCGGCCTTGTCATGGTCCAGATCATCTCCGATTTGGGGTCATCTAAAACTGAAATCAGTGCCGTCACTATTGTCAGGCCGCTTCTGGTATCCGTCGCATTTGCAGTATGCGCTCCTCTTGTCTGTGTCTTCATGGCCAAGCCGTTCACTCTCCGGTTGAACTCTTGGAGGATGAAACATCCCCTGGGGCGTGTCAATCAGCTTTTCAACAGGAGGGGAACACCATGGGTTATTCACACCTCCATCTTGGTTGGCTGTATCACTGGGTCAACATACGCAGGCACTTCTAATCTCTTCGCTGCCTATATTGCGGGCGCAGCCATCAGTTGGTGGGACTCTGAAATATCTCATCCTGCTAATGAGAAGACGGCATCGGAAACATCACCTCCAGTACAAAACCAAGCTTCTGGACAACCAGAAACAGATAATGCTATGATATGTGAACAAACTGTTTCGGAACCCAAGAGACCAGATACATCTGGAATGGCTACTTTCGAAAGGTATTATCTGCAGCCCCTCGAAAGGATCTTGAAGCCGTTCTTCTTTGTAAGTGATTCCCCTAATGACTAAGAACTTATCTAATTATCCAAGGCATCCATTGGTTTCTCTGTCCCAATCACCGAGATGTTCAAGGGCCCTATTGTATGGAAAGGGCTCGTGTATACCGCTCTGATGATGGTGGGCAAGTTACTATGCGGCGCTTGGTTCCTTCGCATCTCCACTGCCTCTCTTCTGCCCACCAATTTATTAGCCTTTGTCAAGCATCCTAAACTACAAATGGTTCATTTCTGGGGACGAGTTCACGAAAAGCCCAAGACGTCTCAGAACTTGGCTTCTTCACAAGCAGCTCAAACCCAAGAGCTCTCGTCAGCATCTCAATCAAGCCGAGAGGCAAACACGCAAACGACGCCCTCTCATTCTGATCCTGCTGGGGCTAATCCGCGATCAATCTACCCTGCTTCTATATTGGGCTGTGCAATGACTGCTCGCGGCGAGATTGGCTTCTTGATTTCTTCCATTGCGGAAAGTAACAAGATATTCTCTTCGTCGCCGACTGATAATGGCAAGAGTTCGGAAATATTCCTCATTGTTACGTGGGCCATAATGCTTTGCACAATTCTGGGACCTTTATCGCTGGGGGTTACAGTGAGACGAGTCAAGCAGCTGGAGCAGGGCGTTGAGAAGCAAGGTCGCCTGGTTCAGAAAGATGTGCTTGGTGTCTGGGGGGTTTCTTGAGGGTCCAGTTGGAGCGTACAAGATGAAGTAATGAATTTATGATGCCATTAAGAATTTGAATGCTCTCAAACTTTATGAGATGGCGGTCATTTTCAGCTACCTATTAATAGCTGTGAATAGAGTTGCTCGTCGGTCTTGCTTCGTATAATGCATTATACTTTGATATATAGACACCTTTTAATGAAGTATCCTCTTCGTATAGTAATAATCAACCAACAGCTATTTCTGAAGCAGTACCTGCTTAATACGAGCTTTAAGATTTTGTCAATGTATTACCAAAAATTGGGAAAACAGTCCTCCGGCATAATTTGCCTACTAATGAGTCACGATATCAGGACCTACAAAGTACAATTAACTCACCCCCCACCGAGGTTTTTCCCTCTCTATATATGAATATATATATTTTTTTTTCCTTTTTTTTTTTTTTTTTTTGCGTCTAGCATACAGTTTCTCCCATGTTTGTACTTGATCTGATGAAGACGGCACTTGCGACTCAAGATAAGCTCCAGCCAGCATATGCCGTCCGTCACCCCACCTTGAAACGCCACACCGAAAGCTTCACCGCGGTGAGAAATTTCCACCACAGCCCTTGCTAGTTGAGTCACCCATGCTTGTCGCAAATCCAACTTCTTCCACCAACAAACCCTCGATTCCAAGCGCCCCTCCAAGCTTCGCCCTTTTGCGCCGAGACTCTCGCCATGTCGCACAAGGGAAAGAACAGCGCCAGCTCGGCAAAGGGCAAAAAGCCTGCCAAGTCGGGCGCAGAGAGCAAAGGCGAAGATGTTCTGCAGGCTGTGGTGCGTCCAGTCATCGCGGGGTTCTCTCGAGGCGATGGCTGATGGCTGACTTGCGCACAGGTTCTCGCAGACTCGTTCCAGGACAGATTCAGGCCCTTTACAGTAGAGAAGCCAAGAGTATGTGGAATTTGCAAAGCTTGAGGACCTTCATTGAGAATGTGGCCGCCAGCTGACTCCCGTCCACTACAGTGTCTTCTGCCGCTGGCAAACACCCCTCTTATCGAGTATACGCTCGAGTTCCTGGTCATGAACGGCGTTCAGGAAGTCTACATTTACTGCGGCGCACACACGGACCAGGTCGAAGATTACATCAGTCACTCTAGATGGGCATCATCGTCAAAATCGTGTCCGTTCTCGGTGCTGCAGTTTGTTCGAGTTGCCGATGCGAGATCCGTTGGCGACGTCCTCCGCGACATGGACAAGCGATCGTTGGTGGATGGTGATTTCCTCCTGGTGCACGGTGACCTGGTATCGAACCTGATTCTAGATGGCGCTCTGGCGGCGCACCGAAAACGAAGAGAGACGAGTGCCGCGAATATCATGACCATGGTCCTGCACAGCGGAGGACCTGCGGATCACAGGACCAAGACGAACGGAATCACGCCCGTGTTTGTGGTGGACACCAAGACTCAGCGCTGCCTTCACTACGATGAGATGAACCCCTTGCAGAGCGACCACTACCTCTCCATGGACCCTGCCATTGCTGACGAGCTGTCAACCGAGTTTGAGGTGCGAGCCGACCTGATAGATGCCCAGATCGACATTTGCACTCCCGAGGTCTTGGCTCTATGGTCAGAAAGCTTCGACTATGAGCTTCCAAGGAGGAATTTCCTGCATGGTGTACTGAAGGACTGGGAACTCAACGGCAAGATGATCTACGCTGAGATTTTCGAGGACGGCTATGCTGCTCGAGCAAGCAACCTGCAGATGTACGATGCCATCAGCAGAGACGTCCTAGGCCGATGGACGTTCCCCTTTATCCCTGAAAACAACATCATGCCTAAGCAGTCATACAAGAAGCACAGCAACAATGTTGTTATCGAGACTGGCGCTTCTCACGCAGCCGACGCCAAACTCCAAAACTCCGTCATCGGAACCGATTCCAGCATCGGACCAGGAAGCAGGATCGTCAACTCCATCATTGGCACTGGTTGCAAGATTGGCGCCAATGTCACGCTTGAGAACTCATTCATCTGGAACGGCACCACCGTGGGAGACGGCACCGTCATATCACAGTCCATCTTGGCTGGTAACGTAGTCATCGGCAAAGGCTGCACAATACCTACCGGATCACTCATCTCCTACGGCGTTCACATCAGCGACTCCATCTCCCTTTCTACCGCCGCGGTGCTCTCAACCGTGACTTCCACAGGCAAGCAGGTCACCAAGGACACTAAACTGCTCGGTCCCGACGGCAACGCAGCCCCCTTCTTCGACCCCGAAGACGACGAGCTCGACGACGAAGACCCCTCCAGGCTCCAAAAGTCTCTCATCTACTCCCTCGCAAACTACAACCTATCGACCTCCTCCATCTCAACGTTTGCCTCCGATGTCGACTCCGACGATGACAACGACAGCAACCTTCTTTCCGCCGACGCCGCTCACTCCAGCAGATCACGTCTCTCGTCCTTTGCGTCAGACGACTCAGCCGGCAAGATGTCCTTCCACACCGACGCCGTCCACGGCCTGCTCGACGCCCTGCGCGCCGATTCCGGCGACTTTGACTCTGCCAAGCTGGAATTCATGGGCCTGCGTCTGGCCAACAACGCATCCGACGCCATGATGCGAAAGGCCGTCGCAACGGCGTTTACCCGCCGCGCAGTCGAACTCGTCACCCCGGAACACGGCGGCCTCGACGCCAGTAAGGCGGCGGACAGGGCCTTCACCGCGTGCAAGGGCGCCTCCAAGTTCGTCAACGAGGTCGGCGTCGGCGGCGGCGAGCCCGCCCAGGTCGAGTTCATCCTCGCCCTGCAGCGCGCCCTGCAGCACTACTCCAAGGGCCAGGAGCAGAGCAAGACGGCCACGCTCCTCCCGGCCATGCTGCAGCAGCTCTACGCGCTGGACATTTTGGAGGAGGAAGGCATTCTGGGATGGTGGGCGGATGCCCGTGCCGTGGAGGGCGAGTATATGGCTGCGTTGAAGGAGAAGTGCAGAGTGCTCGTCGAGTGGCTTGAAAACGCAGAGGAGGAAGACGACGACGACGACGACGACGATGACAGTGATTAGACGAATTAAAAAGTTAAAAAGTGAAAAAAAGGATAGGCACAATGATACAAGGCAAATGAACCAAAACCAGCACGAAAGAAAAGACTCGAAGAGTAGAAAGAAGAAAAGGGGGGGGATTTAGAACAGGTAGCAGAGATTGCCCAAGCTGGGTATCATTCATATATTGCCTCGTTGATAAGCTTAATCCGAGCCATGTCTTGAAAAAAGAAAAACAAAACCGAAGACGCATGCCGTCCCTACCTCTCAATATGCACGTTCCCTTAAAGCGCCCTTTCGCCCTAAATTGCCTGAAATGCCCTCCTTGGACGCAATCTCTCTCTGTGGATGAAGCAAAGACCCATATCCTCCGTTGTTACCAGTACCGTACCAAAAAGAAAATAAAAAAAAAAAAAAAAAGAAATATGATGCCTTGCTGTGGACATTCTTCTCCTCCAGCTCGTCCAGACTTCAGAACGCTAGCCATGTTCATATCCATGTTAAGATATCGATATAAGCAGCAGCCATCCTACTTCTTCTAATAGTAACTCTGTAAATCTGAACCGTTGGATGGCTGTCCGCCCATTGGTCGACCCCGGCCAAAGGAGCCGGGGGCGGCATCATTGGCAGCTTGGTAGCCGCCCGACCGACCCTTGGGATCAACGTCATCGAGAGATCGGTAGCCATGGCCACCGCGGCCGCGGCCGCCTCGTCCGCCCCTGGAGGCACGATGACTTCGGCTAGGGTTTCCGCCCTTATTGCGGCCCCTGCCGGAGTGAAAGCCTCTGGTCTCGTTCCGGCCGGCATACTGAGCCGTCCGAGGCGTCCACTCTTCGTCTGCATTGTGCTTGCGCTTGTGAGACTTGTTGGCAAAGAGACTCTGGTATTCATCTTCCTTGGGGTCCTCTGCTTCAATGCGGAGAATCACCTTTTCGCCGACAGTCGTCTCAAACGAAAAGCGCTCTTCTACCGGCACGGGCTGCCAAGCAGTAATCTTCCCAGCATCCACAGGGCGAGCGCCTTTTCTAAGGGCAAGCACGACAAGCGGTATGGGGTTGTCGGTGTGAAACTTTGCAGTATGAGGCACCGGGCGTACACACGCAGCCCAGATGGAGTTGTCAAAACAGGCTGTGCCGGTGACTTCCCACAGCATCTTGCTGCCCATGCCGCCAACCTTTTCAAGTATGCTTGCGGGACATGGCCTGGGGCAGATGAGGATATTGTTGGCATGGAACTTGAGGTCATTATTCGATACGCTAGCAGGAATCTTGGCGAGCTTCAGAAGATTCTTAATGTCGTCGCCGCCTATCATATAGCTAGTGAAGAAGACTGTCTTCTTGATCATGAGCTTGCTCTTGGAGGAGGGCTCTTTGGTCAAGGTAGTGTTGTGTTGGTTGATCATGTGCTGGACTTCGGCGACTTCAACGACGGGGTCAAGAAGGGTCGAAGAGTCGACTACCTGGACAACGTCGGCTGTGATGGGGCCTCGTGTGGGCGCTTCGGTCTGACGCCTGTTGTATTCGGCGAAGAAGTCTCGGAATCCCTTTGTATGCCTCGGGCGGTCTTCGTACACCTTGATCTCGGTCGCCTGCTGATACGTCTCCATGAGGGCCTCGAAAAACAGCTGCTTGAAGTGCATTGTGTTCTGAAAGCTCTGATTTGCAGGGCTGACTCTGGGTTTCAAGCTGACCATGTCGAACTCGAGCCCTTTGCTTGTCACCATCCTTTTGATCAACTCGCCAAAGCCATGCTCAGAGCGACCCGTCAACAGCACGCACAGAGCATCAGGTTGCTTCGTGCTTAGCTTGACAAGATCAGCCACTTTTTCGTTCCACCAGCCCTCCCAAGCTCGTTCTTCTTCCTTCTCGGCGCCTTCGCCAGTGGCTGCGAGTATGCGGTTGTCATGCCACCACCCGCCATTGGAAAATGCTTCTTGGGTCGCGAGCAATCCTATCGTCGGGCCAGTCCATAGAGTCGGGTTCGGCATGGGGGTTCGGAATACTACAGGTGTCTCCAGGTCAGTCTTGGATATGGAGCTTAAGTGGTGGTGGGGGAGCAAGGGGCAAACGTACGTGTGTTGTCGAAGTCGTAGACATGAAGAACTCGGACCTTGTCAACAGCTGGGACGATCAATTAGCCCGGAAACCCGCAGGAAGAGCAACATGCAGCATGAACGAACCTGGGAGCTGCTTCGTCAAGATGGACCACCGGCCGAGTGCCGTGACTGTGAACTGCGAGCTCTTGGCGCCATGGTATGCGCTGTACGCCGATGCCATGGCGCTCGATAGAGAGGAGGAGAGACGGCGAAGACGAGCGGCGACGGTAATGCTAAGGGATTGGTGAGCGCGGTGCGTCTGTTGGCAGCCTGAAGTCGTGATGCAGGCGCTGGGCCGAAGTTTTTGGGCCGAGCAGATGTCGAGGGTCAGGTTGGAATTTGTTCGCTGTATATAGCTGGAGGCGGCTGTAGGTGGTGTGCAGCGCCTGGCCCTTCTGAAGGGGACCTGCTTTAGTGGGCTGTGCACTGGAGGTCAGCAGCAATACGGCAGTGGCTGCTCCTCTCCCGTCATAGGATATTGATGATGATGGCCCTACCCTGCATTCATCTCATCTCTGCCAGTTCATGATCTTTTGGAGAGCGATTGGGGCAGCGTTTTGGGACTTTTGAGTTTTGCTGCTGCGTCCTTGGGTCTGATGTGAGATTATCTCATCAACTCTGCTGTTCTTAGCTGGCCAAGCCAATTGTAAGCTGATTGAATGAACTTACCGCTGGGGAATGATGAGGGTGGCGATTGGGTTGGCGCTCTCACCCGCTTTGTGCTTTGTTTCCATCTATGAAAACGGCAGAGTCGGGGCTCGACTTTGCCGTTCAGAGCGAGTGCATGTGATCTCATCCCATCGATGCAAGTTCTAGCCCTGATTCTTATTCTGCTAACTCGGCACCCCGCGACTCCGAGGAATTAAAGTATCATAGCAGAATGCGGAGGAAAATGCACCTACTGCTGCTTAAGCTCGGAGTACCCACCTCCTACTTGGATGCCCATTTCCTCGAGAGCTACCATCGAGTGCATGTATCTACTCCTCCACATAATCAGCGTGCCTTGACTTTCTGCTACTGAGCCGATCTTCTTCGAGTACCTATCGGGTACCATCACGGGCTCAAATAGCCACGGGCTCCCCTTCTTTTTATACTTTCCATGGCATCTCCGGCCAGCACAGCCGTGCGCTTCCTGGCTGGTTCCAAGAAGGCGCCTAAGGGCATCGTGCAATTGCGACTGCACGTCAAGCCTGGAGCGAGTAAGAATAGAGAGGGCATTCAGGCGGTCACTGACGACGTGATTGAACTTTGCGTTGCGGCCCAGGCTAAAGAGGGCGAGGCCAACCAGGCGGTGATTGAGGTTCTCAGCGAGGCCCTGGACATCCCCAAGTCGAGGTTGGTTCTGGCTCAAGGCGCGAGATCGAGAGATAAGACGGTGGTTGTGCAGGATATCAAGGGCGATGGAACTACGTACGCCAATGCGATCCTCGAGCTGCTTCATAAGGCTAGCTCCGAGGCCTCATGATGATGGATAGCCCGCTTTTCTATATGATGAGAGGTTCGTCGCCGGACAAAATCCACATGGTTTTGTTCCTTCATCTTCGCCGGTGACTCAACGCCGCTCACCCCCGCCATTCATCAATCTTCCAAGTTGGCTGCTTCGCATACCTGTATGCACTGCGGCATGCACTCCAACACGCATGGCGTTGCTATTTAATGAGCTTTCGAGCCGATTGTTTTGCGACACGGAAACATGTTGTAGAATAAGCTTCATCTAAATGAAATTCATCATGTCTGAGCCGACCTTTACCATTCAAGCTCTCCAGCTGCAAGACGTGCCCGGGGCAGCTCAGCTCAGCAGCGATGCCTTCCTGACGGATCGCCAAACCCAGATGAAAGCTCTGGGTCGAAACCCGTTCGATATGAAGAAATATCACACGGAGAGCCTTCCAGAAATGCTGAAATCACCCCGGTGCGTGATATTAAAGGCCGTTGACAAGGAAACGGGGGAATTTGCCGGCTTCTGCAACTGGGGACTCATCGGATTTTCGCCCGAAGAGATGCCCGTAGTGGAGGGCAGGATTCAACCTCCCGAGAGGCCGGCCGCAGCTCCGGCAGAGCGGTCTGAAAATGAAGATGAAAATGACAAGGAAAATGAAAATGACAGGGAAAAGAAAAAAGATGAATCGTCAGCGGTAGAACCAAAGCCCAGTCCCGATGCAGACCCAGACGATCCCATCGAGCGACTCCAGGCACTTACAGGCGCCGATTTGGATGCATGGCAGAAGGAAGTGATGCCCAAAGGCACCAAGTGTCTCGTGGTGATCGGGCTTTCCGTCTCACCCAAATTCCAGCGACGGGGCATTGGGTCAGCGCTGCTTCGCTGGGGAACCAAGATATGCGACGAAGCAGGCGTCTTTGCCTGGGTTCACTCGTCGGAGCCGGCGTGGAAGATTTACGAAAAGGCAGGATTCCAGGTGATTCGCACGCTCGACGTGGATCTGGACGAGTACGCTCCGTGTCCCCCTCCGGACGAGGGCCCGGATGCCAAATGGGGTCATTACGTCTTTCGATATATGAAGTATTTTGGCTCCAAAGACTGAAGGCGGTTATCGGATGGACGTGCATGTAGCATTCCAAGGCATATCAATATACTGAGGTACCATCCATCTCTTGTCCATGTCTCGCCGTCGTCCATTTATAGTACAAGTGCTTTGCATATGAGCATCGACAGATGTTTATCTCAGATGATTGGCAAATCCACAGAACGCTTGCCAAGATTCGAGCATTGCTGGATACAGTACTGATCGGCATTGTGCGGGGGGAGGGATTCGGTAAAGGAGAGCCCGAGAAAGTCAGATTCCGACCAGGTCTCAGCTAATTATAAATGAAGAAAGGAGAGGCTTGATGAATCTCTGCAAGTATATCATACCATGCCCCCGTCCGTCCAAGGGGAGTACCAGGGGTAATTTTCTTTCTAACAACACTCAAGGCCAGTAGTAATTGTTATATGTTGAGCACCAACTCTGAGAATCATCGGAGCTGGTTCCGGCCTGCTAGCTCCACGGGTTGAATATCTCATCCTTGTTATGCTTCAGATTGAACATGGAACACAGAAGCTTTTTAGGTTGAGACCTGAGCCGCGCTCCTTGCCCTGCATGTCTTGTTCTATTTACGGCAGCGCGGCGTGCGTGCCTCCGGACCGTGTTTGCTCCGCTGGTCTCAGAGTTGGTTTATTTTTAGAGGTCTGCAAGAGCATGTGTACATGTATATTCTAAGACATTTTTCATCTAAACGCGTATGACAGGCATACAGCTGGTGCTACATATGCGCAGTTGTTGCAGTCAATATTTGATCCGTTGAAATGGACCCTGCCTGCGAAGTAGGTACTCGTACATACAGGCAGCGAATGATCCCTGAGAGTGGCAATTTTGCGGAAGACCGGTCCGCTGAGCCTAACTGGAATGGAACCTTAATCCATTCATACCACCTTGACGGGAGTTGGCCCGAGGAACCTGAGCAGCTTTGGAAGACCCCAGCGGCAAAGATGGCCTGCCACGCGCATGTACTGGTACTTGTACTTGACACACGCTCGTCCATACATGCACATATCTTCACCTCTCCGTATCTTTGCAGATGATGGACAGCATCTTGCTGCCGGTCTCATGCCATCTATCCATTGCATCGGCCAATGTGCGCCTAGCTGACTCTGCTAAGCACTCCCAGCTTGTACCGAAGCGACGGAGTCCAATTACAAGCGTACGGGGATCGCCGACAGCGGAGCCGTGGCCAGACTTGCAGGTGCATCATGCACGCACCAAAAGCCGGCGATTTTGATGCTGGAGAGGTGCTGCAAGGGAGACTGACTTGACGTGATTGATCTCAACTGATTAGAACAAGAACGAAAACAAGAACAAAAACAGGGCATGTTGCGATTACTTGTTGCTATGTGCTAACAAGCGAGCGTCCCGGACCTTCTATTCGTCGCCGGCTAAGGATCAAAACGGCTGGGTGTGCGAGCCGATCGAGGTGATGAGGTGTAGTCGCCGTGCCGGGCTTCTTTTCAGCCCCGCAAAGCGCCCATCGTGATGTATCACGGCTTGAAAAGGGTTGAACGGCGAATGAATATTCTTGCTTGAAGCGGTAGGCGCCCGAAAAGAAAGACAGGAAGCCCCCCCCCCCCCCCCCCCCCTTGTACATGCATACAGGCGCTTTTGGCCCCCTCCCAGATAGTAATAAATGACCTCCCTTTCATCACCTGCTTCCCTGCATGATTTGTCCAGGTGGCTGTTAATGGGGGCAGAGCTGATAAGTGCACACATACAAGTATACGGAGGGTATGAGCATCGTTAAGATTGGACGGCACACACGGTGTATCCCGTCCCAGGCGCGGCTTGTCTTTTGAATGGCTACCTCGTACTCGGACCTCCTTTGTCTGCCCTCCCAGCTAAGGTGCTCACTAGCACCGCTCATTTCATATTTATATTGACCAGACATCGAGACTGATAATGCTCTGGAGACACCACTGCGCTTCTTCAGGTATAGGGGTTGAGTTATAAATTGAGGCTAAAAAGCTTGCCAACTTAGCGAGGAACTAGCTCTACCACTAAGATGGAAGTGAAGAGCTAACAGAGACTCCATGCTTGCGCAAAAATACTTCCGCCAGCCTGATTCAGATGCCAAAGCACCCCCGGCGTGGTGGAGGCTGCATAAGACTCAATCCAAGCAAGCATCAAGCGCGCAGAGAGTACGAGTACTCGTACATGCCCGTGTACGAGTCTTTACGAACATTGGAAGAGTTACGAGCACATGGCGGGGGGGCTCGTATAGGTACTAGACGGAGTGGTATTATAAGCACTCGCTGGTCTGGCATGTTGGGATGGATGCTTGCCACTTTGACTCCATCTCGACAGGTACAGGTGCAGGTACATGTGGCTGACACTGCGCCGAGCAATAAACAACGTCGAGAACGGACCAGACGAGAAAAAAGAAAAGAAAAAAAAAATCACATATCCCTAGTCCATCATCTGCCGGGCCTTGGCGCAGCAAAAGAAAGAAACAGGCACGCGGCTGGCTGAAAACTGGCCGTTTAAATAGGTTGGCTACATGGAGAAAAACGCTTATTGCTCCCCTGTACTCCGTAATAGCCTCGATGCTCTGCTGGGCGCTCCGTGTGAGGGACAATGCGCCACACGGCTCTAGCGCCTGGAGATGTCCCAGGAAACGAGGGCTTGCATGTACCGTGCATTAGGGACCGCCACACGGATCTGGCTAAATACAACACGGAACACACGATGGCTCCTGGGCTTTGGATTTGAGACCCCCCTTCTTTCCAGGTTTTTTTCTCTCTCTCTCTCTCTCTTAGTACTATTATCCCCCCTGTGGGTACACGTTGATTTTTTTTTTGGAATGATTCCTCTGGTATTAGTGAAAGTGGAAAAGACGGGGTCGTACTAGAAGTGCTGTGTGTGTCTTGTTCTTGTTGGTTCTTTTCATTTCCTTGCTTGCATTGGATTGCATGATTTCCATGTTCTCTACTCCGTACCTCCAGTCCCCTTAGCCGCATGAGGGATTGACTGCATGTGCCTGCCTGCCTGCCCGTACGGGTACATTGATGTCAAGTATCAATACCTGCATGCATACCTAGTAGCAGCACTGCACAGCACTGCACGGAGCCTCAGCAGCCGTCAATCGCTATATCTGGCACCGCTCCAGCACGCTTGCAGCGCTGTTGCCCTCTGAACTGAACCACCCACCTGATCTTCCTCGTTAGCCTAGGCCCGGCCCACCCTCCATCTCGGGCCATCCATTCGCCCATTCAACGGAGCTGGGCTAAATCGTCCAACCTCGATCCAGCCTCGACGCAGCCAGGCTTCGAGGTCAATTGCTTCGCTCGCCAGTTGAGACGAATCTCGCTCGCCGACTTGCGACGTCATCTGCCAGCTTGACGTTTGACGGTGCAGAACATTGGCTCCGTCCTTCTGCCAGCCCGGCGCACCGCTTCCGTGTCCGGGCGCTTTTACGTCCTTGTGCCGTCGCTCCGTCCGCCAGCCAGCGAAAAAAGGCCAAGCCCAAGAGGTCCCCCAGGTCCAGCCATCAACGCCCGTCCGACCCGGCGGAGAGAAAGAGAGAGAGATTGAGAGCGGAGCAGGAAAGGGAAAGGGGACCTTTGACGCAGAATCCGAGCGAGTCCTGGCCGCCTCTGCGACTGCAGCTTGTCGATTCTTGGCCCGTCGCTGAGCCTCAATTGGAGGCGCGTCGCTTCCTCGCATATTGCCTCTTTTGATCCCGCTCAAGACCGCCCCGACTCGGCCCAGAATGTCCGGGACAGAGGCTGCCGCTGCCCCAGGCGGCGGGGGAAACAATGCCAGTGAATTTGTGAGTAGGGCTCTTCTGCTTTGCTTTGCCTTGCTTTGCCGTGCAACTACATGAGTGCTAATCCGATTGATGATGTCAAGGTCCGCAAGCTGTTTCGGTAATTGCTCGCCAACAAACCACAAGTCTCTCCGCACTCGACTGACGTCGCCTTAGCATGCTCGAAGACCCGTCACACCAAGATGTAGCTCGCTGGGGGAAAGATGGCGATTCATTTGTGGTTGTCGAGGTGGGAATCATCTGGTTGCGGCTTGATATCTGCCTGCGTGCGCTCTTATTGACTTTTTGTTCATAAAACAGGGCGAAAAGTTTACGAGATCCATCCTACCGAAGCATTTCAAGCACAGCAACATGTCTAGTTTTATTAGACAGCTCAACAAATACGACTTTCACAAGGTCAAGCCATCCGGCGATGGCGACACAACCTCCCCGAACGGCAATGTAAGTCTCTTGGCCAATGGAATACCCCAAGTTACACTACGTTGGGGGGCGCATGACTAAGAATTGGGACTCGATGTGCAGATCTTGGAGTTCAAGCATCCCTACTTCCGCGTCGACAGCAAAGACGATTTGGATAACATCCGCCGAAAAGCGCCGGCCACGCGGAAACCTCAGGTCGCAGAGGACTTCACCACGAGCCAGCATGTCAGCGTCATATCCGAGCAGCTGACGGCTACGCAGCAGCAGGTGCAGCAGCTCCAGGAGCTGTTTGCCGACGTTTCGCAGACCAACAGGCTCCTCGTCAACGAGGTTCTCACCCTGCAGAAGATGCTCAATGCACAGAAGCAGGCGCAGCACGAGATGCTCAACTACCTCTCTCCTTACAACCACAACCGGAATAATGCGATGATGAGCCACTCGTTGAACTCGAACGGCAACATGCCGACGGGGGATGGAGACGAAGCTGTGCCGGAGCTCAGAAGGGCGCGAGAGCTGCTTTCCAGCGTCGCGGCCGACGCCGTAGCTGATCGTGAGCTTGAGCGTCTGCATGACATTTACGAATCCCCCGCAGACTCGGCAACCATGGTGACCCCCGTATCGATGCCGATGATGCATGACCCTATGAATGACATTAGCCGGTACCCCGTTTATCCTGTAGGACAGACTGTTGGCATTGATCCTTTCCATTCGGATCACATCAACAAGATTCCATATGCTATACCCAACGAGGGCAGTGCCGGCCCCATGGACCAACACCACCAGCAGCAACACACGCCGCAGCCCGGGTCATCCAATCAGATGAACAACGTGCCCGGCCCGGCGGAGAAGCCCGTGTCGCTGTGGGGACCAAAGAAGCCTGTTGTGTTCCTGGTGGAAGACGATCCCACGTGTGCCAAGATTGGCATCAAGTTTCTCAAATCTATGGGCTGCGATGTTGAACATGCCGTAAGTAGAACTCGTCCTTCCCCCAGACCGGAAACAAGAAGAGGACGCTGCGCGGCGCACGATCCCGCGTTGCACGTCGGTGATGTTTAGCGGCTAACAACTGCAGAATAACGGCGCGGAAGCATACAGCAGGATCAGTACCGTTGGCCGTGACCACTTCGACCTGATCTTCATGGACATCATCATGCCCCGGTTGGATGGTGTATCGGCAACCATGTATATCCGCCAACACTGCCCGGCCACGCCCATCATCGCGATGACGTCAAACATTCGTCCGGACGAGGTGAATGGATATTTCGAGCATGGTAAGTTTTGAAGGAACTGGAGAAGAATCCGATTGTCGGACGTCAAGCTGACCGTTGCACAGGGATGAACGGCGTGTTGGCCAAGCCATTCACAAAGGAAGGCATGCTCAAATCTGTCAAGACAAACATGCAACACCTGTTGAAGAACCCACCCAGCCAGTCGGACAACGGGCACGGGTCTGCGTTCATCATGAACGTTCCGTATCTGAACACGACGGTCAACCCGATCAAATTCGAGTCGCCTACTCCGCCTGCGGGTGCCAGCGGGTCGAACTGGTCATCCGGCCACATGTCCCAGAACGGGGTCGACCAGAACTTTGGGCTCATGGACGGAAGCAGCCAGTATAACATGTCGCAAAGTAGAGGCGCGTACTCGACGATGGATGCTTCCTCTGGCCGTATATCCGATCATGATAGCCCACCGGAGAAGCGGCAGCGTCTGAATAACTCGCAACGAAGCTATGCTTAACGCCAGGGCTGATGATTAATGTTGTGCATCAAGATGCTCTGTTGGATGGACCGTTTTGTCTTTTCTGTCTCCTGAACCCCCTTCCGCTTTCCGCTTTCCAACTTCACCCACCCCCCCTCTTGTCGACTCATTGCATGGAGACACTTTGTTATCGGCGTTGTGACTTGTTTTTAAACCCAAGGAGGAGCCCCTTTTCTTCCTTTTCTCCTTTTCTCCATCCTCAGAGGTGGATTCCACCTGTTGTCTTGGGATATTCGGTTGGGATGATGATTTTGCGTACCGGTTGGATATTTTGTCGGGGCATTCTGTGGCAATGTTTCCCAAAGGAGAAGGAAACGCTCTATTTTGTTCTCTGTCTCCTTTTTGAAATGAACGAAAATCGGAGTTGCGATGATGTATGCTTGACTAAGTCATGGATTTATGAGGAGAATTGGGTTGGGAAAGGCCCGCCTATTCTGTGATGAAGCCGTGCTGGGTGCTGAAAGACCCAAAAAGCACTAGGGAGCCTGGATTGGTGACTATTCATGACAGAGAGTGGTTAATCATACAATCTGTTTGCACGAGGAAACAAACTTGACAAACTCACCATTTTTGTAAATAGAGTGAATGGATGGCCCGCCCTTGAATGTGTAAGAAACAAAGTCGAAGTGTGAGTGAAGGTGAGATGACTCAATGCGCCCCCAGGTACGGAATTACGGGGTCCGGAACCCCCAGAAGTCGAGATGACAGATGGGAGGCCGTCGCGGCATCAACACTTTATATTTTTTTTCTCTTCTCTTTCACTCCCCTGCTGAGCGGAGGAAAGAAATGGGCCGGCGAGATCCGATTGCGCATCTCCAGGACGACGTCACATTTGTTATACATAGACGAGGTCCGGGGGATGGGCATGTTAGCGGTTTAGCGGAGCACCAACTCCGGCCACCACTATACATGTAACATGGATCGCCCCAGGGAAAACGTACGACGTCACAACAAAGAAAGAAAGAAAAATACGAGCAGGCCAAGGATGCAGAAAAAAGAAAGAAAAAATCACACCTTGGGATGCCTGTAGCCGTTAGATCCGACGGCATTTGGGGGGGCAGGCAGGTTCCATAGGGGTCTGGACCCGTGGAATGATGGAGACGGGCATTTTCTTTGGGAGCGGGAAGCGGGGGGGATGACGGACGGCGAATGTGTTTTGGATAACGGGAGATTTTTGGTGATGGATAGAGTGTAAGCGTGGGGGTTTAGGGGAAGGGATTCGTGAAGGCTCAGGTTTTATATATAATCTTCTTCTGTATGGAGGGAGTATTGGAGGGGGAAGAGAAGAAGATCAATGCCCATCGGTTAATGCGAGGAGGGCGGACTTTGAGCCACTTATACCGAAGAGACTGGGGGGCATTGTCAGCCCGGGAATTTTGTTTGCTACACACATCAATGCCTTGCCAGGGCACTAATCAAGTCTATCCGGGTGCCTATTATTACTACCTTGGGATTATCATGTGGCAAAAAAAAAAAAAAAAAGCAAGGTCAGAGTGTGTGTCTGTCCCTCGCGTAAGCTCTGGGGAGCGAGTTGTTTATGCGGCTGTTGTGCGTTGATGCCGGTAGCCTTTTTTTTTTGGGTTGGTTTGATGCTACCTCGCCTCGCCTGGGAGGAAGATCGATGCGGCGAGTGGGCGGGCGGCGGTTTTTGTGTCTTTGTGTGATACGGTACAGTACGGCGGGAGGGCGTTTTGGATGCTTGTAGCACTTACACGAGAGCGATACGAGGGGGTTTGTTTTGATTTGTTTTGTCTTTCCAGGTAGTTGGTTTTGAAGATTGTGTATCTGATTGTAAATGCGGCAAGCCAATATTGTCCTTGCACGGCATTATCTAGTAGCTGACTGATGAGGGAAGGGGGAATAAGAGAAGGATTACGGTGGAGAGAAGATAAAGATGACTGCTTTTTGCCCTTCTAGTTTGGGGAACTTGCGAGACTATTGCTTTGGGGGGAGGGCATGAAGCTGAGCGGATGATCTTTACTAGATGGGGTAATTTTGGGTGTTCTGGTTCGGAGACGATCCGGAGGGTTGGTCCAAACTCTATCCTTGTTCATGTGAGGGGAAAGAAGCTTGAGCTCTTAGAGCAGTTTAGATATGTAGAGATTAAGAGTTAATATATGTATGTTAGTTTGTTGTAAATACAAGTTATTGGATGTTGTGGTTGATCAATCATTGAAGCTTTGTGGTAAATTCATAGCTGGTATGGGAGCTTTGAGGGAGCTTACTTATTCCTTGATTCTCATACTGTCACTATGTTCTTCTATCAACTGCTGCTACAGCTATATTCCTCTACTATCTGGTCATGGAATGTTATCACTACATGTACTCGAGAACCTGGGTTGCGGAATAGTCAGTTAGCTTCAGAAGGTGTATGCCTCTAAAGAGCCCTATAAGCTGACGGGCACCTCACTTTACACGTACCGTATCCAACACAGTATATCCCCATTATTCACACCATACACTTTAGCTGCCCAGTCAGTTTCAATTTACGCGTCCAGACGCGTTTTCCCCAATCAATCCAATTGAGCATCTCCCCGCGCAAGGGTTTGGGCCTTGTTCGCCAGATCAAGCATTCCGACCTAATTGTAATTTTCCGTCGCAGGATCAAGCCGTCAGCCAATCAACTCGAATTCAACTGTCTTTTCTTGCACCAAAAAAGAGAAGCAATGCCACACTCGCTCTCTCCCAATTCAAGCGACGCTTCTGCTGTCAAGGACGAACAACCAGACGGCGAACCAGGAATTCCCGCCAGCGCTGCTCCAGCAGAGACAGCCGCAACAATGGCAGATGGCGACATCGACATTGATATGAACGAGGCAGAGGCACCGCCCGCAGGCCAAGCAGAGGTAGCAAAAAAGGAGGTCAAATTGGACGAACTATTCGCAGATGACGACTCCGACGACGAGTTTCCGAGCTCGGCGCCCGTTAAGCGTGAAGGCGTCAGCTCACCCGTTCGGGCAGCTTCACCCTCGTATGTGCTCGCATCTGATGAATCAGCCCTTGCCCATGGAGAAGTAGCAGGTCACTGACTACTCAATACATAGAAATATCCCGGCCTCGGATCCAGAGGTCATGCGCAGTTTCTACCAGCGACTCTTCCCCTGGCGACAGCTTTTCCAGTGGTTGAACCACAGCCCAATGCCCACGAATGACTTTGGCAATCGCGAGTTTGCTTTTACTCTGCAAAATGACGCATATCTGCGGTACCAGTCTTTTGCAACGGCAGACCTGTAAGCCAATGCCGACCAACCGCATAACCCAGCCAGTTGTGCTCACGATGAATCTAGATTACGGAAGGACGTCCTCCGCCTCATGCCCTCCCGTTTCGAAATCGGCCCCGTCTATTCAACAAACCCTCGAGATCGAAAGACTCTGCGCAACTCGTCGGCCTTCAAGCCCTTGTCAAAGGAGCTCTGCTTCGATATCGATTTGACTGATTACGACGACATCCGAACATGCTGCGACAAGGCCACCATTTGCAACAAGTGCTGGCAATTCATGACCATGGCCATCAAGGTTGTCGATGTGGCTCTGAGAGACGACTTTGGCTTCAGCCACATCATGTGGGTGTACTCTGGACGAAGAGGTGCCCACGCTTGGGTGTGCGACAAGAAGGCTAGGTCGATGGATGACCAGAAGCGCAGGGCCATAGCAAACTACCTGGAAGTAATCAAGGGTGGTTCGCAGAGTGGCAAAAAGGTCAATGTCAAGAGGCCGTTGCACCCACATCTCAGGTGAGCGACGAGTTTGTGCTTTTGGTAGATGAAACCAATGGCTGCAATGGTGCTAACATGCTCTTCAGTCGGAGTCTCGACATTCTCAAGACGCACTTCCAAGAAGATGTACTGGCTGAGCAGGATCCTTGGGCAACGGATGAACAGGCTCAGAAGCTATTGCAACTCCTCCCCGACAGAACCCTAAACGATTCACTACGCCGCAAATGGGAAGCCGCTCCAGGACGATCATCAATTTCAAAATGGGCTGACATTGATGCCGTGGCCAAGACTGGCGCAAGCAAGCACTTGGATGCTAAAGCATTACTAGAAGCTAAGCAGGATATTGTACTCGAGTATACCTATCCTCGCCTCGATATCGAAGTCAGCAAGAAGCTTAACCATTTGCTCAAAAGCCCCTTTGTTGTGCATCCAGGCACGGGACGGGTCTGTGTGCCCATTGATACCAAAGCTCTAGAGGACTTTGATCCTCTTGGCGTACCTACAGTACAAAGCTTGCTTGCGGAAATTGATTCTTGGAAGGGTGGAGAGGACGGCGATGAAGATGACAAGTCGAAAGCTACTATTGCGGACTGGGAAAAGACTAGCCTCAAGCCGTATGTTGAGCAGTTTAGATCATTTGTGTCGGCTCTCATCAAGGATGAAGGGGTTGCAAAAGTAAAGCGTGAGCGAGAAGATGATTCAATGGATTTTTAGAATCGTAATGAAACGGAGCATCAATGTATTGTCACTAGGTTGCATATAGCGGTGGGATATATGATTTTGTGCCGCGTGTTTTGGGTATAAATCTCGGTTTAGTATTGGTCAAGGAGCTATATACAGCGATTATGTCTATGACGATGTCTCTTTTAGTTGTTCAGCGTGTCCTTCATCTGCAGCAGCAGTCGATGCCTCGGCTGTCGAAGCATCTTGTACCTTGGTTTCTGACGCCTCCGCCCCCTTTTCCTCATCTTCATCCTCCTCCTCATCCTCGTCTTCACCCCCCTCTTCAGCCTCTTCACCATCACCAACATCTTCACTCCTTAATCTCCCACCCTTTCTCTTTGGGATCACGCTCAAAAATGCCTGCCCCCAGTCACCACACTCTAACCACTTGAGCATAATCTCAACCACATGGTTCGTCGCCAGGACTTGCCGGCTCTGCATCACCATGAACTGGCCAATCGGCAGTCTTGCCGTCCGAATGCCCAATTCCCGCGCACGTCTATAGCAAAGGCCCTTTTCGCGGTTCTTGTCGACCAGCCCGCCTACGACATAGCATGTGTTTGGCTCCAAGCGCTCGAGCGTGTAAGGGGAATCCGATGACAAGTACACAATGTCCTTGTTCGCCGCGTCCAGGGGCGGTTCCGGGCCAGGAATAGGAAAAGGATCGGTTTCATCACGAGTCCACGTCGAGGGCTCGTCGAGGCTGCGCTGCAGCGACTCAATCATTTCACCTCCGCTGCCGTCGGGGGCGTTCATGCGCTCGCGAACTTTTGCCGCGCAGCTGGTGAAGTCGCCGTCGTGGAACCACACGCCCTTCCAGTTCTTGTGCACGCCGCCGAGCACCTCGTGGAAACGCTTCGCGATGCCCTTGTTGAAGCCCGCGACCCAGAGATGCGAGCGGTACCTTGCCTGGCGGTTGTCGGAGTAGGCCCGGGTGACCTGGCTGGACAGCGACACGCGCTCCTTGTCCATCATGTACTGCTCAAAGTCGCAGTCGACGATGATGCCCACGGGGGCCAGGGTGGACGGCGTCTTCTTCTTTTGCAGGTCTAGAGGGTCGACGCCCTGGGCGATGAGGGCGGCGCGCTCGGAGCGGACGCGAGATTTGCGCTCGTGGCGCTTTTCCTTGCGGCGCTTGCGGCGGTCGTCTTTGCCGGCTTCCCATTCTTCTTGCTTGCGGAGGCGCTTGAGGGCGCTTTTGGACATGGGAGGGTTTGATTGAGCTTGTTCTTGTTCTTGTGATGTGTCTGTTGGTGGTGAGGGTGGTTGTGCTGAGGCTGAGGCCTCGATCGGCTCTGGTGAACTCATTTCTGCGATGATTTTATGTGCTGTAAGGCTTGGGTAATATGTTGTGTATGAGTTTATGAGGCAATGAAGATTCGATCCGTAATGAGAAGCTCAACTGGAGCTGGGTTGACTCCGAGATTGAACTGCTTGTTGTGTAGTTGAGATCACATCTGCTGGATACTATTCATGTGATGGTGAGTCACACCGGAGCTGTACCAGCTTATTGTTGAGAGTTCTGTGCCTCCTAGAAGCTTCCCAGTTGAATGAAGCTATCGACATTCACAATTGATCACCGCGATGCCTCCAGAATGCCCTCAATCGCCAATATCATGGAGTTTTCACAAGTCTTATATCCTCTCTTTTTTTTCTACCTACCTAAGCAGCAATCTTTTGCACCCCAAATCTCTTGGTGGGCTGGTGGGGCCCGAAGCAAGTATCTTTGTACCGCCGCCCAAAATCCGAAACCAGTCCAAAATTCTTTCTCGTCCAATCACAGCACCCCAATTGATGACAATGGCCCTCACGTGATGCGCAGTTCTCGGCATCCCAAGGGCCTCAAAGGCCATGGCAAAACAGCTCCTCCTCTCTTTTCAAACTCCCATCAACGGGCGAGATTCCCAATTCCACAACGCCATGGCGAAGCCGTATGTGCCGCATGACGTCCTTGACGAGACGGCCAAGACTTCATTGGTCGGCCTGGGCAGCGGCTTCTTCATTGCCGCCATCCAGAATGCCCTGTCGAAGCGCAACGTGGGCGCTATGAGCGTCTTTACGCGGGGAGCTCCCATCATTGGCATTTGCGGTATGGACTGAGTCCCTGCGACGATATGGCTCCAATTGGGCCGGATCTTTGCGCAAAACACAATCACCAGAGAGGATTTTTTTTTTTTTTTTTTTTGGCTGACGGGTGTGCTGTTTGTGTTTTCTAGCTGCCGGTCCCGGTGCCTACGCCTTCTTCTCCCGGACGATGATGAACCTGCGGGAGAAGGATGATGCTTGGGCCGCCGCCTTTGGAGGTTTCATGTGCGGCAGTGTTCTCGGACTTCCTTGTAAGGACCCCCCTTCAGTATTTTTACATGGTTTCCGGTTATAGCGCGCATGCTGACTCTCGCCTCTTTGCTCTAACACAGTCCGACGCACACCCATTGTGCTGGCTCTTGGTGCTTTCGTCGGCACTGCCCAGGGCCTTTTCCACGTCTCCGGAGGACGGCTGGACAGCTTATACAAGGAGGAGGATGAGTTTGAGCGCAATGAGACTATTCGACGGACAACCCGTCTGCCCGTTGAGCAGACTGTTGCCGAGCTGGGCGAGGGACGAGGTAAGTCTTGACATTACTAGATCTCTGTAGCTGGTTCTTGGTAAACTGACGTCTAAACACAGGCATCCGTCCTCCTGGATATGAGGAGCGGAGACGAGAGCGGATCAAGGAAAAGTATGGCTTCGAAGTTAACCCCGTAAGCGCCACCGCTGAGGGTAGCCAATAAAAATGATATCAAAAATGAAAGAATTTAAAGCCAGCTGCCAGAGATTTTCGAGGTGAGTTCTGCGGCAGCTTGTACATATATCCGTCGCATTCCAGTGCGGAAGAGATGCGATGCTAGATAATCGGATTTTTTTTTGTTTTCCACGTCGTCATTGCCATTGCCATTACTGCATGTTTTTGGATTTGGGCTGCCGGTGTCATGACGACTAAACTTAGAAAGGTACGTTTTTTCTTTCTTTTCTTTTCCAAATACTCTTTATTTTGCGTCCTGTCGTCTTCTTTTCCATGATGAAATCTCTTCAGAGGCTGTTTATGATATCACTGATTAATTATCACCATATCTACATTGTATTGTCTGATGGAATCTTTTCTTTATCCTTTATCAACTCCTACTGGTTGCATGTCACGAACAATCTGCTGACATATGGAATACACAGGGTGTGAAAGCTTTTCATCTTGTAAAATCGCGGCTCTCATCATGCCCCTTAAATAACGGCGCTCTTTAGTGCTATTATATGCATATCCGTCCCAAATGATATAGGATCTGTTTCCCAAATAAATGCAGTCAATCCCAACTCCTGGCGCTATCAAATGCGAGGCCATTACACTAAAAGTCTGAGTAAAATTGACGTTGATTTTCTCCCCCATCCGTGGAATTTGTTCATAGCGCCTTGACGGATTGAAAGAAGGGGTTGGCAAGCAACTTCTCGTCTGCTGCCACCAATTCCTTTAGCTTGGCCACCTGCTCCTCCTTGCTGAGCTCTCCGTTCTGCACAGCCTCTTTCCATTCAACCAGCACCTTCTTGAGCATTGCGCTGCCCTGTTCCACATCCTCAGTACTGTAGCTCATGCCGAGATCCTCGTGTTTGGTAGTAAAGTCCTCGAGCTCGTCCGCCTTGCGCTTGGCCATGCGGACGACCTTGTCAGGGAAGCGCACAAGTTCGGCGACGTGGATACCGAAACTCTGATCGCAGATGCCAGGCTCAACCTTGTACAGCAACGTAACCTCGCGTTTGGCGTTGATATCGCCATTGGTGCCGCTAATGTGCGCTGTGACGTGCATGTTCTTGACCTGGGGATACTGGTCGGCCAGCGCCGTCAGTTCGTGGAAGTGAGTTGCAAACATGGCAAAGCAACCAATCTCCTTGACAATATGCTCGGAGATGGCCCAGGCGAGGCCGAAGCCATCGTATGTCGAAGTACCGCGACCGAGCTCGTCAATGATGATGAGGGACTCAGCTGTGGCCGACTTGAGGATATTGGCCGTCTCAAGCATTTCGGCCATGAAAGTTGAGACACCCTTGAGTTGAGAGTCAGAGGCACCCACACGGGCAAGGATGGAGTCGAAAATGGTGAGCTCGGCCTCTGAACAGGGGACAAAAGAGCCAACTTGAGCCATGAGGGCAATGACACCGGCTTGGCGGATGTAAGTCGATTTACCACCCATGTTGGGTCCGGTGATGATGAGGAACGACGACTTGTCACGGGTAAGATCCACGTCGTTGGTGATGAATTGGACGTCGTCCTGGAGTTCCATGCAAGGGTGACGAGCACCGATGAGCTTTGTCTGACCCTCGCCCCTGGTATGCATCTTGGGTCGGACGTAAGCCTCAGGAGCGTGCACGGCGGCGTGAGAGAGCGAGACGATGACATCTAGATGAGCCAGCACGCCAGCAAGACGCTCCAAGACGGGGCAATACGAGGATGCTACCTGGACGACCTCGTTCACCAAGCTGCTCTGAGTGCGGTTGTAGTTTGCCGACAGCTGGTCGTGCTCACGACGATAGGCCTGCAGCTGCTTTGTTGTAAAGTAGACGCCATTCTTCTGGGTGGAGCACTCCTGATACTTTGACTTGCCGCGGATGCAGCCAGCCTCTTGTCTCGTCAGGCGCATGCACACGCCGTGGACCTTGTGGTTTGCCTCGAGGAAAATCTTCTTGTCGGCCTCTTGGTCCAGGTCACGAGCGGCGCTGTGGAATTCCTGTCTGATATCACGGTCGAGCTGGTCGAGCTTCTTGCGGATAATACGCAGGCTCTGGTCATACTCTGGCTTGATGATGTACTCGTGTCGATCCAGGGCATCGAGGTCGACAGTTTGCTCAACCATGTCCTGAAGCTTGCCGAGACTATCGGACAACTCTCGGAGCTTGTTGGTGTATGCGTCGTCAAGAGGATCCTTGTAAGCCTCGTCCATGATTCCCTCCAGGGTGCCGATGAAGCCTGGGAGACGGATGACAACTTGATAAGCGCGGACAACGTCCTCTAGATTGGCCTTGCCGCGCTGGAATTTCTTCGATAGGCGGTACAGATCGGGGACGGAGCGCAGGTGCTCTTCCTGCATGGTTTGGCGAAGCTCTGTATCGGTATAGAACGCCTCTACGAGCTGCTGTCGCCTTTCAATTTCATCCTTGCTCATCAACGGCTGCTTCAGCCACTGCGCCAAAAGGCGGCTGCCTACGGGGGTCTTGCAGTGGTTGAGCACACCGTAGATGCTCATCGTCTTCGATCCGTCTCGTGGACCGGGCATGAGATTGAGCGCCTTGAGGGCAGCTGCATCAAGCTTCATATACTGTGCCAAGTCGTGCTGGTAGAGCTGATACTGGCCAAAGTTGGAGACATCTTGTAGGGCGCCAATGTACTTGATCAGACATGCCGCAGAACCCATGGCCAACTTAAGGTCTGTCTGTGGTAGCATGGCAACTGATTTTTCGTCTTTCAAGAGGCGGGCCAGATCCTGTTCGATGTCTTTGATGGCAAAGTCACCAGCTGGCCGCTCCGCTAGAGCGACACCGCAGTTATTGATGATTTGCCGTATCTTTGCCAATTCAGGGTCTTTCTCCTTCTCTCTGTCGCCCTTCTCGTATTGGATGAGGCACTCTCGGACACCAAGCTGAATAAGAAGAGCCTCAAAGTTGGAGTAGAGGTCATTGTCGAGGAACTCGCTGACACCGAGCTCTCGCACACTGGCGTCAGCGAAGCAGACACCGACGCCACGCGCCTCGGAAGCCTTTGCGGATATCTTGACTGCCATAATCATGGGCGCCGAATCAATCTGGCCACCTAGCTCGTCTTCGACATCTTGAAGGTTTCCGGGGGACGCCTGCTTGATGCACTTCCAGTTCATCCGACCGCTGGAGTTCTGCCAGATCTCGATTCTCTTGCCCAGCTTGAAGAGCGCCTCGCGGAGGAACTGCCGGAAGACGGTCGTGGTTAATGTGACGGAGGGGAGACCGGTGTGGTCGTTTTTGCCGAGTTGTCGGACAACGGACGTCGTCTTGTAGACCTGAATTGGGTACGTTAGAGAGGTGAATCGGTTAGGAAAGGCGACGGGATTGGTGTCGTACAGTTTTAGCAATGAACAGGGCATCGTTGCCATGGGCGGTGTACCAGTCGCCTCGGTCGAATATCCGCACGGCATCTTCACCGAGATCTGGCAGAGACTTGAAGAAGCGGATGAAGCCGCCCTCGTCGTCGACCTGGGGTTTCCAATGTCAGATTCTTCAGCACTTGGCCGTCAAGTTGCTGGAGGGGTCTAAGGCGTTATAGTACCTTCAATTCGGGTCTTGAAGCCATGATTGGGGACTGTCAAGGTCGTGATGAATATTCCCAAACGATTCCTCAAAAAACTTCCAAATCTCTCTCCCTAGCTGAGACGAAGAGAATGAAGCATGGAGATGCAGCTGGTCGAAAAGACGTGGCCTGCAGAATCCAGAATCCCCTGTAGAGCCACCGGCGCGTGTCTTGGAGGGGAGACGCGTTTGTACTGCAATCAATTAGAAAAGTGGTGACGCGAAAGGTGGGATTAGGTAATCGCACCAGCTGTAGTAAAAGAGTGGGTGATTCTAGCTGTTGCTTTTGAACATTGGAGATGAGCCTCTTTATCGCCACTATGATGCAGAAATACATGAATATTTAAATGTTGCACCTGGACGCCTCTGTGTAACTACAAGGCAAAAAGATATGATCTCACCAATTCATTAATCGCCAAGTGCAAGCATGGATAATCCCGTGGCGGCAAATGTGCTCGGCACCGCTGGAGCTGTACGTCATTCTCCAACTCACATAGAACGAAATAGACATGATCAAGATGATAGAAATCTTGGAAACAATTCGCTAATGGTAATACATATTAGGTGTGCTGGTCTGTACAGGTACAATTTCCAATTCTTTGCACTGCATGTGGATAGCATCACTGATGAAGACGCAGCTTATCCCCCAAATCATCATCAACTATCGTCGCCACAACACCACAGGCCTACAGCCCTCAATGATGATGCTATGGGCATGTGCTGGCGTCCCTCTGGGAGTGTACAACATCACCAAGGAGTTTAATGTAGCTCTGCGCATCCAGCCCCAGATCTTGACGCTCTTAAGTCTCACCACTTGGGCTCAATGCCGATACTACGACAAGGTGAATACACACATGATTACTTCGCTGTTGCTGTCCAACCGGCATCACCAGTCACTAATCTTAATCTCGATACTAGAAATGGCCCATTTCTCGCTGTCTTCTCGTAACCATTCCCATCGCTCTCCTGATGGCTGGTATACAGATTGGCCTCATCTTCGCCCTGCGAGCCGCTCACTCTTCGCATCTCGCATGGCCGGATACTTTGATGGCAAGTCTCTCTGCGGCATTCCTCGCTGCTGGCGTCCTCAGACACTACTGGGATATATACGTCCATCGATCGGTGCGTGGGATCTCATTCATCTTTGTGGGCATCGACGCCGCCGGCGATCTCTTCTCGCTCATCTCGGTCTTCTTCCAACCAACCCTGGACATTCTTGGTATGGTGATATATGGGACTGAGCTGGTCCTTTGGATTGGCGTGTTCGCTTGTGGCGGATACTTCAACTTGCTGCCCTGGGCAAAACAGAATTTGAAGATGCGCTCAGAGCATGATGCATCTCCCAGTGCCTCTGAGATGTCTGCAGACCCTACTACTCAACCATCTCACGACATCTCTCTTCGAAACATGCCGTCATCCACATCCGTCTTTAGAACGCCCTCAAGCGAAGTTACTGTTGCGAGAGCTAGAGCCGGATTCCACGATACCGATGATGAGAGTGGCGCAATATCACAGAGATGAATCGGGTCTTGTCAGCATCGGCAAATCCATTCCGCTATAATACCTCGATCTACCTCGGCGTCGCAATTCCCTGTGCTTCTACCTGACTAGTATTTTGCCGCATCTTCAAGGATCATAGATGCTCCCTTTTCCGCAATGGCATACACAGTCGCCTGTATGTGTGCACTGATATGAAGCGGCATGACGCTCGCATCCACAACTCGCAGACCCTTGACTCCATATACCTTGAGCCTCTCGTCCACGACTCCTCCTCCGATGCCTGCCTGGCCGCCCATGGCGCATGTGCCAATAGGATGGTATGTCATAGCGGTGCTGTCAAGGATCCACGCCTTGACATCCTCGTCGTCTGTGAATAAACTGGCGGGGGGGTATGCCCATTGTCTCACAATCTTGTTGAAAGAGGGCGCAAGCAATATTTTGCGAGCAAAGCGGGCCGATTCCAGCATGATGTCGAGATCTATCTCACCGTGGGGGCCTTCATAATGCCTGGGATCAAGCACAGGATCATCTTTCTCAGAGGGTGCTGGCTGAATGTGGACTGAGCCAACAGAGAAAGGATATTGGAGATATTGATACAAACTGCCAAACTTCTTTCCAGCCTCTGCCATGGGTGCAGCGCCAAGAAAAAAGACAAATTCCACCTGGCCAATCTCAGTGTCCTTCAGACGCTGTTGCATGATAGCTTTCTTTTCTGGTGGAAACCCGGTTAGATCCTTGGCCTGAGAATATAACCTCTCCAAGGTATCTTGCGGCATGAAAGTGGCAAGAGGCACATAGCTGTAAGCGGAGGGAAGGCGGGTGAGAGGGCCAGTTTGGTCCCGATCGTACTGTGCTCGAGCTGCTGCCGCGTAATTGGCGTCAAAGAAGAGATCATCACGACTCTCAAGCTCTGGGTCAACTTCCACGACCATATGGATGTCTGTTTTATCCCGTTAGCCAACGGCTGACTTACACTGCGATTCATATTACCGAAGCAGGTACAAACCTTTGTGCTCCTGTAGGTTTTCCCCTACCATGGGACTATCCACTTTGACATCAATGCCGGCTTGGGACAATACCTCGGGGTTGCCTATGCCTGATAGCTCTAGTATCTGCGGTGACTGGAGGCTTCCAGCGGACAAGATGACTTCGCGAGATGCTGAGACAACGTGCTCTTGGCCTTTATAGACGAATCGAACTCCAGAGGCCCTATATGCGTTGTCAACCTTGTCAAGGACAACATCTTGAACGATGGCTTCAGTCAAGATGTGAAGGTTGGAACCAGCCAAGGAACAATAGTTGGTCGCAAAGGATCGAGTCGTGGTGCGAGGGTCGATGTTGTTGATGTTTGTCCACCTCCCGACATTCGATCCCGCAAAATGAGCCGAGTTTGTTGGCACGCCCACCGAGTTGAGCGTCTTGAAATACACCTGATTAGATGGTTGAAATTCTTCGGCATAAGAGATATGAATCGGCCCCGAGTTCCCGAAGGCTTCAATGTCATATCGAAGGTCCTCTTGAACCCGTATAGAATCGCTAGGTGGATGAAACGTTTCCGACTTTTTGAAATAGGGGCTATCGGACGAGATCAGAGGAGACTTCACACCATCACCACCACTGAGTCTCGACAGAACTTACAGCAAGTTATCCCATCCCCATCCGGGATTGCCTAGCGCCTCCCACGCATCATAGTCCTCTCTGGCACCTCTCATCCATGTCATAAAGTTGATAGCACCCGATCCACCGAGGGCTTTCCCTCGTGGCCAACTGATCGCCTTTCCCCCAAGACGAGCCTGTGGTGCTGTTTTGAATTTCCAGTCAATCTCAGTGCCCAGCGATATCCCAGCGTAGCCTGGGATCTCGACATCGTCACGCCCGTTGGCTATTCCTCCAGCTTCAAGGACTCCAACAGTGAAGTTTCCATCTTGAGCCAGACGAGATGCAACAACTAGACCGGCAGTTCCACCGCCGATGACGAGGAAGTCAAAGGATTGATGGATGAAGTCGTCGATGGAGACTACCTGCATGTTGCTGTTTGCTTTTGTGAAGAGTGTTCTACAGGAGAATGACTACTGAAAGCCTACAGTTCTTCTTGTTTCAACCTTTCCATGTCTTATATAGATAGCGTGGACTATTAGTGCTGACCTGACGAAGCGTCGGAATAATTGGGAATCAGGCATCGATGCAAAACTCCATGGAACGCGGCACTCAAGTGGATATACCTATACCTGACTTGACTGTAGACCGACTTTTTCGCGTTCACAAGGGACCTCAGATCAGTGTTATGATAAGCTGTCCCTCCCCCCTTTGTAAGAAGACCGGTCCATAGGACGGGTTATCTTTTCGCAACAGCGGGGCAAACCTGTCCATAGGACACCTTGTGGATAATTAATTCTCCGTTTTATTTAACTCAGCTTTAGCCAAACATAACTAAATGTTTACCAAGTCCAATTTCCTCGTAAAATATAACATAGAACTGTTACTAAAATACTTCTATTACAGTTACTATAGAATTCATTTGGAAGGCATATAAAAGCAGCTGCGAATGAGTTCTTAATAGCTTTAATACTCATTAATTATAATTTTGATATTGATGCTAATACTAATACCGATGCTAATGCTAATGCCAATGCCCGATACTAATACTAATACCGATGCTAATGCCAATGCCAATGCCGATACTAATATCATAGAACCTCGCAAAGCTTGTTTGTGGGTCGTTCTAAATAAGGGGATATACTAACTTAAAGAAGTTAGCCTATTGTTTCTTTTAATAAAAACAGGGTATAATTATAGGGAGACCTATAAATGAGTTTTGCAAGGTTACAAGTACATACACATTGAATAAGGATCACAAAAGTCAGCTTAGTATAAGCTCTGCTTTATTATATATATTACCCTACATACTAATCTATATAGAAAGGAATATAATAATTAGTATATAATATAATAGGCATAAGCCATAGATATATACTTTTTTGCTTTATTTATTTATAAAGTGTTTAAAGTACCACAACCCAATACACTATATCCCACTTCATGCAATAAAATGGGGCTTGTACCAAGCTACCTAACCTTTGTGATCCTCGTGTGATGTATGGTATTAATATGTCAAAGAGGTATCAATGGCGATTTTCCCAGTCAGACGCCCCGTGGTATATGGAGCTACAGTGGAGGTCTGGCTGGTTTTGAAGCAGCCCCCTAAGTATATCCACGCAGCTAAACAAGACAAAATATTTCCGTCTACGCAGTCGAGCGAGCATATAACTGGCTACCTAGTGATTTAGAGTTCTGAGATAACGTCTCGAATTTGTCTTCGAGCTACCTAATACCCGAAGAGGTGTTACAAGCCCGGAGTAATTATGCTATTGAAGCTGAGATCTTACGTTAGATCTTAGAGGCATCAGCTTTAAACTCTGCATAATGACAAAAGAGAGACATGTTGATGTCTGTTCTATGACTATTCTTCCGCCTCGGTGTCTCAGACATCATTTCGATTTCGTTGAGATGGCTTCATTCGTCCGATCGAGACATTCTAACCCGTGCACGAGCATCGCCTTCAGACACAATCATGACATCATGGACCGACGCCTCAACAAACTCACTCCTCTCGAATGTTTCATTTACACAAAAACATCAACATGAATGAAAGAATCTACACAATGAATTGTTCATACGACCAATAAATTCAGCAAAATGGCGAAACCGCGTGTGATATACTGGTTCAGAACAGACCTCCGTCTGCACGATTCTCCCGCCCTACAAGCAGCACTCGATCTCGAGCCAGAGGTTCTTTGGCCAATCTTCACATGGGAACCTCACTACGTGTACAAGGCTAGAGGAGGAGTGAATCGATGGCAGTTTCTGTATGGCTCCTTGTTTGAATCATTTCATGGGAATATGAGATAACCAAGCGACTAACATTTTATATCAGATTGGACTGCCAGAATGACCTCTCCCAATCCATCACGAAGCTGAACAAAAACTCAAAGTTGTTCGTCCTCCGAGAAGGCCCGCAAACACTCTTTCCAAAACTCTTCAAAGCCTGGAAACCAACCCACCTCGTCTTCGAAAAGGACACAGATGCATACGCCCGTTCCCGCGACGAGGCCGTTGCCAAAGCAGCCAAAGCAGCAGGAATCCAAGTCATCATCCAACCAGGCCGAACCCTCTGGGACAGCGACGACATCGTCCAGCGCCATGGCGGGAAACCCACAATGTCGATAACCCAGCTACAGGCCGCAGGCAAAAAGATTGGACCCGTCGCAAAGCCCATTCCGGCGCCTGAGAGTTTGCCTGATCCGGGAGACATGCCTGTGGATTTTGAGCGGCATGTTCCTGAGGAGAAACCGGATTTCAACGCAGATTATAGATCGGAGGAAGATACGGGATATAAACACATCGCCGGTCCAAATGGTGATTTTGCCATTGAGACTCTGGATGAGCTCGGCTTCACCCCAGCAACAACTCCCCATCGAGGCGGCGAGACGCGCGCCCTCAAGATTCTCGAAGACCTCCTCAAGGACAAAAAGTACACGGCGACTTTCCAGAAACCAAAGACAAGCCCAGCACAATTCAATCCCCAGTCGACAACCCTGCTCTCGCCATTCTTCCACTTCGGCGCCCTCTCCGTACGTCTCTTCTACTGGCGCGTCCACGACATCGTCGAGTCCTACGGCAAAGCAGCCTCATCTCCCCCCGAAAGCCTCATCGGCCAAGTCCTCTTCCGCGACATGTACTTCGCCGCCCAGGCAGCCCTCGGCACATCCTTCGCCCAAACAGCAACGAACCCTTACTGCCGCTTCATCCCCTGGCATCTCCCCTCCAAGCGCGACCCGGAAACCGGCCTCATCACAGGCGACCACCACATCGACTCCCAGCAAGCCGAAGCCTGGTTCCAGCGCTGGAAGGCCGGCGTCACCGGCTTCCCCTGGATCGACGCCCTCATGCGCCAGCTCCGCCACGACGGCTGGATCCATCACCTCGGCCGCCACAGCGTCGCTTGTTTCCTCACCCGCGGCGGCTGCTACGTCGACTGGGAGCGCGGCGCAGAGGTCTTTGAGGAATGGCTCATCGACCACGAGCCCGCCTGCAACATCGGCAACTGGCAGTGGCTCTCCTGCACCGCCTTCTTCACCCAGTACTTCCGCTGCTACAGCCCCGTCTCCTTCGGCCAGAAGTGGGATAAGAACGGCGACTTGATTCGGCAATGGGTGCCTGAGCTCAGCCGCGTGAAACAAAAGTACATTTACGAGCCGTGGAAGATGCCGTTGCCTGACCAGAAGGAGGCCGGCGTCAGGGTTACTGGTGATGGCCTCTCGGAGCCTCAAGAAGGGACGTACCCGAAGCCCATGTTTGATTTCAATGAGCGGCGAGGCATCTGCATGGCTGCCATGAAGAACGCATACGCGGTGGGATTATACGGCAACGACGACAAGGTTCTGGATGGAAGCTGGAGAACGCTGTTTCCATCCCCTGGTGAGGCCGAGGTTATGGGAGAGTACGAGAGCGACTACGGGGAGAATGCAGATAATAACGAAGATGAGCATGACAAGGATGGATTAGATGGTGAAATTGCCAGCAACAAGCGTGGTGCGGAAAGCAACGGCACAGAATCCAAGTCAAAGAAGCAGAAGACAGAGGCATAACCCAGCCCATGAAGAGACTAATGGATTTCAAAGACATTGATTAGTTGACATAAAATTAATAGGAGTTCCATATCAGGGCATTTTCCTTCTCAGCATAGTTACCTTGCGTAGTAAGATGGTCCAACTTCAACTACAGTCCATAACTTCCAAAATTGGGTGTAGTCTCTATACATGTTCCAAGATGACCAAGACCAATTACACATATCATCTGATCAGTAACAGGCAAAGATATGCTGTGTTCTATTGTCCTCCGTGTGTGGTAGAGTTCGTTTGGTTGTATGGCAAGACTTGAATGTTTCGCACAGGCATGTACATTATGTCCCAGTGATCAGAGATGCTGGGGTTTCCGTAAGGGCGCAAGGCAGCGAATCGCAGGCTAAAAACGATCAGCTCATTATCCACGACTCTCGACCGGGCTATCATTGTCTCACGTATAATTGCCGGGCGCGATATAGCTTCCATTTGCCAGCTTGCCAAACCACCAGTGCTTAGCATAGCCGCGCGGAACTCTCATCATAGGGAACGAGACGGTTTGCTCTTTGTCCATGCGGCTAGGGTCGTAATACCAAAAGGTGTCGGCATCTCGCATGGTGGCTGCCGCACCAACATAGCCAGATTCCCCAACAACGGGAGGATATTCCCAATGGATCTCAGTCCAGAACGGGGTGTATATCTGAAGAGATGACCTCGATTAGCAGTTTCATAGCCCAACTAGGATTGGAGGGCAAATACTGACATCCCAGCGGAGATGGAAGCATGGGTAGTCGAGACGGGCGGATAACTCGACAAAGTCAAATCGACTTTTGTCGGTATTGAATGACCAACTGTTTACCATTAACATCTGATGACCTCTCAAATCTGATGACCTCTCAAACTGCCAACAGCACCCACTCACGTCCAGTTAGCACCCCGATCTGTGATGAAGGGTTCTCCCAAGAACATGCTATCAAAAGCCTTCTCGGTATCGTATGCTGCCCCTATAAAGCGCATCAGTATATCAGTATGTTGATGAGTCCATGTCAGGCCTATTTCGGGATCAAACGCACCTCCGTAGGGAATAGAGAGATCATCGCCGTTGCTCCCTCTTATCCAAACTTTACCGCCGTATAAAGGTAAGTAATCATCATTTACATGTTCGGGAAGGTCAAAGATGAACCTGAAATTGATTAGCAACATATAGCACAAATGTGAAATAGTAAGAGAACAATACTCGACTTGTTCTGTTCCTCCCGGTGCTACCACAACATCACTGGGCAATGAAACCGGGGGCACAATTCGCAATGGCTCGAGTTTGTAGGCAGTTTTTATACCATAGTGAGGATCCAGGATTTCCACTCCAGCTTGGGGCTCAAGCTCAAAGGAGTAAACCACAGTTTGGTTCCCTGAGTTTGTAACATTAGCAGTCCATGTTGATCGGAACTGTATGGAATCCGACAGCGAAAAAGGCTCAAATTCCAACTGAGTGTCATAGTCGATCACCTTGAGCGCGTTGACAAGACCAGTGCCCACTTGAAAGGGAGGGGCTCTGAATCCAAGATCGATATCACCAACTGCCCACCCAATACTCACTCCACTGGAAACAATGCGGTTGGCAAGCATTTTCGCGAATCCGGAGCCATGCAACTCACGGCCACCGTGCTTGGATATGTACAGTGCTGCAATGCCTGCGATATATGGTGCGGCCATAGATGTCCCGCTCATCGAAATGTAGTCATTGCCTGGTACGGTGCTGAGTATTTCAAAGCCGGGGGCACCGATATCAGGTTTGAGTAACAACTCATTAGTCGGGCCCCATGATGTGAATAAGGCGGGGATTGGTGCTGCGTTGGGATCAGAGGTGCTGATGTTTGGGTTACCGGTAACGTTGATGGCGGCTACAGACAAGACATTGTAGCCGTTTGCGCCACTGCTTGAGTAGAACGGTCCGGTATTGCCTTCATTCCCTGCCGAAATTGTAACCACGACGCCTTTGTCGGCAATTCTGTTAGCTACCAAAGCCCAGGGATCATCAGCAAACCCATCAGGTCTTCCGATGCTTGCCGTAATGACGTCGGCCTATAGGGTGGTTAGCTGTAGAATACCTAGGCACGTCCCGATAGTTTTACCCCGGCGCCGTATGCGTCACAAAATGCCTGAATGAGCACATCTTCATCAGTGTCCCAGGGATCCTGTAGATAGCATGTCAGTGGGCAGAAGTTTGTTGATGGGAGCATCATAGCACATACGTCGGCAAACACCTTGAACGAAAGAAGTTGAGCATCAGGAGCCACGCCAGTCAGCCTTTGATGGAAGGAGTTAGTTTAAGCACGATGGTGTGCTAAGATTTGCACATTACCATTCGTTTTCGGCGGCAATAATTCCGGCCACATGAGTTCCATGGCCGTGATGGTCCATGGGGTCTTGATCTGGGTCTTTTGGGTATCGTTTCTCATTGTGGGAGTTCCCTCGAACTTTATGTCAGTCATCATGTCATTTATTTTGTCAGAGGCCAAGGAGGGAGCTTACAGTCTTTACCAACGAGATCATAACCTCCGGCAACCTTGCAGCTAGGTCCAAAGCATCCGCCAAGCTGTAGAGTATATTAGTGCAAGGGACCGGTCTGCTACAGAGAATGATGACTTACCGCTCCATGCGTATAATCAAGGCCAGTGTCAATGATGGCAACGGTAACACCTTTACCTCGAATACCTCGAGCGTGGAGCTGATCAACGCCGGTCCATTGGTGCACAGAATAATTGTGATTCTTGGGGTCTGGAGCGGCCTTTACTTGCTGTATGGCAGATGCCATTGGAATTGTTTTCATTGGCCAAACATTGGCCACACCGTGGACTGCGCTGAGAGTATCGACATTGTCAATTTCAGTTTCCACTACTATTCCATTGAAAAGGTCGCCGCAGTCAAACTGCCTGAAGTAGGTGCTATTTCTAGATGACGGCGAGGCAAACTGGCGAGTCATATAGGCAATGCTACCCTGCATGATGAAAATAGTCAAAGCCTGCAGAAAAGGCAAACCAAGCGTTGCAACGACACACCTTTTCGATTTCAACGATGTACTTGTTTGTTGCAGCATTGACGTTCTTTGTGGGCTTATCTGCTGTTCCCTTCTGTTCATTCTTCAGCGAAGCCACGCCTGCGACATGGATAACGAGACCCAGGAAACTGAGAGCCCGCATGGTGGTTTGTGGCACTTGGGCCAGCAAGACGCGTTGGAGGAGAAGATGGGCTCAAAGAGTTGTTGGCCGCTGAATTGCCTCTCCAAAGTCCCAGGATGAAGTGTCTCGCGATGTCTTGTTCCAATAAGTCAATGAGTCGTTGCTTGTGTTTCAAGTAATGTGAGAGCGTCTAGCGAGAGCGATTGGCATCAAATAAGGCAGAATGGCAAAAAGTTGCAAAAGAGCGTTGGAAATAGAACACGAACAGCACCCCAGAGCTGCTTTTGACTCATCACAATCACGTCCATTGACCTTGGCATCTTGAGTATAAGAACGAGCAAACTTGTCTTTCGATTCCCGTCGAGGCGGCACGGAAGCTCTCGCCTACTCCTTCCTCACGGGTATCGGCATATTCTCGTTGTAATCGTCATTTATGAGGTTATTTTGTCTTCGGCAATTAACTTCAGGTTTGTTTTATTTTAATCTTGGAAGTCGTCATGAGAGACATGCGAAGCTCGCGGAGCAGGTGCTCTCGTGGGAGCAGAGCGTTTGGCAGCTGCACTTGCCCGCCTTCAATTCACTTGATGTCATATTCGTCAATACCCGTTAACAAGGCGTTGACAGCTTGGTCCGCTCTTTCCCGCGTGTATAACTCCAAAGCGGATAGCTGATAACGGATAACGGATGCCGGATAGCGGCAAGATGAGTTTGCCCTCGAGAGACTTGACCAACACGATACAACAAGCACCGCGCAAGACCGAGGCGCTGCTACACATGACACGATCCATCTGCAACATATCTGGGACCTGTGAGAGATGAGAGAACTTGCTGCCCCTGCGAATATTACAGACGTCTGGTGCTTGATAGTGTGGTATGTATGGGTCATTTGGTCAGCACACTCAAAATGATACCTCCAAGTCTTATGAGACAACACCAACAGTCCTCTGGTCTTTCAGCTCCAACAGCCCGGGAACCATCGTCTTATTAGTGGCGGTGCCACAAACCGGCCAAGGACAGCTAGCGGTCCCATCGAGAGCTGCTAGTATATGATGTGAAATAACCTAGGGAGTAAAACATGAGGCTACCCGGACAGCTTCGTTTGGCGAAATTTAAGCCTGCGGACCATCGTTTTGGCGACTCCACACCCGTGCGCCATCCACAGTGTTCAGTGCGACGGAAAAGTGGTGCTCAAGCGCACAAATGGATGGAAGGCGAGGATCGTTGGGGCATCTGTGTGCTCGGGAGCTTCCGAGGACGGTTCGCTAGATGGCATTTTCGTATCATTGTTGGGGTGGACAAACACGAAGGGCCTACAATAGCAGTTCCATCCTAGCCCCTACCTGCGAAAAGCTGTTCTGAATGTGGACGGAATACCGCATGGCTTGACGACATACTACTCGTACGAGCAATATCGACAGCATCACTGACTGCTTTACCATCTCACTCAATCCGCTACAGGGACAGGGTGAGGTTTCCATCCTAGCCCTCCCCAAAATCGTCAAGATCGCGCGCCTCGCTTCTGGAATCCACGTGGAAGCAGGTGCTAGGACACACCCATGCATGTCACCACCGAGACATGACTTGCCCGACACAAAAAGGGGAGATTGGGCTGTACATGGCGAATCGAAACCCCGCCAGGAAAAGAGCGAATCCGCGGCGCTGCGTCTTGTCGATTTGCAGCTGCGGGTAGAAGAGAGGAACTGGCAACGGCTAAAATCGACATGAACAAACTCGGACTACTGTCGACGCAGGGGGAAGATGGATTGCGCTATTCCAACACTACGAGGCGCCCGCCATGCAGCTTCCAGCACTACCGCAAGTAGCACGACAGCCACCAGGTACAAGTACGGGAGGATGAAAATGAACCACTGGACGAGACAGGGTTGTCGCAAATACGAGTACGGCCGTGGCTGCTGCAGCTGGGCTGTCGTGCAGGTTCTGTACGAGCACAAGTGAACTCTAGCTAAATTTAGGTCTTGTTCTCTTCAGGTACTGGAGGTGTCGATGCCATGCAGGTCTTGACCGAGAGCAGAGACATGGCGGCGAATAAACGATGCCGTGTTATCGCACCCGATGGAGGCCAAGCGATTCGCAAGTTCCAATCGATAACGGCGCCGGAGGAGAAAGATAACGATGGATGGGATGCCCAGCCAATTTCGCCAGCCAATGTCGCTTACCCGTATTCAACGCTGCTGGTCTCAGGACATTTGCCCGATCCTGGCCAAGCACGGAATGCGAAATCCGGGATGAATAGCTTCGGGGCCGACCTTTATTAGCGCATCCACAGTAGGTGAACTCGAGCAGTCGACGGACCAACCACCCACAAAGGCGCGATGTGGCCGCGGGCACTTGGGCCAAGATGGAGCCCCTGCGCTAGAGAGCCCGCAATATGGAGCAAGGCGTTTCATCCATTGAGGGCGAGGCCAACAGGGGAAGCATGAGAGAGAGAGAGAGAGAGACAGAGGCCCCAGACTGAGTGAGGGTTTCAGGGCTTTCACACTCGTACAGTCCCCAGCACAGCGCCTGTATCCTTCTGGGTCTCGCATGATTGCATGGAGGGCCTTGGACTGGGATTGTCTGCTACCTAGGCCGCTACAGTTGCAGCAGGCACGTGGATGTGGCCTTGATGGATAGGGTTGAAGGGTAGAGCCGAAATGTCGAAGCAATTTGACGACCAAGTCCAGTCCTCCTCATCCTACCAGGCAAGGTACTTGGAGCTGGGGCTAGATCCCAACACAGGCCGTCGTCTCTACAGTATGTACTCGCCTCTCTCTCTCTCTCTCTCTCTTTACCACTACTACTCGTATAATTCTCTCACTCTTCGTTTTTCGCCTCCTCCTTTTCCCATCGTTCCCCTCAAATGCCCACATCGCACAATAGAATCCATTCTAGTCCTGCACAAGGCATGGATGCATTCATTCGCCCTTTTCCCCCGAAGCAGCGCCTTACCTGGCCGGGCCACCACCATTGGCACCTTCTCATAGGACGTGGGGACCCCTGCGGCTCATTCAAGCCCTAGAGACTATGCGCCTTAGCGCTGCTGGCCTCGAGTAACAGCAGGTATCGGTACCGGCCTCGACCAGGCCCGCGCTCTCGCTTGCCCGCCAGCTGCCAGCGCTGCGAGGTCCCGATACCTATCGCTGGTGATCCCCGGCCTGTGGTGGCGTGCCGTTGCAGCGTTGCCATGCGCTGCTGGGTCTGCCAGGTACCAGTACGCTCCGGGAGTAGCGGTACCTCCAAGCTCTGTCCTGGTACGGGCTACCTCCACCGCGGTGTCATGCCCGCTAGTGAGCTCGTACCTCATACCTCGTACCTGCTGATCCATATCTTTGCCCCGGCCCGCCGATTCCAGGATCTTTGCTCAAGACCTTCCACTCTTCTCTCTTCTGCATCCGACTTGAACTTCTTTTTCTTCCCATCCTTTTTTTTCTTTCTATTCCTTATCAAGCAAAACGCCCCTGTAGCTGCAGGTCCCCAACCTCTTGTCACTCTTTACCTCTTCAACGCTACTAATACAACGGGAACTCCCAAACGTACCACTTCCTCTTCTTCCACCTTACTGTACTCAGACCTCAAGACCGCTTCCACCTCTCATCACCTGTTTCTACACTTGATACGTCCTCGGATCTTGTCTCTGCAAACATACAAACACGGGAGACTCCGCATCCGATCCGAACTGGAACGCCTTTTCCTTACGCCGACGTGAAACGAGCTCCAAGAGACCACGGAATAACAACAATCTTCGCTTCGGCTGCAAACTTGCAAACCTCTACATCTACCACCAATTTTCACCACCTTTCCCTCCCACCGCAAACATGGGTCAAAGTCTCTTTGAGCGTATCCAGGCCAAGCTGGAGCTCTTTCGCCTTGAGCAACGCTACACCCGTCGCCGCAACCGTCGATCCACCTTTGTGTCCAACGCCGTCTATGTTGATGGCGAGTACGTCTACCAGACTCCCAACAGCACCGGCTCTTCTGCAGAGTCCACCACATCTCGCATGGACGCACTCCACGGCGACCGCGCCTCGCCCACTCCCCGATCTCCCATGCACTCCATGACCCCCGAACCCACCTCTCCTACCATGGAGGCACTGCCTGAGCGTAAGAAGCTGAACCGCTTCAGCTCAATGCCCGGCTTTGGAGGATCCCGAACGGACCAGCAAAGGACAGTCCAGCGCCGAACCAGCATGATTCGGTAAAATAACTCCCCCGAGAGTGCAAACAAGAATTTATACAAACCAAAAAAAAAAAAAAACCCTCCCCGCAAAAGCCAATTTCTCATTTTGGATGGTGTACGGTTTGGATTACAAGACGACGAAGAGCGGAAGATACCACTTTGGGTAGCTTTTGGTTACGACCTTCCACGGCAACCCCTACGTACAGAAGTAAACCGCGAGTCGTTCTCACGATTATCATTTGTATCTCATCAAAGGCCATACTTGTCACGCTCGTTCGATTCTAGATGCCCCTTTCTCCTTGACTTCACCACGACGTTTCTTTCGTCTGGACATGGGGTCTTGAAAAAAGATTCACTGGACGCTCCTCACTGCTAGGTTTAAAGCATCTTCTACTTTTTCCTTTTATATTTGATTTTTAGTTTACGGAGCTGGGCGCAGCATATGAACATGCCTGCTATGACTTTTGGGTTGAACATATTTTTTCCTCAATACAGTCTCTTGTACATAGATGCCAGAATTATGAGATGAATTTACTCACCAAGACGTTTGACCTACCTTTGCTGCTATTTGCTACTCCAGACCCAGTTGTTTTGAGGCTTATACGGCTCCATCGGGTCTGCGTCTAAGTGTGTACTCGTATGCTCACCTGATGGTCTATTTCTGTGAGTATTCCTATTTTAATCCGGCAGTTCCGCCCGCCAGCATGTCCGTATAAGTCAGATCTATAACGGGGTGTGTTTTCCCCTCATTTATCAGCGGAATATCAGCGACACAAAAAAAGACGGCAAAAAAGCCGTACAGTAGTAATCATCACCAAAAATCGCCGCCGGCTTTAACAATTGGGACGAGTTTATTCCTGTCCGCGTCATGCGCATTACGTATGTGCCGCTGCCACCTCGTGCATGACACGACGCAACCGCCCATCCAATCCCAATCCAATCCCATAACAACAACCTACTAACCTAGCCAAAACACAAAAATCAAGTCGCCTCCCGGAAAGAAGTGAAGTTTTTTTTCTTTCTTCTTTTTGCTGTGTGGTTGTCTTCATTGTCTGGGGGCCTATCCGACGTAGCCGCCGTGCGGTAGATGAAACTTGGCGCGAAGCTCGCACATGGTTTGTTCGGAGGTGGTGGTTTTTTTGGTTTTTGGACCAATTGGGGGGTTTTTCTTTTTCTTTTTTCTTTTTTTTTTTTTTTGGTGAGGGGGGCGAGAACTAATAGTAGAATGTGTTTCGCCTTTTTGGAAGAGTCATGGATCTTTGTATAAGAGGGAAATAAGTTATACTGTATGCATATACCCACGTAGAGTAGGGTTCATGAATCAAGTTCATGTTCTTTCTCTTCCGGGATTTACGGAGACTTGAGTTTTGGATTTCTAAGACACTTGTAAAAAAGTGTGTGAGGTGAGACATGGGGCTTCCACTTGTCTCACCCGATTTATTATGGAGGGGTTAAATTCATTTGTATGAGGTGAAAAAAAAACGACTGGCTTGTCGTGTGTCTTGTTTTTTTCCCTTGTTTTGTATTTTGGTTATCCTGGAGCTGCGATAGGGTGGCGGTGGGCGGTTTCTCATGTGTGGAGGCGTCTTGCGTTTTGGGGGAGGCGTAGCTTTGATAGGTTTCTGGTTGCCGGATGTCGGAACGAATGTTCTTGTTGCTCATACGAGGTAGAGGTACAACGGGTACGAGATTGAATTGGATCGTGGGATTGCTGTTTGCGATTTAGTTTTGTTCATGACGTCGATGTGGCTGGTCGGTATCTTGATTGTGTATGATATCGTGAGCCTCTCTTTATGCGCCTGTGTAAGGCGGCATCCACTCTTTGTGATGGCCTCATTTGAACATCACCGTCTCTACCGTATGTTATCGATTATTATCACTTGGCATTTACTAAAACAAATAATATACAACATGTTTGATTACAATTAACGCCTTCAATCAAGTATAGTGAGAAATGGCTGACGCAAAATCACGGCACCACTCAATGCCTCATCATCAGGTATATATATAAACGAAAACAGAAACACCCTTCTAATATCTAACAAAATGTGAGTCTCACACAGTAATACCGTCCAGTCAGTAAAAGACAAACCAACGCCAACCAAATCACCAGTCGCACATAACAAAGAAAGGCGTCACAAACAGACGATGAGACAGACAAGCTGAAACACAAGAGAGACCAAGACAGGGTTCAGATCGAGGCTGCATGACATTTCATGCAAGGGGTGAAAATCAATTCCATCAATGTTTGTTGCAGAATGCGTCTTCAAGCCAATCAACAAACGGCAGCATTGTTCCTCTTTTAGCTGTCATCACAACTCCCAACGCCATAGAATGCTCGTGCGACCACTCGCCGGGGTCGCCTTTCTGGTATCCAAGTGCACGATGGTAACACATGCACACACTTTATATAAAAGAAAACGCCGCCCATGACTTCATGCCCTCGCTGCCAATCCCTCATATGCGCGGTCTACGGTTCGCCCACCCAAGCCGGGAATCGTTCGTAGCTGAGATAGCTTCTCAATCCCGCCGCCGCCCTCGGTGCTCGCCAACTCCAAGTAGTCTACCAGGTCTTGTGCCTTCTTCGCGCCGAATCCTACGAGTCCCCGGATCTGTGTCGCATCTCGTGAGTTGACCAAATCGAGTAGTCGTTGAGTGCGCGGCGTGTTATCATCATCGTCCTCCGTAAGAACATTTGGCTCTCTTCTAGCCTTGAGCTTGGCTGCCTTGATCTTTGGCGTGGAAACATGGCATTCCTCCTCCCCATCTGCCTCGGCGTCGTCGCCATCTTCGTCGCTGACAGTCTTGCGTCTCGGCTTGCGTTCCCTTCTCCTCTCCCGTCTCTCGGGAGATGTGCCTCCTGAGCTCCCCGATGATTCTATACGTGCTTTTAGGCGCTCAATCTTGCCCAGGAGCTTTGGTTGGTTTGGGAAATATGGCAAAGCCATTTCGTAGGCTTTGAGCGCGGCAGCATCATCGCCACGCTCCTTGTGATGCCTAGCCGACAGCAGATACCGCAGGCCTTCAGATTTGGCATCCTCCCTCCATTCTTCGTTCTCAATCCGTCTTTCCAAAGCTTCCAGACGTCTCTGGACCGCATCGCTCACTTCAGGTGAAGTCTGAGTTCGTCGAATAGATTCCTCGGCCGCTTCCCTTGCCGCTAGTATCTCACTCACTTTCTTCTCCACCAAGGCCTCAATCTCCGCTGCCGTCACAGTAAGGGTTTGTTGCGATGCCAGCGGGGGCTTTGAGGGTGCTGGAGGCACTGAAGGCCGTGAGGGTTTGGCGACTTGCTGCTGTGGGGTTTGGTGAATGATTGGCCGAGCAAGTTTGCTTGGTCGAGAGGTCGTGTCGTGATGGTCCGACGACCGCTTCAGCGAAGAGGACCGGGACTTTGAGGAGGAGCGAGGAGGAGCGGAGCCGAGGGACGGTCGCGCAATAGCTGACGGCTTCGCCTTATCCGTGTATACACTAAAGGCTTTAACGGGTTTGGCCACCTCGGCGGGCTTTGCCGCAGCGTTTGCGTTGGCAGCAATGTGGGTATTTATAGCATTAGCCAGAGGCTTTAATGGCTGCCGAGTGGCTGTAGCCGAGTTCGTCCTAGGAACCTGCTTAAACACGACCTCGTTTTCAATCTCGCGGACCTCAATCCGCTTTGCTCGAGAGCTGACATTCAAACTGCTGAGAGTATCCAAATGGTAGTTTCGCAGCGGTGATAGGTTGAGGATCATGACGGTGATGCCGTTGTTCTGACCGAGCGATAGAATTCGGGTCATCTTGGACTCTCGGTATGGTATCCTCTTGGCTCCTTGGGAAATGGCATCAATGCACTGGCTGAGCACAAACAGACTCTTGTTGATGGCTGCCGACTCCACCATCCGCTCCTTGCCATTGTCTGTCCGTCGATTGTCTTCCGAACCAGCCAGATCGATGGCAGATGCCGTGCTTTCTCGAACCATGTTACCGGTTGTCTGCGTCAGCTTGACCCGTAGAATGGCGTGGCTTCGACTGCTGTGAGCGTTGAGTTTTGTGGCCGCCGTTACCCGGTTGTTGTTGGCTTCGATATACAACGTTTCAAAATCCTTGAGGTCCTCGCAAGCTCGTTCCGTCAAGCCCACCACGACCGTCTTGCCGTTGGCTTCTGCGCGGAGGGGCAGTCCAGTCGGTGTCCGTTTTTCAGGGGGTTCCATCAAGTCGTAGACCTTGTCGTTGTAGATTTCGTAGTAGGACAGTGCTACGTCTACCGTAGTTTCTCCATCTGTGTCCTTCATAATCTTCTTCCCCCTGCGGAAGATGCTGCTAAGCAACCGGGGGATCACGCCTCGTTCAGCCAGTTTCATCCCTCCCCGCATCGTGTGCGTCTTTCCCGTGCCCGTGACACCATACGCAAAGATGGTAACATCGAGGCCCTGAAACAGCGACTTTACATGCGGCGCCACTGCTCAGGTTAACACAGCTAGTCCATAAGACGCGTTAGGTGCGGAGAGAGGCGGAGAAGAAAAAAGAAATCGTTCCCACCTTCGGAGGTAAACAGCGTCTCCTGCGTCGTCTCTGAGCCGTAGACGCCATTGAAGGTAAAGGAAAACTCCTCGCTCTCGTTTCGCGGGTTCGGGATCTTGACGATTGTCGCTGGTTTCTCGGGCTCGACGCTGTCGGTGTGAACAATGATGTCCTTCTCCAGCTCCTGGGACAGGAGAGGCCGCAGCCTGGCGACGACGCGAACCGACATTGGCGATCGATTGGGGCTATAGGCGAGGAGGAGAGAGGCAACCGCTGCCGGAGGATGGCGATGGGATCGAGGCTCCTAAATCCTGCTTAGTGAGCATCCGTCGTCCTGGTCGTCGGAGGAGATTAATTGGCAGTAGTAGAGATTAGATTGACCGATTTTTGGGGTGCTGGAGGGCTGGGAGTGCCAAGGGCTAGCAGGCTGGTACGGGGCTGGTTCGGTACGGGGCACATACCGCCGTTGTGCTGTGCTGGGGTATTTTGGCGCTGTGTTACCACGGCAACAGACACGTGCAGCAGGGACCTCGATACATGTTAGTACTTTGCTGGACCACACCACAGGCCGGGAAAGACCGCAGCGATTGCGAGATTTGCCGGGATTTTAGCGTCCGAACGGACTTGAGAAGCTCAACCACCAGCTTTTCTAGATGCTCGCGAGAGCTCGACAAACGGCGCAATGAGGGGCCCTTCGCCGCTGCTACGGACAGCGCGTGCATTGCGCAGCCAGCCGGCGCAGTACGTCTGCTGGCAATGCCGCGGAATTCAGATCAGTGCAACTCCGAGCACGACAGCCGGGGGAGATGCTTTTGGCGCAACTGAAAACCTGAGGGATACGGCTGGTATGGCTTCGCCGCTGCTGTGATGCTGTGATGGTGTCACGGTGCTTGTGCTGACAATCTGCGGGCTCTTAGATGCTCGATTCGAAGTCATTGGCTCTCCGTATTCGCTGCTCTCGGTATCGCTCTCGGCTTCACAGAGACTTTATACACGACGTGGGACGCTGGTCGCAGTGGCGGGGAACCCGGACAATGTGAGAGCGCTGACGATGCGACGGCGGCAATAGACCCGAAATATTAATGTTTAATGGTTTCGCAGGCACAATCGACTTTGTCACTACTAAATCCCCTTTCGCGGGCTCCGTTTGGCGTCCCATTCATCTACCAGCGCATCTCTGCCACTTCGCCGATTACCGCTTTGATCTCGACCAAATCCCCCACCACGACGTTTACCATCTTGCACCTGGACGGAACGACCGATTGGATGGTGATCCAGCGCAATGCTCTGCTGGCTTGGACAGGCCACACTCTGTCTCTCTCATCACGGATCCAGAGACGGCTCTCGGTGGCGCATTGGGGCAGCACATTTGTGACTGGTCGTGGATTGGCAGCGCTATCAGCGCCTGGACAGATTTACCAACTGCATCTCTCCGAGGGCGAAGAATTCGTCGCTCATCCTGGCAGCGTGGTTGCATATTCCGTCACAAAACACCAGCCTTTGCCGTTCAGGTTCAAGAGCGCTAGTCTACGATTCCAGATCCCATCCCTCACTTCCTGGATTCCGGAGACAGAGTTTATGAAGAAGGCACGGGATTCGCAAGTCTACAAATTCCTTGCCCGTACTTTCTACAGTCTGCGAACAATGACCCGCCGGACAATCTGGGGTGATCGACTGTTCCTGCATTTCAAGGGGCCGAGCACTATTCTCATGTCGAGCCGGGGCGTTCGCGTTGTCGATAGTCTCACCAACGAACAGGTCAATGAGATTGCTGATGCGCAAGCCGGTACACTGACATCTGCCTTGGCATTGGCCAGCAAGCCTCAAGGCACGCTGGCTGCAAAGGCAGTCGACGAGAATGCTTCTGGGATTCGCGTGGAGCCAACAAACACGGATGGAAAAGTAACGTTCGAGGATAAGAAGGACTTGAAGGAATTTGTTCGATGAACATTAGGATGCCAAAAAAGGGCCGGTGGTTAAAAAAATTGCTTGCGGAGCAAGCCTGTATGTTGTATACTATCATGAGATCATTACGCTGATTATCAATCGGCGTACCCAATGCAGTAGAATCTTGTCTGCGAGACGACGCAGGATTTGAATCTTTCGTTGGAACTCTGTGCGTTGACAATGTAGACCTAGTTGTGATCAATGCGGTGTTGGAAGAGCATGTCCAACACTTTCCTCCGAGCACGAAGCCGAACGGCATATTGAACAGATCCACTGCAAAGAAGGAGAAAGCAGTAAAATCTCTGATTGGCACTGGCTTTGAAACGGCCTAATACGTTCTCATGATCGGCACCAAGCATTTGATAGGAGAGGTTTGGAAGGATTAGCTTGACCCTGGCATCATATGCCACGTACTACCAAGGGCCTGCTGCATTCCTTCGTGCTCGGCCCTCGCCTCTTTCGCTTCCCACGAGGCCCCATGAATCTGATCTACTCAATCAGTGTGCCTAATTTTCAAGCTCAGACGCCGTTACAGGGCCAACAATAACGTCCCGCTTACTGCTGCGTGCGTATGATCTGCGAATTGCAGTGTAAGCTTCTCGCCGAGGCTAGCTCCGACTAACACGGGGAATTCGCGAAATGCCCGAATAAGGCAACACAATATGCTGAAAGAGGCAATCTTTGATATGAGTACACACTAATACACAATGGCGATCGCGTTATGCCTGTGGATTTCTTGTAGTTGAATAGTATAAGACACAAGAGGCCGCTCGTTTGTTTAAGATCAATCCGGTCTCGTTATAAAGAATCCCGATTCGGTGGGATCACCTTTCTTTTACTTGATATAACGTTCAACTTACCATTTAGTCTGTCAGAGACTTATTTCAGCTGATATTTTAATCTGTATTCTGTATTCTTCTTTATTGACCAGATACCCCGTTTCCTTCTTCTACAGAGAAACTCTCCTTGACTCAACTTACAATTGCACCTCTACCTACGATGCTTGCGTCTACTTCTTCCCCAACCGATGCGGCCGAAATACACAATAAAATGGAGTTCAAAGAAGACCTTGACTCTCACTCTCACAAGGGTTCTAACACCGAAGGTTCTGGCACCGGAGAGCAGATTGCCCTTGCCAACGTGGACGTCGAGGCCGCTCCCAAACTTCCACCTCCTGGCGATTTTCCTGAAGGCGGATTGGAGGCTTGGCTGGTTGTCCTTGGTGGATGGTGCGCTCTCTTTTGCACTTTTGGACTGATCAATTGCGTGGGCGTATTTGAAGAGTATTACGTCTCCGATCCATTGAAGGAATACTCTTCTTCTGTTGTGAGCTGGATTCTGTCAGTGCTGATATTCTTGATGATATTTTGCGGGGCGATAGTAAGTGATGCTCTGACTCCCGAAAACAATATAGGCAAAAGGGGGATATCTATGGAATACGGTGCTGACTGCTATAGTTTGGCCTTATTTTCGATAATTATGGATCGCGATGGCTCCTCTGGGGAGGCTCCGTTACTTACGTCTTCGGCCTCATGATGACCTCTCTCTCCAAAGAGTACTACCAATTCTTCCTCGCCCAGGCAATTGTCTCTGCCATTGGATCTAGTGCCGTCTTCAATGCCTGCATGTCCTCCATCGTCAGTTGGTTTCTCAGGAGGCGCGCTGCCGCTTATGGTATCATGGTCTCGGGCTCATCTGTCGGTGGTGTCGTTTTGCCAATCATGATGAATAAACTGATTATCAAGATTGGATTTCCTTGGATGATGCGTACACTCGGCTTCATGTTTATGGCGCTGCTGGGCATTGCGTGTTTGACAGTCAAGTCGAGACTGCCACCGCGCCCACGCAAATTCGTCCTCAGAGAGTACGCGAAGCACCTCAAGGATATCCGATTGGTTACTACCACTGCAGCATCATTCTTCTTCTATATGGGAATGTTCTTGCCCTTCAACTATGTTATTCTTCAGGCTCAAAACGCCGGCTTCTCTCCGAAGTTGGTCCCATATCTGATACCAATCCTCAATGCCTCGAGTATCTTTGGACGAATTCTCCCTGGCGTTGTAGCCGACAAGATGGGCAGGTTCAATGTGATGATCATCATCACTTTCGTGTCTGCTATATCCTGTCTCGCCATCTGGATTCCTGTCAAGAGTATCGCCGGCATCATCGTTTTTGTCATCATATTCGGCTTCTCCTCTGGAGGTGTCATCTCCCTTGGGCCAACGCTTGTGGCTCAGATCTCCGACATTAGGCACATTGGTACTCGAGTCGGCGTAGCGTTTTCAATTCAAGCCATCGGGGCACTGATTGGAAGTCCCATTGGCGGCGCCATTGTGTCGTCGCAGCATGGCGACTATCTCGGCCTGCAGTTGTTTTGTGGCTTGTCTATGGTGGTGGGATGCTTGTTGTTCATTTGGGCGCGATATACTGTTATTGGCTTCAAATGGGTCAAGGTTTGATGGGATGCTAGAGACATGTCAGTGTGTATGGGATCTTCGCATTGATGTAGAGGAGAATCGCATGTGTGGCGTTTGGGATGATTTTGGGACGCTGACTTAGAGGGAATTTGGGTGTTTTCTATTCATATGCCTAAGTAAACGATCGCGACGAATGCTATCAAATTCAAGTCCACAAAATTTGCACGATACTTTCGAAACATCAAGTCCCATCCTCTCCGCCTCTTTTCGGTGATTCGACACCATGTGACGATCCAACTCTCTCTTCTGAGCATGACCATATCCACATATATGGCACCTCTCTGGCCTGCATACTTTTCTTTCATCTCTCCTACACAACAAGAAATATATTAGTCCCAAATATATGTATCGAATCTTTAAACTTTACTCACTTTAGCATGTCTGAATCTTTTCGTTTGCGTCTTCTTGTTTTTTGGACATTTGTAGGGTTCCTTGGGGGATTCATCGGAGTTATTGGCATGTACTGGCCAAAACTCTCTAGTTGACCTTCGTTATGGGAGGACATTTCCAGTAGCTGGCAGTTCAAGAAAGTAGGTGGGGATACCGAGAGAAATATGTCTGTTGGTGAAAGAGCTGTGTTGCTGGAACTCCACGCGCTTGGAGTTGTCGCAGTGTCTAATGCCGTATGATCCTCACCAATGAGCTCGAAATTCGGGTCGTATTGAAAAGTATCGCTTGTTGGTAGAACTTGATTAAAGTCGAATTGTCCTGAGAATATGCCAATGTCGTCACCCATACCCTCTTCAGTGTCCGGGAAATTCGGCATTAAACTGTTGTGGCTTCCAGCGGCCGCCAGCAGCTCATCCATGTTGTAGTCGTCTCCGAAGAAAGTTGAATCCATAAGAAGTCCCCAGTCGATATTGTCGTCCAAAAAGGACATGAAATCTGGATTTTGGCATGAAGCCCAGTCCATGATTGGCACTGAGCTTCTGCTTCGTTGTATGTAGCGTTGAATAAGTAGTTTTTGGTTTGCGAATTTTTTATAAAATTCAGAGAACGATAATTGGGACCTTTTAGTGACGATATCCAGGTCCGGCAATCTGGCTTTCTGAAAATGGTCAATTTTTCTTCGGAATGTAGTATTAGATATGTCGACTACAACGTACCATATTTGAAAGCTTCAAAAGAGTCATCGCGAAGGCAACATCTGACCATATGATGAGGGAAGGTTTCCGAGCATACAACTCAACTTTTTCGGACTTCATCAGTTCACTCAAAGGTAGGGCCATCTGTTGCCGATGATTGGCAACGCCACTGCCTTCAAGCGAACCTTTGCACGCCCGTTCATTGAGTCGTACGTATGATCCCATGCCGAAAAACATTGGTTCTTGAATCAAAATCTTGCTGTTAGCAAACTATCCATCAAAATCCCAAGTCTCACAATTTGGAACACACACCAGTTGCCACTTCGACGTTATGGAGATGTAAACAACAGGAACCTGCTAATAACAAGGCCCCGTGTAAGAAGCCAAGGGTAGTACCACATGGCCCAGACACCGATGTGGTAGCTGGGCCATGTGGTACTACCTCTGGCAGTATGAAAGTTAAGGGTGCTGTAAACAGCAAAAAAGTTAAAAAGGGATGAGGAGAAATTCCAGAGAGTGTTCGGAGGTCGCTTGGGCGAGTCGGGGTATTTAAGCTTGTTGAAGGTCTCAGGCGGGGGTTATTTTCTGCCTCGTGCAATTCCTTTCGGCTAGCGACATGAAATGCTTGGGCTGTCATTAACAGCTGATTCGCGAAAGCTGAGAGGCCTTTGCATAAGGTCAGGTAGTGGTGGGTGGTACAGAGTATGCAGGGTGAAGCAATCGACAACACATGATTGGTGGCCTCGGAGGCCGTTGCATTAACGATTGGGGTTTGCCAATGGAAATGAAGAATACGGCCCACTGCTTCAGTCATATGAGGCTTGTACGATATAAATGGGATGCGTTATGTGTTGGCCTCCCAAAGTGATTTGTATATATAAATCCCAAATATTTGTTGAATATTTGGATTGACTTCATCTCCTCATCCACCTTGTCTCCTGAGTTGCTCGATTCATTTCTTTCTTTACATCCCTCTGTCGCTGACCACATATCTCATATACATTTGTCACAATGTCTTTCACAAACACGGAATATCAACACTTCATTCCCCAATTCATCTTGAAAAATTACTCTTACCCATTCAAATGTCCAAATGCTGGGCAGAAAGGAAAGAAGAAATGCAAATGCAAGCATGAAAAAAACAAATACCCCGGAGATCTCGTCACAAACTGTATATCTCTAAATCCTCCTCCTTTCCAACTGGAAACCTTTTCGGTAAAACGCATATTTGGGGCTCCCAACATGTACAACGACCCAGCTCAAACCACGACAGATAAGCAACGCCGCATTGAAGCCATGTTTAGCAAAATGGAGTCGCAAGCAAGCACCCTATTTCGCCGCATTGTCAAAAATCATGAAGCTGGGGATACAACTGTGACTCTGAGCAGAACGGAGCTCGACTTCATTCGCAAGTTTCTATTTCTGTTAAAGTACCGCGGTTCTACCTTTCATCAGACGTTTTACCGTGACGCGCTTGATGACTATCCATTCAATGATCGCGAACTACTCTTCGACTACATGAGGGAGCACAACTTCTCCTCGCCGAGAGATGTTTGGTACCATAATCTAGAAACGATCATCAACTTGGAAATGGACCCCCAACGCAAGTGGTTAAACACACTCCCGCAGAAAATGTTTCCCAACGATGCTCTTTGGTGTACAGCACATGTTGGAAACAATTACATGGCAATATGTACCCCTTCTGAGGCGGCGGATGAGTTTATCCTCACCGAGAACTGCTATAATGTGTTTGAGGGCCTTAGTAATTTCGTTGTGGACAAAGCTACCGGTCAGGTAGCCGGCGGCAACCAAGCTGCGTTTCACGAATTTGCACCCATCTCACCCCGTTTGATGATCATTTTACGGTCCCTTGCGCTGCCAAATTCGGCGGACCCTCACTCGATGATTATCCAGGGGCGTCAAGATATGTTCTGGTCTACATTTGGGCAAGTGTATGGACCGGACGCGACATCTATGTTGGATGATCTGCCAATAAAGCAATGCAGGAATAGTTATTCCGAAATCATCAACGGAAAGGCCCGTCCTGTTGCGGGATTTGATGGAAAATATCGGCCAGGCGATAAATTCCACTTCACCTATTATCCTATCAGAACCGACCATGTTCGCATCATTAACAGCATATTTCTGGACAATGCTTATAAGTCCAGCGTTATCGCCTACCGAAACCAAGACAACCTCAAAGGAATACTGGAGTCTTATGTTAGTGGACCTTGCGACATACACAAGGTCCTGAAAGATGACTGGGATAATCGATATTCATTTCTCCGAGAACTAGAGACTCTTTCCAAGCTCCTAGGCTCTCAAAAGTCACTCGTATGGAGGACGGTGGAAGCATACGAAACGCCTACTACACAGAACTTCACGAACAAAGACATAGAATTTCGAAGATTGATGCAGCAGAGAATTATGAAAGGCGGTACTCATCATGACCAAATGACGACCTTCCTTGAATTATACAAAAAGCTTGGTAAATGAAAGAATCCCAAAATGAGAGAGGGGGATATCGATACTAACGACTTGGTGTCCAGGGAGAAACTCAATGCTTGATCGGGACATTGCCCAAGCGGGGAAAATGGTTTATTTCCAATGGGTGGTGAAAGAATTGAGTATTCGCTGCGATGAGACAGTCCAAATGCGAAACAGGACAGTCATCTCCAAAATATTCAAGGCTTTTTATTGCTCGCGATATTGGCTTTATCTGAAGTTGTTCAGGAAATCACAATGCGGAGATCAAGACGGAACGCAAGACGAAGTTGAACTTCTCGTTAATAAAGATATTAGAGAGGGCCCAGAAGATATATTTGTCCAGAGTCAGTATTCTCTCGCTCGCCTTGAATGATTGCAACAACATACTTTGGCCTATGCTGACATAGACAGCCTCTCAACTCTACGATGAGAATACCTTAAATAACTTGATGTACACAACAGTGCTTAACGACATAGAAATACGGAAATCCAAGATAGCGAACCTATGGGCGAAGGCTGTTGACACCAAAAGTATCTTCTTCTATGTGCTACTACGTTCTATTATTTTCACCCGTCCAGGTAGGAAATTCATCCCAGTTCACACAATTTCACTACAACTTATTACTGACAACGATTCCAGGAAATATTCGAGACTGTGGTATGTTGTAACACTAAACCTCCTTATACTCTCTTCCTTACCATACAATGTTAAGACGATAACCTTATCTAGGCATTCCCGATGTTGAGCGGCTGGCTAAGCAAGCGGAGCAGAGTTTCCGCGAAAAAGGTACACAGAGCAGATCAATACATCTTCCCTTTGCCAATGGGGATGAAATCTTGGAGCTGATGGTGCGAGTCCATGTGAGATCAAAATTTAACGCAGCCATGGCAGGGAAGGCCAAAGACGGTGTACTGGGAGAACTGAAGGACATCCTTTTTAGATTGACTTTTCCAACTCCGCCATTGGACTAAGATTTATAGGAAATAGCTGTTATGGCACTCTTCTTGCATACATTCACGCAACATTTGTGACGTGGGGAGACATCTTTGCAAGGGCACCGTATTCATCAGATCAACCATGGGCACATCTCGTCAGGACCTGGCCAGACGTGAGTTCTTGGACGGTGGCCGTTGAAATTCTAGAATTGCTTGTGTCTATAATACAAAAAATAACTATACGTGAAATCACCAGACACGAATGTAATGGAAAATATAGCGCAACATTGTAGAATCGAATCAAGATTATACTTTGGATTGCTAATAAAGGCAAATTAAGGGGGGCCTGATGAGGCCAAAATGAGCAATTAAAAATAGACGGGCATCACGCCACGTAAAAGAGCCGTCTTCGTTGCTGGGGAGATTATCCAAGTCAATATCAGCCATCTTTACTTGCTTTGGTCACCCTGGGGTGAGCCGCATAGAAGGCCTCTCCACATGGGAAGGTAATCTGCGTTGCTATCTCTCGATCTAAACGTATGAGTCATGACCATCCAATACCTAGATATAGGCCTTCTTCACTGCTACTGAGAGACATCCAAAGGATAAGCATCTGCATACGTATCTCCCGACAGATCAACTCTTGGTATCGCATCTATATCTGAGTCCCTAAACTTTATCAATTGGGTCTACATTATGACTCCTAATTGTGGATTTATAGTTCACAACGAGCTTTAGTAGTTGAATGAAACCCAAATCAACATTCATGCTATGCTAACGACGACATGGCGTTGAACTATAAGATTCCGTTATCAGGCATATATAAAGCTGGGTTGCCCCCCCTTTCGCCCTCATCGCTATTTCTGACGGTCAACATTCAATTCACTCTCGTCTACACAATTGACTAAACAAATCACCACACGCTTTCAACGGCTTCGTGCAAGCATAAGACGGAATGGCTCCCAAGCGTTCTATCACCGCTCCCAACAGCAATGCCATCGCTGTCAGCAAACTTACAACTCCGGAAAACTTCAGTCTACCGGCAGCTCGACTCCCAGCAATTACGAATCCGTTACTTACCTTCGGCCTAAACACTCTAGTGTTCGTCTTGTCAGCCGGACTGAGTTTCTGGTCGTACTACAGGCAACTTGAGCGACGTACTGAGGAGGAGCCTTATGTATACATGCACGATTGGTTACTTCTTTTGTCCTTACTCTACTTGATCACTAGCTGGGTGATTTCTAGAAAGGAGTATTTCTTATACCGACTACAAGAGTCCTTTGTTGGGGTCGCTTTTCGGACTATGCCGGCTAAATTTTCCTATGCGTTCGACACTTTGGGGACATCTATGGAGAAACGTTTAAGGGAGGTGGACTGGGAACCCATTTTGAGATCCTCCATGGTTCTGTTACCTGGTCTGGTTCTATCAATAAGCCTTCGAAAGAAGGGCCAAGACCTGTCCCACGCACACCATCGACAATTTCCACAAGGATATCCGCACTATAACAAACACCGCAAGTGTCATCGGGGACATTGAAGCTGATTTAGCAGTTGAAAGTGGGATTACTTTGTTCAAAAAACGCATTGCCCACGGTTCTTGTGTGTATCGCTATGCTGGGTCTGGTGGTTTACCAGTTTTAACTTCGACTTGGCGTACTGAGTATGTTAAAGAGGCAATGGACAAACTATGACCTCGGATCGTTTGAGGGGTTCGGGCATTGGGGGGGATTATACTTCGTGATGGATACAAATAAGTATAGCCATAGGAATAGATTTAAATATTATGCTCAAAACTCTAGTATAGGAACTATGTTTAGTGGATTTGAAAACCTTCCGACGTTGCCATGCACGAGATTTGTTTACAAACTTGGGAGTGTGAGTCAACAAGGCGTCCAGTCAACAGGTATCCCATCAAAACATATATAAAGCTGATGCTGCTCTCTCCGTTTTTCTCTTCACACACACACACACACACTCTCTCTCTCTCTCACCATCCACTTCTACAACATCTTCTCATCTAAAGAGCAACAGATCATCTACTCTCTCTTGCCCAATTGATCATATCTATCACCGAACACTCTCAATCCCCCGCAAAAGAACACCAGTACAATGGATTCTGAACAGATGCAAACGGAGTATGCACGGCTGCAAAGTGCTACTACGCTCGAAAACCCGATGTTCAACAACATTGTCGTCGCTTGTTGTGGAATTATTCCTTCAGCGTATCTCAGCACGATATCCGTCTTGCTTCCAGCAATTGCATATCCATTCCTGTCTCCCCGCGCTGCTCATGGGCTACTCGTCTGTTCCTTTCTTCTAAATTCACATGCCTTCATGTTCCAACATGACCTTTGGAAAATGGGAGAACCGTCTACAGACATACCCTACTGGAAACTCGCCTTTGTGATTTTTTGCTTAACCATTGGTATGGTTGGGTTGACCCGAGGCCAGTATCGCAAAACACGGCCAAGGCATACCTTTCTTCTAGGCGTCATTCCGTTGCTTTTGGCTTCCGCAACAGCCTGGGTTCTATACGTTTTTGTGGCCCTCCCTCAAGAACAGGTAAAAGACTATACGGAAACACGTGAAGCTCGCCTCAGGAAATTTTGCACGATTTCGCCTATTGTTCTTACGGTTATCTGCTTCAAAAAGTTTGGTCGACCAATCTCGATCGCCATGTCTCAACTGGTCGCTCGTCGCGTCCGCTGGTTGTTTCGGTTTCGTCCAAGTGACATCGAGGCCAATGCCAACGCCGATGTCGTGAGCTATTCACCTGCAGCTTTCCAACACGAGGCCTCTGAGTTCCTATGGCGCAATCCTATCGAACATTATAGACGCCTTCGAAATGGCGCCCTTGGCCGCGCGGACGATGCATCGCATCACGCGAGGTGTGTCCATTATAATTGTGATAACAGTCGATGGCCTCTGTCTTCCCGGGAAATTGTTGTTACCTTCCTTGTGTATCTCGCCATGTTGGGTCTGATGATTTGCCAAGTGTATGGGCCCAAATCTGAGAAAGGCAGATCATAGGGGGGGCTTGAGAGAGGCCCAAATTTGGCATATTGAGTATGCTGAAGAAGCAGCAGACAGAATACATACAACACCGTTGCGGTCTGCCTGCAGGGGGTGGTGAGCTGAAGTCATTCGCAAAAGACCAACACACCCCTGCTGAACTACTTTCTCTCTTTTTCATCGTCACCTTTTATTCTTTTTTCTCTTATTCTTTTTTTTAATTGCACTCAACAAGTCCTCGTTTATGGTTAATTATTCTTCACATACACTTACGCTATATGCTTATTGCTTATTATTCGGAGATTTTCACGACACGGGCTGGCTTTGGACTAGCTCAACTGTCAAGTCTCTTCTCCACCACCAGACTCTGTTTTGGTGAAACATATCGAGTGTTTCCCCAGTGGATCACGTCAAGGCCCGCGATTCAGCCAAGTACAGCCTCATATACTGGACCCGAGAATGTACTTGAAACTCGCCCGAGGATGACGGTTTAGCGTCTGGCTGTGACAGACGAATCGCGCCACCACGACGAAGGAGCTGCAAGATGGATCCGTTTTCTGGGGTGGAGAAAATCGCACATGTTATGGCGCAAATAGGAAAGAGGGGTTCATGGGAGCTGGGCGTTGGATGAAATATGATGAATGTTTGTTTGTTTGTGAGGTACGAGTTGTGCCATGTGATTGTTGTTGCTGATGTTTTGCTCAACTCATCTTTTTCATTTCACTTGTCACTTAGGTAGACTATCATTATCAATAGGAAACAATAACTTTTGTATTCTTCATGTTTCAAATTGTGTGTCTGGCTGTAACAAAAACTGGAGGTCTTGGAGGCCTTATTCGACTCGTATAACAAACAAACTACTAACACGAACCCACACATATCCATACGGAGTGCCCGCCGTGCTGCTGGAAATAATACACCGCCACATCTCAGACAGCAAATGGAGGGGTCTGTCTCTCTCCCTCCTTGCAGCTCAATCGATAAGATTCAACGGTCCAACAGCTCGAATCTGGACATGAGAATCGGGCTGCAGGAAACCGCATTCCCGCTCATCCTCAACATGCCGTTTCCGAGATGCCATAGGCCGCCACCCATTGGCGGAGCATACGTGGCAGCGTGATATTGGGGCTGTGTCGACTTCTCCCTGTCGTAGGCCAAGGTCATAAGCCACTCTTGAACGCAGGGGGAGTGGAGATGGGGGATTGGGTTGACCGGCTAGCTTGTGTATTACGAGGGACCGAGTGTAGATGTCGTTTCTTACAAAATGCGCCCTGTCCCGCTCCAATTGCTGGGTTGACTTTTTTGCTTTCGTCAGACTCCTTCTCTACAGCTAGACTCGAATCCTCCCTCTGTCCTTTTACCACGAAACATTACGAATTGAAGCAATCATGAGCGGCTACGGCTACGGAAACGAGCACGGTCAGAACAATGACTACAATCAGCAGGGCCACCGACCCGGCGGTTCTGCCAACGCCTACTACGAGGGGGCTTCGAACGAGCAGCAGGGCTATCACACACAATACCAGCAGCCCCCTCCGCCATATGGCAACGAGAGTCACCAGCAAGGCCACGGCGGACCCCAGCAGGGCTATGGCGGGCCTCAGGAGGGTGAGCGAGGCCTGATGGGAGCTTTGGCTGGAGGTGCCGCCGGAGCTTTCGGTGGTGCCAAGTTTGGAGGCCAGGCCACCGGCCACTCCAAGACAAGCGGTGTTGTCGGAGCCATTGTCGGAGCCATTGCTGGATCAAAGCTGCAGGACGGCGTCTCGGACTGGCGAGAGGACCGAAAGGAGGAGAAGCACGACGCAAAGATGTACAAGGAGGAGAAGAGATACGAGGAGCACAGACATGAAGAGGAGCGCCGCCGCCGCGGCTCTCGCAGCCGCTCCCGAAGCCACTCCCGCCGTCGCTCCCGATCCAGCAGCAGCAGTTCCAGCGGTTCATCAAAGAAGAAGCATCACCACCACTCGCGCTCGCGTTCACGCTCTGGCTCCCGATCGCGCGGTCACGGAAACACCATTGTTGTTCAGCAGGGAGACACTCTCCGTGCCATTGCTACTCGCTACGGCACCTCGTTTGAGGCTATTGCCAGGCACAATGGCATTGACAACCCTGATTTGATCTACCCCGGCCAGGTTCTGCGGGTGCCCGAACGTTGGTAAAATGGGGTTGGAAGCATAACATCAATGGCAGAGACATCTTGATAGCGGAGAGATACAGAGAGTGGGTAGGAATGAGGCTGTACCTACCTACAAAAGAGATAATCCCAAATACCTACCAACGGGTCATGATGAATAGTTTAAAGAGCAAGAGTATAAGACTGAATTAGAAAGTCACCTCCCATAGCAAGGGCCAATGATACATTCGTGTTAACTTGAGGCATCTCAACTCCAATTTTGAAACTCAACACTCCCCACGTTACTGTTCGGGCTATGCTGATCGCACCCATAAAATGTACGGCACTCAACCTAAGAGTCAGTCCAATGGCTTTAATAAGTGAACAAGAACAGTTCGTCTTCTTTCTTGACTTATAACTATGCACGTAAATGAGCTCAGCACTACCACTTAATGAACCACATTCACGTAACTGTATCTCAACCGAGATGGCGAATTAGCGCCGGTGCAACCGTGGGATGTCGCCTCCCGCTCCGACAGCAACCGATCGATGATCATGTTGTTGAGCAAGTGAATGCAGGTAGAATTGGATAAAGAAATATTAACCGAGATGAGATGATCCTATTATGAGATGTCAGTAACCAATCGTAAAACCTATCTTGAAAACATGATCAATGGAGTGGCCAACAAAAGGGCAAATGTCGGATATATGCAGCAATGCTGAGAGGCTCTCGGCCAATGGATGCGGAAGACTGCGGGTTACAACATAAACAGGATTATTGACCAAGATAAGAGTAGAAAACAACAGAAGTATGGAAATCTTCATACACATTTCTAACCAGATTCTAGGCGCCAGCCTCGCGCAAGATCGGGCGTAGGTCTTACACATGTATGCCCAGATCGGCGTTTTCCAGAACCCCAATGACAATCACGCTCGTTCCGCTGTGCCTACTATATAAGTTTCCAAGCACCGAACGTTAGATTTGATTTCATTTGATATGTGTGCTTAATAAATTCTGCGTACCATCCGAGAGAGAGTTTTGATCTCCCCGTGTTTGTAATCCGAATACAGCAAGCACAACGTTTGATCAGATTTTAAGCTTAAAGCCATAACCGCCCGAAGTTGTTACCCAGGTATGATGGATATCACAGCCGCCTTACTTCTCCAAAACCAGTGTGTTACACACAGAAGAATAGAGATTAAATATGTAAGGGCTTTCATATATTCCTGCCCAACAACATACCGCATACTCCATCCTGTGTATTACACTGCGAAGATGAGACGATCATGATTCCTTGTTTCCGTATGCAGCCCGAAGATAAGGGTTAGGGCGATTGGAAGGAAACAGACGAAACTGAATTCTGCAAAGGGATCCAGCAGCATGGACAAGGATTAGAAGCCCCTCAGCTCAGTTTTGGGTGCTCTGTGTGGTTGCAAGGTGCTCGGAGTTTGGCCACGTCGGATTGCCTGGAAGGTACATACTATCTGGACAATTTCAAGTTATCTGACATATATATAATAGCGAATAAGTTGGCCGAGATGTAAATTTCCCAGTTTTCACACGGACAACCATCATACTCTTTCAATCACAACTATAATAAGTACCTTGTTGATATATCTTCATTCTTGAGATTGTGAACCAAGTCATAATGGCAAAATTATTCTCTCTTCTCCTCATCTACGCCACTTCCATAGCCATAATCAAAGCTGATGGCCTCTCTGATATCTCCAACAACTTAGCATCGGACCTAGGACCTCTCCTGTCGCTTTTTGGAGATCAAATAACTCGCCAATACCTCAGCGAAAGTATCGGCTTCCTTGATTATTTCATTTTCGCCATGGCCCCCATGGGCATCATTGGCACAATCACGGCTGTGATTCGAATATGTGGAAGCCCTTCGCTCAGAGCCTTCATTGGGAGAGCTCAGGAAGGAGAAGGTACCACCGAGGCTGAGTTGGCTACATCAACAAGCGCCGACGTTTGTGAGTTGTTTAATCAAAGTGGCATCACCAGAGTCCTCGGTCGGCCAGATATTGTCGAGCTCATATACACACCCAACAGCCCGGCCGATAAAAGATTTCATTTATTCACAAAATATCTGGCTACCCAGCTAGATGACGGCTATTGGTGAAAAGAAGACTTCTCTGGTAGTGGCCACGCCTTTTTCAGCAAGATCGCCTCCTTCATTTTTTCCAAGAAGGCTTCTCCTTCAGGACGTCCCAATCCCACAAATTTTGCCCCAAAACCAAACCTCTCTCTCAATGTGGGAGTCATAAGACGACCGGGCTGGGCGTTTTATGTTGTGGCTGTGATTGGCTTTATTCTGCAGGCTGGTATCCTTGTGTTTGCTGGTATCGCCGTGCTGGTCCTTGGATGGAAGATCGAAGAGTCCGACGACGAGATTGTTACCAAAACCTATGCCCCAGGCATTTTCATTGCGGGCACGATTCTTCTATGCTTAGGTGTGGGGGGCTGTGCGGCATTGATCGGGCAAACGACAACTGAAACGTATTATCAACGGAAGTCGAATCCTTCTCCTGATGTGCTATACTGGGTTCAACCGGGGCCGCAAGTTATTGGCGATCAATTCTTCTACTCTTTCGCATATTCCGATGCCTACAAAGTCGACCAACGCAATAGGATTTGGATGTCGTCAACAAAGAGTTTCAATGGAAAAAAACCCGAGGCTCTCACATTTATTGCCGTTTTGCTCGTGTTGTTTGGCTACGTCGGTCAATTCATCGGCCTCAGAGGGTTGAATGCATGGATCTCAATCGCCCAACTGGCGATCACCTTATTTATGAGCATCCTGCGCAGCATGTTGCGTATGGAGCGCTTGAATAAGAATGATAACCGTTTAAATGGGTGGCATGATTTGGCTTCGGGTCATGAACTTGACTGGCTAGCCTTCAATATTGCGGGACGAGAGTTTCAACAAAAGGCAGAAGGCTCATTATCAGATCAATTACCAAAGCAAGACGAGTCGGAGAAATATCAGAAGGAGATCCGCTGGTATATTATAGGGCACCATGAAGGAATTACTACATTGCAGAGCAGTATCATGGAAGATTCCAGCTGCAGTGCCTCGCTCATTCTCGGCGACAACGGCGGCATGGATAACGTTCAATGGCTCACTGATGTAGGTTGCCAGCTACTCCACAACCGTATTCGACTTTCCAATCTCACTGGCCATCCCGATCCTTCAGAAGAGACGAAAGACAATCCTCCCTGGAAAGATGAGAGAGTCAGAGTCCGTGCAAAAGCACGACATCTGGGTGCAGCGTTGTGCAGCGCCGCAGCATCTTTGCTGCAAGACCAAACAAGCCGAAACGAGGTTGATTTGAAAGTGAGATTTGGGCTCTCCCATGGTGATATAAGTCGCAACGGGGTAATCTCTATCAAAATGAAACCACCAACTGGTCCTGATCAAATTAGTTGGAGTCTTGACACTTCACAGCTTGAAGCAATTCTGGGACTTTGGCTATGGTCAATGGTTAGCAAGGAGTATGGTGAATATAACCGGGTGAAAGCCGATGCTATCAAAGATATGATGTGTCCGACCAAGAAACCAGATGCAGACATATTCAGGGTTATATCGGCTTGCGGAGAGGAGAACGGCTGGGACGACTCTGTCGATGCGCATATGAGCCTTTGGTTAGGTTCTACCGATCTAAAATATACCGAACAGGTGCTTATATTACGTGGAGACACAGATCGCGAATATACCCTCGCCGATAACTGGACTAGGGAGGGCGCAATGCATAATCTGAGCCCAGATATAAGCAATGGTCGACAAATCTGGACGATCTTCGAGGAGCCGGGAAACTCGAAATCGTCCAAAGCATCAACGGCATTGGATGCGTCCTTGCAAAGGTTTTGTGGATGGAATTTGATACACGGCGCGCTTGCAAAAGATGTCCCTGAAGGGGCGCATGATGATACACCCAGAACAAGAAACTACAAGAATTCTGCCATTCAGAGAGTCAACGTCAAGGGGTTTAGAGTGAAGAATAGAAGGCACTTGCTGCTTGAAATATGTGCTCAAGAGCTCTTTGTTGCTCTTCTGCGTTCTATGGAGGCTCTGACATTTCGAGAACTAGGCGAACTGTCTATCAGCGAGTCGGGTGGCGGCATTCGTCTGGAAAATGGTCTCATCTCGAATCTTACAAAATGTTTCACAGAGAATACACTGGGGACGTACTCCGACGCCATTTCTTGCTTGATCCCGATCTTGAGACCTCGGATTCCCAACTATCATAAAACACTGCTGTCGGCTTTAACACAGGCGGCCACGAAATATCGACAGAAAGGAGAGTGGAGCAGCGCAGAAAATGTTTTGCGCTGGGGTTGTCAGTACTACTATCATTCGTTGAGCCGAAGCGATCAGTATACAACTACATTCACCACGGCCCTGCGAGAACTCTGCGAACTATACCGCTGGTCGCTTGCCCAATTGGAAGATGATGAAAGGCGAGCGTTCGGCACAGAAGGCATTACATGGATAAGCAACAGGTTCTTGTCCGAACCAAAAGCCAGGAAACTTGTGGAACTCTACGAGAGAGTTGCCGAGAGAGTAGCTGTGAAAGTGGCCGAGATGGCTACTGAGAAGGTCGCCAAGAGATGGGGAGGAGACAAACTCTGGTTTCTCGTTGGCCTCAAGTTCCGCAACAGAGAATCTGCTCTTGTTTACTTATGCTTCATGAGAATCGGAGACTTCATTCTGCCTAGCCCGAGCAACTGGCTCCCACTTGCAGCTAGGAATGGCTGGGATGAGATTGTTTCTGCTCTTTTGGAAATGAAATCAAGTCCGGATAGCCAGGATGAAGAGGGAAGAACTGCAATATCTCATTGCGCTGGATCAAATCGGAAGCAACTGCTACAGCGATTCATTCATATAGGCGTGGACCTCGATCTTGCGGATGGGCTTCAAATGACACCTCTGATGTATGCCGCCAAGAATGGTCGGGAAGATGCTGTGAAGCTGCTGTTTGAAACGTATCGATTGGACATCGATCAGAGAACCTATAACGGAAGAAGCGCTTTGTGGTTTGCAACGGATCAAAATCGGCTCCAAGTCATGAAATACCTGCTCCATAATGGAGCCAAGACTAACGAGGAAGACGGCAATGGAGACAGACCACTGAATGTTGCTGTCAAGAGAGGCCACACAGCCGCAGTGAAGCTTCTGCTTGCTCAAGGGCCAAAAGCGTTCCAAGTTCAATCTGCGATCCACCCTTTCATCTGGGCTGCCTGGAGAGGCAATGCTGAGATTATGAAGGTGCTGTTGGAAGATGAAGCGTTCAGTTCGCGTTTTGAGCCTCAAGCAAAGGAAGCAAAAGAGTTACTGGAAAGATATCCCAACCTACAACCGCTTAGAAATCACAGCATTGGATTATGCTCAACTACAGACATTCGACCCCCTTCACGGTCTGATATACGCGATACACATAGGATCAAATTTGAACCCTCCTACCCAAGCTCCCCGAGTGTAATGGTTGGCATCAGTGCCTTAAACATCCGGAGCAGTTCATGCATTGAGATTAATTGGCAATCAAAAGAAGTTTCCAAGGATGGCTTTGTGCTAACTCGCACAATCATGGGTGAGAGCAGCCCGGGCAATCAAACAACTTGCGAGGTGCGTTCTTCCAAAGCTGTTTGGCTGGAATTTGGGGTGGACGAACAAAACTTTCAAGGTATGGATGTTATCAAGTGATTCAAATCCCTATCCCCCAGCGGCCAAGTCACTCACACAACGAACAATAGTTGGCAAATGCAATCTCAGTAGCTTCGAAAACATCTCGTTTCCGCACGCTTTTGACCAGGATCCCAATGTTGTCTTATGGTTTAGCAGTTTGCATCTCCCTCTCAAAAGCACAAAGAAGATTTTTTGGCGCGCCAAACCTACAAACATCAGAACATCCGGCTTCGACCTGGCCGTTGGTCCCAAAGATGGGCATTCCGAGGGTCAGTTCTGTGTTACATGGTTGGCGTATTTGCCTCAGAGGACCAAAGTTCAAAGCGGGAATTCGGCCGTTGATACTAAATGCCACCACGGCTTGAATCAGGAGACAAGAGTGGAATTTAGGAATGAATTCCAAAGGATTCCTCGGGTTTTCTTGGCACTCAGCGGATTCAAAATGAGATTCGGCCGGGAAGCGGACATTGAAGTGAAAATTACAAACTTGGATGCCCTTGGTTTCTCTTGGACCAGTATTTCGTCTTCGGGTGATCAGATTGACAAGGTATACGTGAACTGGGTAGCATTTGGTTGATGAGCTGAGCAGATCTCGGTGCTGTCAAGTACAAGAGTCGATGTTGAAGTAGGTTGCTGGGAACGAGAATGAAGTCCTGGTGTAGTAAAATTGAGACAATCCAATTATATTCTTACCTTGGGTAGGCCCTGACATATCGCGGCGGCGCGGCTGTAAATGGTGGATCAAGTCGCAATTCGTTTTCTACCTAGCTTTTCGAAGAGTGAAATGCCATGGTATAGAGGGTATCATTAATCTGCAGCCCTAAAATTCATCAGCCTCATCAAAAGAAGAAGGAAAAGGTTTTGGAGGCGGGACGTGTTCGTTATATCGAAATTAAATGAACGTGTTAGCCAATTGGTTGATTAGGCAAAACCAATGCAGCTGAACCAAGGCAAATTTAACAGAATGATGTTGTGATTGTATTATGTGTATGTAATTGCAGCCTGACCGCACCATTATTAGGTCTAAGTAGAGAAATTCATCACTCTAACTGCATCTTCTACATGTCCAGCCTTTCAGAGCCTTCTATGCATGTTTATTCCACAAACCATCTCGCTTCCAGGTCCACTTGGTCAAATACTCTGGATCCATACCTCTCTCAAACGCCTCATTTCGAGCTTCAATCTGCGCATTCAACATGGCCTGTCGGGCAGCCGCACCCCGGTTATGCAGGTTAGGCATGCGGTCGATGGCATCAATGGCCAAGCTGAATCGATCCGTCTGGTTGCGAATGGCCAACTCTAGAGGGGTGTCGATGTTGCCCTTCTCTTTGTATCCGCGGACATGAATGTTCTGGCTTCCCGGTCGCTTGTATGTCAATCGGTGCACCATCCATGGGTAGCTGTGGAAGTTGAAGATGATGGGGGTGTCTGCTGTGAATAGGCTAATCCACTCGTTGTCGCTGAGACCATGAGGGTGCTCGCTTGGGTGAATCAGCTTGAACAAGTCCACGCAGTTGACATAGCGGATCTTGAGCTCTGGGAAGTGCTGAAGGAGCAGGTCGATGGCGGCCAACGTCTCGTGAGTGCTGATATCACCACACGAAGCCATGACCAAATCGGGATCCTGTCCAATATCTGTGCTGAACTTGGGCCAGATGCCAATACCCTTTGTGCAGTGTTGAACAGCTGCATCCATGTCGAGGTATTGAAGATGATCTTGTTTATCGGATACGACGACGTTGACATAATTTGAGGATCGAAGACAGTGATCCATGACTACAGCCGACATGTCAGCAGTGCTCATTCTTATATAGTGGTAACGTGGGATGTCTTACCGGAAAGCAGGCAGTTTCCATCGGGAGGCAGATAGATTCGAACCACCTCGGGGCTCTTGTTGGCAACAACATCAAGGAAGCCAGGATCCTGGTGAGTGAAGCCGTTGTGGTCTTGTCTCCAGACAACAGAAGTCAAGAGGATGTTGAGGGAGGCGACTCTGACACGCCATTCCACCTCGAGACACTTTTCGAGCCATTTGCAGTGCTATTGATCCTTTGTTAGCCATGAAATCTCAAACGGTATACAATTCAAATCTTCTTTACTCACCTGGTTGACCATGGAGTCGATGACGTGGATGAACGGCTCGTAGCTGTTGAGCAGACCGTGGCGGCCACTCAAGATGTATCCCTCCAACCAACCCTCACAGGTGTGTTCAGACAGCATCTCCATAACCCTGCCTGCTGGAGCAAGATTGCCGCCATTCTCATCCTCCTCGAAATATTCGCCCATCCAAACCTTTTTGCCCACTTCATAGACGGCAGACAGTTTATTTGACTCGGTCTCGTCGGGGCCGAACAGTCGGAAGTTGTGAGGATTTGCCGCAACAACGTCTCGCAAAAAGACTCCCAGCCTCTTCATACTAGCGTCTATGACAGCGCCAGAGTGCTCAACTTTGACACCGTATTTCTTGAAATCGGGCATGTTAAGGGGCTTTCGAAGAACTCCGCCATTGGCAACAGGATTGGCGCTCATGCGGCGGTTACCTTGTGGAGTAAGAGCGGTCAATGAGGCGATGGGCTTTCCACTCTCGTCAAACAGTCTGTCGGGCTCGTAGCTGCGCATCCAGTCCTCGAGGATCTTGAGATGCTCTGGGTTTGTCGATGGGTCCGTAATGGGAACCTGGTGTGCTCTCCAGAATCCTCCGAGATAGTTGCCATCCACCTTGCGGGGTGCAGTCCAGCCCTTTGGCGTTCGAAGGACAATCATGGGCCACAGCGGGCGAGTGGCTATTCCACTCTCACGAGCCTCCTTCTGGTAGCGCCTGATCTCATTGACGCAGTGCTCAAGCGTTGCGGCCATGGCCTGGTGCATGGTATCGACGTCGTCTCCCTCAACAAAGTAAGGGGTGTATCCATAACCGTGGAACAGGTTCTTCAGCTCCTCGTGTGAGACTCTGGCCAAGATTGTAGGATTGTTAATCTTGTAGCCGTTGAGATGCAAAACAGGGAGAACAGCACCATCGGTAATGGGGTTGAGGAACTTGTTGCTATGCCAAGCAGTAGCCAAAGGACCAGTCTCTGCCTCACCATCACCTACCATGGTGACAGCGATGAGATTAGGGTAGTCATACACAGAGCCAAAGGCATGAGAGAGAGAGTACCCGAGTTCTCCTCCCTCGTGGATAGAGCCTGGAGTCTCTGGGGTTGCATGGGATCCAACACCGCCTGGGAAAGAGAAGTACTTGAAGAATCTCTGGAGGCCCTCGATATCTTGTGACTTGTCTGGGTAGACTTCCGAATAGACACCTTCGAGATAAGATTGCGAAAGAACGGCGGGAGCACCGTGACCGGGGCCAGAGACGAAATAGGCATCCAGGTCGTACTTCTTGATGAGACGGTTGAAGTGCATATATGTGAAGATTTGACCGGGAGCTGAACCAAAGTGCCCAAGAAGACGAGCTTTCAAGTGCTCCCTCTTGAGGGGTTCGCGAAGGAGAGGGTTCTCTCGCAGGTAGATCATACCCAGAGAAAGATAGCAGCTGGCTTTGAAATAATCATTGTATTGCTTGATTTCTTCGTCAGACAGGGGTTTGCCCTCGACGGTTGAGCGGGCTTTGCCAAACGCCCGAATGGACTGAACGTCGGCCATTGTGGTCAGGTAGATTCAATTGTAAGTTATGAAGAAGGGAGTTGGCCGCAGACACAAGGACGAAGAGCTATCTAAAGCGTAGTCTGGCTCTTGGTTATATACGAGACAATTGCGGCTGGATCGCTATAGCCTCCCGCCGAGTCGGGAGCTTGTTAAGGCCGTTGCAGGGGTAAGCTGCAGACGATTTCGGTTCCTTGCCACTTCTGTGTAGGTCGTGGATGGTCTGGAGTCGATGGAGGGCCGTTTAGACGACAGCTAAAGAAGCTTGGCCCAGCAGATAGAAGGGCCGGGACCAATCAGGCAAGCTATCGGTAACAGCAGCAATGCAAGTGAAGCACTATCTGCAGTTGGGATTGACTAGAAAACCCAGCAGCGCTCGTGTATCATGCGATGTTGCAATCGAACGAGCTCAGCAGGATGCAGCTTGCGGGATGCATGTGCGAGCCCAGCGCTGCATCGGTCCGGCCAATTGGCTCTGGGGAAGCTCCATGACGTGAACGAGATTGGCGAAGCTGATTCGACCATGCCGGGGCTTTGGTTCGCTGATAGAGTTCGAATGTTCAGCGGGCATGGCTGGAGGTTGGCTGATGGAAAAGTTGGCACACCCTCGCATCACCATCTGGCGTGATCTATACGTCACTGCTCGAACCACCGCGCCCGGAATAGGCCCGCGAGCCCGCCAGAGCTGCAGCTTGCAGGGCCTAAGCGGCGGGGGCGGGGGGCGTCGATGAGGGGCCTAGAGGGGCCTAGAGAGCCCTGGAGGCGAAATCCATATCGCTGAAGACCGCGGAATTTTGGAACTGGAGGGCTCCGCTAGCATGTGGTAGGCCTGTCTGTGTGTCTACTGGACGGGCATCTACAGTATCTGCCATCGGGGATCGCCACTTGGGCTTCACGAAGAAATCACTATGGACCAGGGTCTAGTACAGTATGTACACATAATTGCCTGGGCTGCTGATGGCTTGATTGGATCGGTTGATGGACATGTGAGAGACCGGCCCGTTTGACATTGACAGCTTGGACGGAACGAAATTCTAGTCTGCGAGCTCAATGCCATCAAGTATCCATGTCTCTTGTACCGTCGGCGAACAGGAACAGGGCTGGCTCCGTTGCAGTTACACGTTACATCCAGATCACAATCATATTGGCTGATGCCATACCCAATTATCTTGTTGTTGTTTTGCCTTCCGAGGCCGGAGCCACGCTCGGCCGCCAAAGTAGCCTAGAAGTAGGTTTTTACCGTCCTCTGAAGTAATTCGCCTTGGGCCAACGATGAAAGGAATGCAATTAGCTTTGGAGGTTCACACTTCTGGCCATTGCTAGATCGAGGCAACCTGCGTGGCGCCTCTTTTTCCCCCCCAAGCCATTTTACCTCAGCAATTGTCCTCTCACAGAGACGCTCAGTCATTGTTCAAGGCTTGTCCAACCCGCTGCAGGCAGACGCTCAGATGCTACACAAATGCGACTTCCTGACGTAACGATGCTCATCACGAGGACAGCAGCCTGTGCCATGGCAACTGTGCCTTGAAAGGGGGCGTTATAAGTCCCGCCTTTTCTGCTTCAACCTTGGCGACAACATTATTTCGACAACCACCACATTCTGCCAGTTGCAACAAGCCACTGAATCAATCAGAAAGTCATCAAACCAAGACAATCTACATCAATCTCATATCGAACACTCATCAATCGCAATGATGCCGCTGCACAGGCCGGAAACGCCACAACCCGAATCCCCTCTTCCCACCGAGCCAGATACCAGCGAGGGCGACGGCACTGCGGATTACTGAGGGGCAACACAAGCTCAAACTCTGATGACGACAGGGCCGCTCGGGAATGAGAGAATACGACCGAGTCTAAATGGCACTCGAGAGCGGCGTCGACATGCTGGTTGCGGAAATGAACTGGGGAAACTACCTAGATTGAACAGACATGCCCGGAGATGGCGCATGGAGGAAACGTCTACCTATGAAGCGCATGTCTTTTTTGGCTTTTTTTTTCTTTTTCTTTTTTACTACCGACGACACGATACGCCGATGGCATATTATACACTTGCCCCCACCACTGCCCAAAGAGCGCGACTCTGTGGGAGTAGCATTTTTATCAGAATGAATGCGGAATGGAATCGAGCGAGCGATGTACATTACTTTGGCTTTTATTTGATTGAGATATTCTATCAATTTTACACGAATTTTTCATCTGCCAAGGCTGTTTCTTTTCATGGTTAGGCGTTGTGAGTGAGCTGTCAAGAGCTCCTTGGTTTAATCAGTATAGGCTATTAATCTCTTTGGCAACTCCCCAAGAAATAGCCTGCACTCGCCAAAATTGACAGAGAGAGAGAAGTTGCTGCATGATAAATGTAGAAGCTTTACGGAATAGTCTCTGCTACATTATTCGATCTTTTCCATGAGATTGATCCTGCCTGTGCCTTGGACGCCAAAGTCAATTCCAGCAGCATCGCCAGGGTGGATGCTGTCCTCACACGTCATCGGTGGCTACTGCTTCGGAGCTCGGGATCTCAGCTGCATATAGAAAAGTTTGGTGCATCGTGAATATTCTTTTTTTTTCTCATCCTCTCTTTTCAACTCTTAATGCGATATTGATACCTTTTGAAAGTGACATTTAATAAAAATATTTTTCAAACATTTAAAAGAATTGACACATCAATCTTTCGGCCATCAACACCATGGACCCCTCATCAGGCAGCCAAGCTCCCGGAGCACCACCGACGCTCTCACCAGAAGCCATCGCATTTGCAGGCAGGATGTACGACTCTGCTAGAAAAGGTGAAGTCGCTGTCTTTGAACAGGCACTTCCAGCTGGGCTACCTCCGAACATGACGAATGAAAAGGGAGACACACTAGTAAGGCAAACACCGAAGCAGCGCTGCCTAGCTTGGCCTACAGTCTTGCAGCCTTGATATATCTTGATGTGTGCTTATATGACTCACATTTGTTTTCAAGCTCATGCTCGCCGCATATCACGGACATGCAGATCTCGTCAAGTTGCTGATACAACACGGAGCTGATCCAAACCGCGTGAATGACAGAGGGCAGAGTCCCCTGGCCGGAGCCGTGTTTAAGAAGGAGGATGAGGTTATCGAGGTGCGCACTTCTTCTTTTGTCTCCTTCTAAGCATGATTGTCTTGAATTTGGAACAATGTATTGACTCAAAGTGAATAGGTACTATTAGAAGGCGGTGCAGACCCTGATTATGGCAAGCCGACTGCTATGGAGTGCGTGTCCATGTTTCAGCAGGAGGATACATGGAAGGCCAAGTTTGAGGCTGCTCCTGGAAGAGGCAAGGCACAACCGCCCGCTTCATGATCGATATCTCTGATTGAGGAATTTACTTGGATGGGTGTTTGATGTAACTTGATGTGTAATGATTAATACCAGAAGTGTAATGCTTTCATGCTGAAATTGGTCATGTAACCATCGTGAATGTTTAAAATCGGTCTATTGAGTGATGTACGAACTAACAAATACATCAGCCCAGACAGCTTGAACAAGCTTGAATAATCATTAAAATTGTAATTTATTCATATAAAGTCCTATATAAAGTATGAACAATTTTAAATAATTTTTTCTTCTAAATATCACTCTTGCAGTCTTCATCCCCTTTATAATTCCGTTCCCCCATGGCGGGGTTCTCATGGATTCTTCTAGTGGCCTAAAGGGGTTGGAGGGGCTCTTCTTCTTTTTTTCTGCTGGTTGACCCCTGGTCCGTGCACCCAAATTCATTGTTCAAGGCTGCAACAATTTTCCGGAGCTCGACAGCTTCGCACCGAGACGAAAAGACGCCGCATTGCCCCTTTAATCCGCCCGTCACCAACCGCCTTGCAAACCCTCTCCGTTCGTCAAGCGTCTCCCTTTTGGCCTCTGACTCTCTCAAACCACCGCCAAAATGTCGTTCGGAGGCCAGACCCCGACCATCATCGTCCTCAAAGAAGGTAGCCAATTTGCCAATTTACCCCTCCGCCCACCGCTGCCCGTCCCCGTCCAACGCATCCCAGGCCACAAGACACGAGAGCTGACACCAGAGTCGTCCAGGGACCGACACCTCGCAGGGCAAAGGCCAGATCGTCTCCAACATCAATGCGTGTCTGGCGGTCCAGGCCACCATCAAGTCGACTCTGGGTCCCTATGGTGGTGATTTGTTGATGGTGGACCAGAATGGCAAGCAGACGATTACAAATGACGGCGCGACGGTCATGAAGGTACGGTCGAAATCCACATCTCCCAATATGCTACGGATCCTCCTTTCCTTTTCTTTACGTCTTCTACTTCTATGGATTACGACAATATGCCAACTAAACACGCTCAAATAGCTCCTCGACATCGTCCACCCCGCCGCCCGCATCCTCGTCGACATCGCACGGTCACAAGACGCAGAGGTCGGAGACGGAACCACATCCGTCGTTGTCCTGGCGGGAGAGATCCTCAAGGAGGTCAAGGAGCATGTCGAACAGGGTGTCAGCTCACAGATCATCATCAAGGGCCTGAGGAGGGCGGTCCAGATGGCCGTCAACAAGATCAAGGAGATTGCTGTCAGCACCGACGACGGCAGCCAGCGCGATACCCTGAGCAAGCTGGCCGCCACCGCCATGACGAGCAAGCTGATTAAGCGAAACACTGAGTTTTTCACAAAGAGTAAGACTACACGCATACACGGGGTTTCGTGATGGTGGATGATGAGGCACGAGACTAACATCGTGGCATAGTGGTGGTTGACGCCGTCCTATCACTCGACCAAGACGACCTAAACGAAAAGTTGATTGGCATCAAGAAGATCCCCGGCGGCTCCCTGACCGAATCCCGCTTCGTCAACGGCGTCGCCTTCAAGAAGACGTTTGCCTACGCCGGTTTCGAGCAGCAGCCCAAGTCCTTCAAGAAGCCCAAGATTGTCTGCCTAAACGTCGAGCTGGAGCTCAAGGCCGAAAAGGACAACGCCGAGGTCCGCGTCGAGCAGGTGTCAGAATACCAGGCCATTGTCGACGCCGAGTGGCAGATCATCTACCAGAAGCTCGAGGCCGTCGCCAAGACCGGCGCCAAGGTCGTGCTCAGCAAGCTGCCCATTGGTGACCTGGCCACCCAGTACTTTGCCGACCGGGACATATTCTGTGCCGGCCGCGTCGCCTCCGAGGACATGGAGCGTGTCACCCAGGCCACCGGCGCCGTCACCCAGTCAACGTGCTCAGACATCCTGGCCGAGCACCTGGGAACCTGCGAGTCCTTTGAGGAGCGACAGATTGGAGGCGAGAGATACAACTTCTTCGAGGGCTGCCCCGAGGCCAAGACGTGCACTCTGGTCCTGCGCGGCGGTGCCGAGCAGTTCATCGCCGAGGTTGAGCGATCACTCCACGACGCCATCATGATCGTCAAGCGAGCCGTCAAGAACCGAACCATTGTCGGCGGCGGCGGCGCCGTCGAGATGGAGATCTCGGCCTACCTACACCAGTTCGCCGACAAGAACATCCCGCACAAGCAGCAGGCCATCATCAAGTCCTTCGCAAAGGCCCTCGAGATCATCCCCCGCCAGCTGTGCGACAACGCCGGCTTCGACGCCACCGACATCCTCAACAAGCTCCGCGTCGAGCACCGCAAGGGCAACACCTGGGCCGGCGTCGACTTCCAGAACGAGGGCACCGCCGACATGCTGGAGCGCTTCGTCTGGGAGCCCGCCCTGGTCAAGATCAACGCCTTGCAGGCCGCCACCGAGGCCAGCTGCTTGATCCTCGGCGTCGACGAGACCATCAGAAACGAGGAGAGCGCTCAGCCCCAGGCACCGGGCCAGCTTCCTCCCGGTGCGGCTCAGAGGGCACTCAGAGGTAGAGGACGGGGCATGCCTCGACGGTAGATTTAGGGAGAGAAAAGTTGGTAGTAGATAGGGGCGCATAGGAAGGGGGAAATCTAAAGCATTTTCTAAAAAAGGAAGAACGAACAAAAAACGGAATGGAGGTTTTGAGGATCTGTAAGATACCTAGAAAATGGCCTCTATTATCTACTAGACTTTTGACATGACAAACTTTTTTCCGACGAACTTTGTAATATTCCTTGTTTCTTCTATCTTGTCTAGTATTTTCTAAATCGTGAAGAGAGGTAAAAACGAGAGTGTATATTTTTTATAAAAAAAATGGTGAAAAGTCTATAAAGGTATCTCATCATACCTGCAGCCGTATATACATACATACATACACATCCCAACGTTTCAGCATCATCAGCTACAAACTCCCAACGCTTATGACAAACCAACAGCACACAACTCCCCCAACTCTCAACAATGCCATATAAATAAAAAAGAAGACACATAAAAAAAAAAGGAAAGGTAAAAGAGAGAGAGAGAAAATGGTGTTATCCTGCTGGACCGCCAAAACCGACGTCGTATATGCCCCTTCCGTCGCGGTGGCCTATTCTTCGCATCACTTGCGGGCCACCGGTGAGGCCATCGACCATGACCTCGTCGTCCATGACGTGGTTCGCGTGGTCGTTGGGCCCGACATCATCCACGTCGTCGTCTACCGCGTCGTGCTCGATGAGCATCTCCAGGTCCGTGTCGACAGAAGGCGGGACAGTATCGTCAGGCTGCGTGGGCACGTCTTCCGTCGCGCTGAGTAGAGCCTGAAAGTCCGCATGCGGGTGGTAGTGCTCGAAGCCCATGTCGTGGTGAGGCTGCGGGTGGTGGTGGTGGTGGTTTATGATTTGGGGGTCGATGGGCTGGTAGACGTGCGGCTCGTGCTGGTTGGGCTGGTCCTGCAGCATGGGGTTGTGGTGGTGGTGGGTTTGGTGATGGGGGTGGTGGAGCGCGGGCTGCTGGTGGGCGACCTGGTGGTGGTGCAGGGCCTGCAGGTGGTGGTGGTGATGGGCGTCCGGGGCCAGGCCGTGGTGGTGATGCTGTTGGTGCTGCTGCTGCTGCTGCTGTTGGTGGTGATGCAGGGCCTGGGCGGGCTGGAACGTCTGCGAGGGGGGGATGACGGAGATGTCGCTGGGGTTTGCGTACGCGCTCGGACTGGGGCTCGTGCTGGGCGACAGAGACAGCATCGTGTCATGGCTCTGCAGGGCGAGGATCCGCCCCGTCGTGGCGATGTTGGGCGGGATGGAGTGGTTCCGCGGCGGTCCGTTGCTCGGCAGGATCGGCGTCGGCGTCGGCGCGGGCGTCGTCACGACGGCGGCGGCCACCGGAGCGGCAGACGACGTGGTGGACGCGACCGTCTTCTTGGTGCCGCCCGGGTTCGGCGTCTTGCCCAGCTCCTTGCACTCGGCGCAGGCGCGGATGACGTCGCTGACCGTCTCCTTGATGCGGCTCCAGTGGTACTTTTCGGCAATGGTGGCCGTCGTCTTGTTGATGCCGCCGTGGTGCATGACGTGCACGTTGCGGGCAATCTCGTACTGCCGCGCCGGGTCCGAGATGACCTCCTTGTCCTTGAGCATGAGCTTGTCGCCGTCGAGCAGCTTGTAGTGCGTGGCGGCGCTGCGCAGGCGGCTCTTCTCGGCGCGGTCGGCGCCGTTGGGATACTTGCCGTACTTGAGGTAGTACTTGATCTTGTCGAAGCGCTCCTCGCTCACCAGCTCCTCGGTCTCGCCGGGCGCCAGGTCCCGGCCGTAGATGATGGCGTCGATGAAGCGGTCGGGGTAGCTCTTGAGGTTGCCGCAGCCCTTGACGCGGCCGATGCGCTTGAAGCCCAGCGCATCCCAGATCTTGCACGACGCCACGTTGGTCTCGTAGACGAGGTTGAAGACGCTGTACGTGTAGCCCAGCCGCGGCGCCCAGTCGATATAGGCCTCGCCCATGAGGCGGCCGGCGCCGCGGTTTCGGGACGCGTCGGTGACGAGGAACCCGCCGTTGCACACATGGCTGCTGCGGCCCGGGTAGTTGGGCCGGATGTAGAAGCTGCCCAGGCACTCCTTGGCCCAGTCCTTGCCGTCCAGCAGCTGGTCGGCGCTCTCGATGTTGCCCAGCAGCATGACGGCGCCAAAGTTCTGGAACCAAAAGTCGGCGAAGCCGTCGGCGCTGAAGGGGTCCATCAGGGGGTACGTGTCGCCGCCGTCAATCTCCTTGTTGATCTGGGCGCACAGGTAGACGACGAGCGACACGGGGATCTGGTGCCGCGACGCAAAGGGCACAATGGTCGCCACGGTCTGGCGGTCCCTCAGCGTCACCTGGCGAGGCAACATGTCCGGCGGCAGGATCGGGTTGTTCGGGTCCGGGAACGGCGGCTGGCCGGAGACCCGATGGATTGTGGGGCTGGCCGGGTCATCGACGGCGGCCGGCATCGTTTGGGCTGAGCCGGATGATGGCGAGGAGAGTAGCGTGTGCGTTCTAAGGGGGGGTGAGAGAAAGGAAACCGTTGGTTACCCAAGAGATGCTCTGTGCATGACCGGATTTGATAATCAGCCACAAGGCCCGCTTAAACAACTTCCCGGCGAGGGAATCATGGCCCTTTGTCCATGGGGTACGTCATCCGGGCAAGGAAAGAAGAAAAAAGGAAAGGGAAGGGAAATGCAGCAAAAGCAGAGGGATTGGATCGAAGGGGGGGCGACGCCAATTGGGCATAGTCCAGAAGGACATATAAGAAGGGGGAAGGAGAATGGAAGGGTATAAAGAAGGGGGGGAAGTAGTACATACCATGAGTAAAAAAGAGAAAAGAAAAAGAATTAACAAAGTAACCGCACCTCCAAAATAGGAAACAGCCCGGAAAATTTTCCCTGCAGCAGGAGAAAAAAAAAGGATAAAACAGAAAAATAAAATCCCCCCAAACAGATCCCCCAACCAAAAGAGCCGTGCAGAGCCCCTACAGGCTGCAGGCGGGAATAAAAGGGAAGAAGCAAAGAAGGAATAAGCAGGAAAAAAAAAGAAAAGAGGCTAGGAACTTTTTCTTTCTTTCTGTCAGTGAGACGTTTGGCAATTGAAGCGCAACAAGCAACAAAAAAACAGCCCCCAAAAAATCAAATAAAAAAAAGAACCCTCAACTTTTTCTTTTTTTAGGTTCCCGCCCCCCCAAAATGTAAAGAAGAAGAAAAAAAGCTTAGTTTGCTAGGCCAACTCGACTCATTAATGCAAAGCCTCGTCTGATGTGGTGCTCGATTATTTTTGCGCGCTTCTGCCCTTCCTTTTTTTTTTTTTTTGCGCCCGGTTCTGTGCTGAAAAGTTCGTCGTGCGACGTTCTGCTCGGACCGAAAAGAGAGGTACAGAACAGAATGGACAGTAATAAAAGATCGGTGGGAAAAAGTACAGACGGGCAAGTAGAGAGAACCGAAAAGCGCGGCTTTTTTTCGCCTCTAGGAGGGACCACACCGGCTGTTGCGGTTAGGCGTGGCGTGACCTTGGGAGGACTTTTGGTTTGCGTTGTGTGTCGGCGACTTAAAAGGTAGCGGTACCTACTTTATCTACTGCCGGCTGCCGGAATGACGGTTTCTCCGCCACTGGACCCTTGGTCTTCCAGGGTAAGCTGGCGATGCTGTCACAAGGCCATCAACCTACCTAACCTGGGCTCAACCAGCAGCGCCTTTTTGTTGTCATGGGCTACCTAGATGTAGATTGAGAAAAGGGATCCATTGTAACTTGTTAATTCAAGTGGGAAGAACATTCATCTCGTTTGCATCATGCCCATATACATCTATTATACAAAGTTTTTTTTTTTAATGTCCCTCCTTCCCTCTCCTTCCCCCCTTTCCATCCATCTAATGGCACTTGTACAATACGTATTTTATACACTTCCTCGCACAGCTTGCTCCATCTCAACAGCATTCTTCTGCAGGCTCTTCAGCTGCACTTCGATGCTGCCCAGACGCGCGCCGACCGTCTCCCCCGAGGGCGCCGCCTTTTCCGTTGACGCTTCAGCCGCAACCGTCTCTCCCATCAAGTTGACCAAGTCGTCCTCAGTCGCCTCGTCCTGTTGCTCTCCAAGATATTGTGACCTCAGCAGCTTCATCTCCTCATCCGTAAATCCCTGAATGTTGGCCTGCATCCGGCCCATGACCTCTTTTCTCTTGAGGACGGCAGCCTGCACTTCCTTCCTCATGTGGCGGCTGAGTTCTGGCGAGGTGCTCCATGAGATGTTACCGCTAGCGGCATCTTGTAGTCGTCGCTTCTGACCAGCTTCTCCGGCTCGACCAAGTACTCCGGCAACCAAAGCCATGGAACGAAGACTAAAAGGAGAAGAAACATTAGCAAAAAGGATTCGAACAATATAATTGCAATTGACAGAGCTCAGCTCACCTGTCGTCGTTTGCGGGAATCGTATATGTGACCCATGAAGGATCAGTGTTTGTGTCAATGACTCCAATCGTGGGAATGTTCTTCAAGCCACACTCGTATAACAGCGTGTAATTCTCCAGAGGATTGAGGCAAATCACCAAGTCTGGCAGTATCGGTCTCGCCGTACCCTTGAACATGTCGAATCCATCCAGTTCCTTGTCTAGGTGGTCCACAACCTTCATGCCCTGGGTCCTGAGGATGACATCTCGGTTGGTGATGGAACCGGGAATCCACTTTGTGAACAGATGATAGGCGCCTGCTAGCTCAGATGCCTTTGTCACAATCTCCATCTGGCCCTTGCGAGTGCCAACAAAGAGAATGACACCCCCACGATAGGCCACCTCCTCAACCACTCGGGCCGCTCGTCGAAGATGCGCCGCAGTTGTCTCGAGAGAAATGATGTGAATCCCCTGTCGCACTCCGTAGATGTACCGGGAGTTTGCCGGATTCCATAGTGAAGTGTTGTGGCCCATGTGTGTCTGCGACGCCATCAGCAGCTCCAGCGTAACGTCCTCCGGCCGGGGTGGGTTGCTGATGATTTCCGTGGGCACGTAGCGCTTCTCGAGCTTTGAGCCAAGGCTTCTCGTGTTCTTCTGGATCCTCTGGAACTCGGCATACTGCTGCGCGGGGGTCAAAGTCTGCTTGCCCCTCTGATGCGGCTTGCTCCAGGCTGCTCCGTGGTGCTCCTGCGAAGAGTTGGCTCCGAGCGTCATGATGACCTCCTCGACAATCTTTTGCTTCTTCTTGGCCGATGACACAATCTTGGGAGGCGCAGAGGCTGACTGAGGGGCCGGCCATGCCTGAGCAGGGCCATTGGAGGTCGAGGTCGAGGTCGAAGCTGTCGCCGTCCTGACTTCGGTCGAGAGTTGTCGCAGAACGGCTCGTGGCAAGGGAGACGCCAGTGCGCGGCGGCCTAGATTTGATAAGCATCCTGCGTCTTTTCATCTTCGCCATCGTCTCCAATTGACTTACCATGCCGCACAGCGGCGCTCTGAACATTCATGGCGGCGTTCGTTTTGCTCCAGCTGTCGTCCGACCTGCTCGCATCGGTCCAAAATTTGGATCACGCCGGTATGGATGGAGTCTCTACGGCGGTGCATATTTTCCGGTTCCGCTGGGCAAGGCAGCCGCTAGAACTTTACAGCACAGTAGAAGCCGCTAGCTTTGCTACAGGGAGCAAAAAATGACCCCGCCATCAATTTGCCAGCGCAAAATTACCCCACGTCGTTTTGAGGCTTGTGATTGACACGCCATCTTGCATCGGCCGCAGCCATGCTAAGCACGTTTACATGCCGCCTGACATCAATGGTATGGAGGGATGGATGGATGCACGAGCTGATGAGCAGACACTAATGACATGATACAATATTGAGCTGCGAGAAAATAAATTGAGATTTGATAAAACAGGAGACATAGTGAAAAAGCCCTAAATCTATGACGATTTGTCTGTGCTTGAGAAATCTACAGTTACCAATGCCAACCAACTTTTTCTTCGTAAGGTCATTATTGAAAATATCCCATCAAGGGGACGCATTGCTCTCTTTTTACCGGCTAGTCGCTCTGGCAATAGTAAACACTCCGATTATAACCACCGCGAGGGTGACAATGGCTCCGGGCAGCAGCAGGTCGTTGGGTACGCCGGCAATAATCTGCTCCTGGTGGACAACCGTCCTTGTCCTCCGCGAACGGCGCGTGGGCCGCTGCTCCTCCTCCTCCTCGGATTCCTCCTCCTCGCTCTCTGATTCCTCGTCGTCGTAGGCTCTCCGGCGTTCACGAAGGCCGGTGGATGACGAAACTGGGGTTGGCAGGGTGTCCAACGAGGGTGCTGAGGGCGGCCTCTCTGAGTCGTGGACAAAGAGATCGACCTTGTCGAGATGTGCCTGGCGGGCCAAGAGGATGGCCTCCAGGAGATCGTTATCGGTGGTGATGGACACGGTGTCACCCTCGTTGTCCATGTAGCTAAGGGCAAACCCAGCACCGTCGATTCTGCCCTCCAGAACATCCGGCATGCCTCCGATGCTGTCGAGTTCACTTCCGAGCTTGGATGCAACGGCATGCACAAACGATTCTATGCCTTGCGATGCAACCACCTGCAGCCGGTGAACACGTCCCGAAGGTGCCTTGAATTTGAAGGCGAACGGAACGTCGGCGGTCGTCACCTCGGGGGCGATGGAGTGAGGAGGCGAATCCAGTCCGATGTGCGATGCAGAGTCGTTGGGGGCGACGCTGTCTCCAAGGCGGTTCGCCTCGGGCGACATCATGCGGGTGTGGTGAGCGTGGTGATGGCTGTGGCTGCCGTCGCCAGACACCATCGACTCCGTCTCGTGGTCGATGGAGAGCCAAAACTTGTTCCACGCCGGGCCCTCGCCATTGTCACTCGACATGGTGTTGATTTGCTCCAGCGTAGCATAAGTCAGCTTGAGCACGTCCACCATTCCCACAATCTCACCGCCGTCGTTCATGACGGGAAGGTTGAGATAATGGCCATCTGAAATATGAGTGTTAGACACATGCTTGACCATGTTTTGATGCTTCTTGGGCACGCGAAAAATGTGATGGCCATGAGGCTAGGATGAGAGCAGTAAAGGTGAGGGAGGATGGGGAAACTAAGAGGTGCTTACCATGCATCTTTCGCAGGGCAGCCTGAATGGTCATGTCCATTGGGGCAAAATCGGGGTGAGGGGTCATGACACGCACGACGCTGCAATTGGCCGGGTCGAGGCCTGGAGCAATGACACGAAGAACGACGTCCTTGCTCGTAAAAATGCCCGTAATGGCCCCCTGGTCCTGCACGAGCACCGCAGTGGTGTGGTTTTCCTTCATCATGGCCGCAGCCTCTTTGACCGAGGTCCGGACGCTCACCGTGGTCGGCGGGATGCCGTTCAACACGGACTCGAGTGTGGGCCCAGACATCTTGGATCGGAGAGCCTCCACATACTGGATAATCTGCTGAGGCTGGCTGGCGCCCAACTCGGACTGCACTCCCTCGAGAGCGTCGTACAGCTTCCTCGAGGAAGAGTATGCGCGCTCCAGCTTCTCCATGGCGTCATAGAAGCACTTTGTGATATCCAGCACACCCGAGATATCCTGGTTCTCATCCATGACAGGCAGGTGGCGGAAGCCCTTGCGAACCATCAGGTCCAACGCATCTGTGGCGCTCGTGTCGGTCCTGGCACAGAGGGGGTTCTTGGTCATGATTTCAGCAATCGTGACGTTGGCAGCCTTGAGCCCAGCCCCGACCACGCGAAACGCAAGATCCTTGGCCGTGAAGATGCCAGCAATCCGGTCCTCATCGTCGGTCACCAGCACGCAGTCCTCCCTCTTCGCAGCCATCAGCTGAGCAGCCTCGGAGACCGTGGTGGCAGGCTTGATCTGGAGAGCCTGGCTGGGCTTGAGGGCGAGCACAGTTCCGGGAGGGGCTCTGCGAATCTGTCGTGATCGGCCCGTGAGAGTCTTCTTTTTGGAGAGGTCGCTCTCCAGTTTCCTGCGGATCGCCTGCATTATGCGCACGTTAGCCACTGCGATGAGGGGTGGTGAACATGATAGTGAGTAGCTAGCTCTCTTCCCCCTCCCTCCCCTCAAAACAACTCTCCACCGGACTCGAGCGCAAAAGTTGTGAGAAAGCGCCATCACGTACCTCATCGCGCTTAGATTGTTTCTGTCTGCTCGCGCTGAGACTGGCAGAGCTGGACTCGTTTGGCTGCTGCTGGGCATCTAGAACAGGGCGAGGGATGCCGGAACTCGCGATGGCAGGGCCATTATTGAAGGGCGTGGTGCTTCGGGGCTGATTCCGGCTGGGATTGTTCCCTCTAGAGGCGTTGACCATGGACATGGCTGCGATCCGCGACAAGGCGTCAGGAAATGCTGGCGTAAAGGAAGCGTCGTCTTGAGCAGCGTGAGAAAATTGTTGAAACCGGATTTCAATTCCTTGAAATTCAGTTTTCCGGAGTCAGCCAGTGGGCAGCCAATGACAGTGGAGGAGGGATTTTCAAGGGTGACGAAATGAAGTCGAAAGGTCGGTCACCAGATATTGAGCCCTGGCCAGGATCCCCCCGGCTCTCTTTTTTTTTTCTCGCTCAGCCGACGAACCCTTTGGTTGGCGCAGTGGATGGCATTGGCCAGCGGGCAGGTTACAGGCGGCTTATAGGCCTATCGCGCCCCCGAGCAGGCGACGCACAACCCGGAAACTCCCATCGCGGGCCACTGGAGGGGGAAAAAAAGCGCAGCACGAGCCGACCTAGTGCTGCAGGTGCTAAACATGGAGCGGCGCTGGTTCGCGAGATGAAGGAAGTGCCCCATTGATGGATTCAATTTAACTGGAGAGGTCCGATGGGGACGCATTACAGAGTACATGTAGGCGTGGTATACAGTAGGTACTAAGGAGGTAGTATCAGCAGCAGGCACTAATTTACAGGCAAGAAGCACTGAAGTGGACATTTGATCCATCCATTGATACAGTATGGACTGGACCTATTTACAGGTAGGAGTTTATTGGGAGTCCATCCGGCGGTTGATGAGGGTGAAGACGGTGAAGACGGCTGGTCATCTTCTCACCATCAAAGGGCTGGCCAGCAAGGGCGGTCAATGTCTAAGATCTATGAATCTCAATCATACTGTCTCTGTTTGATTTCCAACCAAACGCAATCAACTATTTGGTGCTGTGTCTCATTCTGCATTACCATATGAGCACATGTTGGACGTTGCTCTCCGAGTTTCCCAATGCGTCATGTACTTTCGTGGTCAGCCCTCGAATGACACATACGAGCCTCTCTTCCATCTGCCGCCTGCTGCCTGTCTCTCCATACTTTCGCACTCTATCTTGATCACCATTCAAGCTTTGTGGAGTCATCGCATCTTTCTCTTCTTCCCGCGAGATGCCGTGGACAAGCTCCATGTCCGGTAGCTAATAGACCCAGCTCAAGGACCGGGATACTCCATTTTTTCATGTAGGTGAGGCCTGCAGCTAGAATGCAGCAGCATGGGCGCCATCACCCTACCTACGGGTATTGATGCTACTGTATGCTCTAGCAGCACTTCCAAGGTTCTCTATTCTCCATACGGCACTCTGCGCTCTGCATCTAGGTACCTAACAAGGTATGGATGGATGTACCAGCTCGTTGGGAGCGGTGCCATGTCGTAGCAGCAGCAGTAGCCGTACTTGTACCATACTAGCCGGGTACTCCTTGGTCCGTCGCCCAGGCAAGGCTTTCCGACGTGAGCAAGCGGGGAAGGACGCCCAGGATGGAATGCATCGTATCGTATCATCAGCATCTTGCATGTGCTGTGCAGTAGTAGCTGGTCCCCTTCCATCTGTCAGTCCAATCCACGAGCCGGCAGTGGCTCTACAGTGGCGTGTTCCAGCCAGCCACTTCGCTCCCGTCCCGCCCGAATGGCGTCTGGTTGCCGCTTTCATCTTACTTTGTTTTAATGGATGTTGATGGTCCCCCAGGATGGATGGCCGCTACGTCGTCTTAGTGGCCTGCTTAAATGATAATATTTACTCCCTCAGCCGCGGCACTACTGCACTTGTATGTATTCATGTCTGGTGGTCTGGTACTTTTTTGGCTCACGAGAGGAGGCCCTCATTTAACTTGGCCCATTGATTGGCCTCAGCTTGTTTGTTATTGCTGAGGACACCAAGCCCTGAGCGAGATTGCCCGGCGAGTAATTTCCGCTTCGCGCAGCCTTGGTGACGTCGATAAATATTACTATAAAAAGCCATAGCGCTTAGCACCATCTCATCCAATGTTATGGGCGCAATCTGCGTTGCCATGGTGCGCGTCAGCTGCTATCAAGGTAGTCATAGGGCCGTTTTGGTGAGAAAACACCGAGTGCGAGGTACAGGTACATACGCGGTCTAGAGCAAATGGTGCGGGCGGATTGCATGTGCTCCCTCTTCGCTGGGGACTGGAAGCACTTGGTGCTTGCTTGGCACAGCCTTGGAAGAACATCCATGTCTTTGCGCTTGTGCTTGTACTTGTACTTCCCAAGGGATGCATGGGTGTGAAAACACAGACACCTCTGGCTGCTACCACCTACTAAGGTAAGATATCGATCTCGACGTGAAACATGGCGTCCCTCGAAGTCCTCCTGCTAAAGGGGAATCAATCTAATAGCACCGTCGTCGTCATAGACTAGATGCTGTAGAGTACTCCGTACGAGTATGCCAGCGATGTGTTGGAGTTTTCATAACAAGTAATGCTGTAATTCATATGCATCAATCTCACCTTCATAGAGTAAGCGAGAGATGTGTACATGGAGGTATGGAGTTTGGCGTCATGGACATGGACATGAGCATGGGAAAGCCAGTAGCGGGCGGACAACTCATCCATCCTCGCCCAATTGCGGACCACGGGACTCGAGTCAACACGGACGGCATCGCCACACCAGCTCTCTGTCTTTGTTCCTGGACTTGTCTCAACATTGCCCGGCTGTTTTAAGCTGCCACATCTAGCCTGATAGGCGCGGGCTATTGGTGGAGACGTTTGCGCTGGCGCGTTGCCGTGGCGACGGCATCCCATCCCATACTTGAGCTCCTGGGAACCATTACTGCGGCTCAGCTGGCCCTTGAACTTGGATCTGGAATCCATTCATTCTTCACCAACTTCACCGTTTGTCACTGGAGCAGAATCTTGCCTTTGGTATCCGTCCGCACATGTTTGATGAAATGCGACAGCAAGCCGAGCCTCGCCTCTCAGCTGCTACAGGCACAACCTGCCCAAGCGCCTTTCCAAGCGACAAGCCCTTGAACGCTATACCCATGCAGACACCGCACTACATGAACATGAACAATATGAAGCATGAACCAGCTAAGTTACCAGGGCGCATTGACAATGTTACCGCTGATGATTGGATGCCTCACCCCCCAATGACAAAGCTAGAAGCATCGCAGATGATTCCCGTAGCTGGCAGCGGCGGATATACTGCTCAGCTGCCGCAGCCTCGGCTCAATCACAGCTACGGCGCGCAGAATTCTCCTGCCGATCGCCCCAATCGCCATCGTCGCACCGAGTCAGCGGCCAGCATCGCGAGCGCGGCCAGCATCGCCGATATCAATATCGATGAGACGCGAACCGAGACAGGGGTCACTGGTGAGGAGATTGCCCAGTACATCCAGGGACCCGAGACGACAGACGGCAAGTGGACTTGTCTGTTCGACGACTGCGGGAAGCAGTTTGGCCGCAAAGAAAACATCAAGTCCCACGTCCAGACACATCTCAACGACCGCCAGTACCAGTGCCCAGCCTGCATGAAGTGCTTTGTTCGACAGCACGATCTCAAGAGACACGCCAAGATTCACACCGGAATCAAGCCGTACCCTTGCGACTGCGGCAACAAGTTTGCGCGACATGATGCTCTCACCAGACACCGTCAGCGGGGCATGTGCGTCGGCGCCTTTGACGGCATTGTGAGGAAGAGCGTGAAGCGAGGACGACCCAAGAAGCACCGTCCGGAATTGGACGCGCGGCTTGAGAAGTCCGCAAAGACCAGGAAGAAAAACATGTCCATCAGCTCCATCTCTTCGTTTTCGGGCTATTCGGACATCTCCAACGTTGGCTCTCCCGAGTATGAGCTCGATGTGCTCAATGAGGTGCTGGACATGGGAATCGAGGGCGAAGCTGAACCACCTCGCTCGGTCTCGTCGGCCCCGATGCCCAGCCTACCCAATCCACCAGTCAACGGCAACGTCGTCGCATCTCCTTCAACTTCAGAAGCCAGCGTGCACTCCTATGTATCCCCGGAAGCAATCATGGAGAGGGCCTCACATCCCTCTTCTCCCGGAAAGAGCACACCAGGCCACTACAACACGCCTCCCGGTCTCTCTCAGTCATCGTCATCGCCGCCCTCGCATTTCTTCGAGCTGGATCCCGCCACATCAACAACGGCGGATGAAGTCGTCAGCTTCCCCGCCGGCGGCATGATGATGGGCTTGACAACCATGGGCGCACCTTTGCCCCTCAGCATCAGCGAACAGGAGGACGATCTACTTCGCCAGTTCACCAACGACGACAGCTTCATCCCGCTGGATCGTGACCAGAGCCTGATGATGATGCCCAAATTCGACGAGTTCAACGGTGTAGCCGTCAGCATGCTCAACGACAACGGCTACTACTTTTGATGAGATGCTCAAATTGCGTCGAACAACCTACTTGCGCCATATGATATATTCCGAACTTGTCTTGTATATGTCGAGTCGATATTACGATGACGCCTTAATCTGAACCGGGTCTAATGATCAGGATAATTTTTATCTTCTTTTCCTTGCGTTATAAGGTTTCTTTTGACACCTCCAGTGGCCTTTATCTGCTGTGTAAGAACCACGGCTCGCCATGTTGGAACTATGGTGTCAGTTCAATTGTACAATACGGGGGAGGAATTGGGTTTGGGGATTAAAATGGGATTGTTTGTTTTTTCCTTTGTCTGGATATGCTGTCATGTTACAACGCGATTGATGCTTGGAAACGAGGGCTTCTCCACGGGAATCCGCCACCGGATCCCTCTTTGGCTATTTGTTTGGAGTTGTGAGGATACTTACCTAGGGACACTAGAGTACGAATGAGCCTGGATATTGTGGAAGTTCAGTGATGGCCTCTGTGATCTGTTGCCTGTGATGTTGATTCGGTGCAACCCGCCTCTGCCATTGTCCATCCAACTTTCGTGCCCGCAGTCAATTTATAGTTGACGTGCTGATCGCCGCTCGAGTGAGTAGTTGAATTGTCTCCTTTACCGTATCTTGAGCACGAGAATCCGTGGCTGCATCTGGTGGAAGATGATTGGAGCATCGCGCTGTCGTACATCCGATAATTATATTAAATGCAGGGCATATATTGGATGAATAGGTTTTTTTTCTGCCGGCGGTGTGATGCTAATGACGTCTCGCCAGTTGGCCAGATTCTAGCAGATAAGGCTCAACGGCTGCCTTTTAGCTGCTACCCTATTTCTCACAGTGCACACACTTGGACCTCCCCGCCCTCAGTTTTGTTTTTTCCCTGCCAACTTCACTCTCTGCCAGATGCTTTGATCACTGGATTCTGACACTTTTTGCTCATTCAATATTGTATTGACCTGTCATATTGGACATTTATTTGATTTATGCCGGTGATGCGTTAACTCTTCAAACATGCTCACGCCCACTGTTGCCTACCGATATCGATGGCTGTACGCCATCGGGAACACGCCTGCAACGAATTTGGCACGAAGCATCCCCCATGGCCAAGATGCCAGCTTACTTTCACTCGGTTGCGGTGACTTGAGGAACGTGTTATACACTTCCTACGTTCAGAAAGGACTTCGTAAGATCATGCATTTCTTATTCCTATGCGGGCCAAATTGCATGGGGGCTTACAATTTCTTCGTCTTTTAGCTGGCAGAAAACTGGACTTTACATGCTGTGATATTGACGAAAACATCATTGGTAGGTTTGGCATGCTAACATCCCACATGGATTGCGTTTTGTGAATAGCTTATTCTAACCACTTAACAGCACGGAACCTCGTCCTCCTGACCATGATATTGGCTGATGGAGAAGTCATCAGCAACGAGGCACTCTGGGACATATACTACCACATGTATTTGGACGAACAGACCATAGAGCTACTTGTCCGCCATGTCAAGTCAATCATTCCTATGCTGGAATCGCTCGACTCTTTCACCACTGGTCCATTTGGATCAGTTATCAAAATTTGCGATGACGATACCCTGCGGGATGTTAGCGACGCTCTTCAGCGCATCCTTGGCGCAGCAGGGAAAGATGACAGAAGCAAGCAGGCTACCAAACTATCAAAGAGCCTGGCCCTATCCAAGGAAGCTATAGAGGAGGGCACTATGGTTCTCACAGGGATGCGATCAGCTGCCCCCCTGGCTCTTACATCCAAGTTTGCCCTGCCTGAAAATTTCCAACACTACTGGAAAACGGGAGTCGCAATGATTAAAGGAAAAACCGCCAGGATACCGAATCCTATGCTGGTTGGCCTGCTCTCCGACTGGGAACTCTTCCACTACGGCAATGATCCCCTGCTCAGTTTCCACCTCGCAACTGCATTCACAGATTTGCCAGCGAATTCTCCCCTGAAGCCTGATGTTGATGACGAGAAGCATAAAGTTGCTGCGGCAGCTAGGGTGCAGTTCTTTGCATGGGTTCAAGCTTTCAGAAACTTAAAGAACAGCGTGTGTGTCCGCCTTGTCATTTCTGACGCTTTCGCATTTAGCCATACTCTCCAATATTGTGATGCAGCCGACGAAGCATCCGCGAACTGGTATAGGCGTCTGTGGGATTCAAAAGTCCTCCGTTTAGACAAGGCATCATATGGACGTGGTGGTAGTGCGCCGACCAAATTCGACGCCATCGACACTTCCAACTTATCGGATCACTTTGAAGTCTTGAATATCCTCGTATCTACAGCACCCCTACTCAAAACCACACCTTGGGCAACACTTTTTACGGAGCAGCTCTTGGACAACCGCGGATCTGAGAAACAGTCTCTTGACCAGGTGTTACACGGCCCATCGTCTACAGTATCTCTGTTATTGGGCCTTGCCCCTTTGCATGCCTGGACAAATGCAAAGGCTGAATCTCACGTGGATGAGATCTTTGTGTCGGCGATGGGCAAAGCTGGAGGCACGAAACATTCTCAGTTTCATGTTCGTCTAGCATGGAAGCGTGACGACCAATTTGGTGGTTATGGCATAGAGCGACCCAAGCTGCACATGAAAGCCAAAGACGTCAGCGGGATACTATTTCAGATGTACTCAGAGATGTTTGGAAACGAGATGGACGACGGTCACCATGCGCCCTCTGGTGGAAGAGCCCTGCACAGCTATCCCCGTTTCCATCGCGGAAGCTTCACTGCCTTACTCAAAGTCATCCGGAGCCGAGTGAAGACTGATTGGGATGCGGTGCTCAGTGGTTTGCTAAAGAGCATAGAGGAAGAAAGAAATCTGCCCATGACTACGAAACAGGCACAAGACTTTCGCCTCCAGCTATCTCTCTCTACCCTCCCTACTCCAAATAGGATAGATGACGACAAGAATGATGACGTCGTAGCAACGATACCTCGTCAAGGGCCTCTTAGCGGATGGAAGCATCTCCCACCCGTGGTTGCCGTCACCTTGGTTGTCCCTCGAGATGCCTTTGCCCGATTATTTCCCCAACCTCAGCCGGCAGCCCCAGTTCCAACCTTGATAGGAACTCTGAAGTCTAGCGGCAGCAGTTCTAAGAAAAGACTCGACGTGTTTGATGATGTCCATATTGTTTTTGGCCGAGTGACGACAACAGGCGACATTGCTTCGGGGGATGCAATCGTGAGCATAGAAGAAGATGAGCTCAGTTGGTCTGGAACATCGCCTCTAGTAGCGACCTTTTTGGTGCCTACAGCTGCGCTGGTGGAGGAACCAGTAACGAGCTTGGTTGGCCTAGACCTAACTACGGCTTCTTCTAGTACCGCTCTTATGACCATAATGCTGGGCATGTCGAGTACGGTTTATGGAGCAGCATTGTCAGATACTACGAGAGTATTTGTATCCAAACTTATGCCGGGCACGACAGCGCACAAGGTAACGAGTGGTGGCGTGAAGCCATTGAAAGACGATGTTGCCAAGGTGGACAGCGAGGGCCTAATGACATTGATGGCCGAATTGCCCTCGAATAAAAAAGCTATCGAACATTTAACTGCACACTTGCAGATTTCCTCTAAGATGGGTCAAAAGCTGTTGCAGAGTAAGGCACCTATCGAATTACAGCAGGGGGATCCCTTTACCATCAACGTCGTGTTTGGTAAGAAGGAGTTGATCTGCCCGCTCAGATATCCAATCCCCGTGACAAGCATTGGCAGCAAAACCCGTATTGCTCGTGCATCTGGATACATCGAGGTGATTGCCCCTCTGGCAGATCCGAAGCAGAGCAAAGTCTTGGGAGATTTCGTTTCCCCTACTGTGATTGCATCTCGAGGTCTTCCCGTGGCTGTTAATATGCCACATGTCAACCTTCATAACTTGCCCATCATTGATTTGAAGGAAAAGGGGCGCTTGTCATGGCTAACAACACTGACATCTCTGCAATTCTCCGTAAAGGAGAGGCAGCTAAGAGATGGGGTGGATACATCGGGAATTGCAGCAGATGTGCGCGTTAATTTCAAGGAATCTCTATTTACCATGTTTATGGTTTCCTCTGGCGTACAAGGAAGCCAGACAGGCCTGATTTTTATCAAGCACCCGGAAAAGGGAGGCATCCAGGCAATTATTCTAGTATCAGCTCTACGGTTGGATGGAGACACGGCGTCGGTGGTGTTGGACGCCGCCATCATCCCCTTTTCATTGAAGATGTTGGAATCTGAGGGACTGAGGACATTCCTATACGAACTGGACCCGATTGGAGGTTGCACGATGATAGTCAACGACGAGGAGCTGGCTCTTTGGAAGAAGACTATACCGTCTTTGGTTGAGCGATGCCGTACTTGGAACCATCTTCCAAGTTGCGAATACAAAAAGGACGGCGCAACTGTACCGCTGAGCTTTGAGCATGGACAGCAATGGCTTTGCTCATGTGGCAATGGCCAGCTGCCGAATGACTTTGTCGCGCTGCCTTTTTGGGAGAAGGCGGCAGAGTACGCGGTGCGGATTGCAATCAGCCCCATGTACTCTGTCCCCTTTGTTGAATCCGTGATCAACGAGAAGAAGTTTGGGGTGAAGGAATCAGCAGAAGAGGCTGAGCAATGCAACACATGTGGAAAGACGGAGCAGTCGGATGGGCTGAAGCTGAAGAAGTGCAGGGGGTGTATGAAGATTAGCTACTGCTCGACGGAGTGTCAGAGGGCAGACTGGAAGCAGCACAAGAGGGAGTGCATAAGTGCATAGACATTGATGTAATATAGTGACGTAGAAAGGGAAATAGCAGATGTGGCATATGGTGATGCTTCTTTGAGCAGCCATTTGTCTCGTCTGTAATGAGGTCAAATGTGTAGTCTTGCCTACTAGGAGGTAGTATTACGGCATACCTTAGTAGATATATATGGACGAAAAGGGGCTTCTGGTGATAGGGAGCTGTGATGTACCTAGGTACCTTTTGGCGGGGGAGTACCAGGATCAAAGGCCAATTGTGATAGTAACCATCAACCCAAATTAACATTTCATTACTGAATTGTATGTGTGTACTTTATTTCATCTTCACTGAGAATTTCTCTCTCTTTATGAATGTGATATTGAACACGCCGTGTCAAAAGAGTGGGTAGCCCGCAGCTGGGCGGAGTGAGTGAGTGAAATGGCTTGCTAATACAGAATACACAGACACAGTCAAACCCCCACCACACCGCCTTTGGGCCGGACAAGGCAGAAAAAAGTACCCAGCCCACCACTTCTGATTGCGGGTCGGTGCCAGGCAGAGGGAAGCTTGTCGAAAGCACGATACTGCCACCCACGGAGCCCACGAGATTTCTAATCGATCCGGCGAGCTCAGAGCCATCAAGATGTCCGCGGCACAACTTCTCAACCCAAAGGCCGAGTCCCGAGTGCGTGTGTCCTGTGTCTGCTGTCCGTGAGCTGCCGTCGTTCTAACCAAAGGGTGCAGAGGAGGGGTGAAGCTCTGAGGGTCAACATCAGCGCCGGCGAGGGCCTGCAAGATGTGCTCAAGTCCAACCTCGGACCGCGAGGCACCATCAAAATGTAAGGCGAAACGGCTCCATCTCCATCCGCGGCGTCTCACCAGTGCTAACTAACAGCGTTGCAGGCTCGTCGACGGCGCCGGACAGGTATGCGATGCCCAATTTCTACCCCTCAGTGACCGAACCCCCTATTCCTAACCGGCCCTCGCTCGCCAACAGATTAAGCTTACCAAGGACGGAAACGTCCTGCTGCGAGAGATGCAAATTCAAAACCCGACTGCCGTCATGATTGCTCGAGCCGCGACTGCCCAAGACGACATCTGCGGCGATGGCACAACGTCCGTGGTGCTGCTGGTGGGAGAGCTGTTGAAGCAGGCAGACCGATACATCTCGGAAGGACTCCACCCTCGCATCATCACCGACGGTTTCGAGATTGCCAAGGCTGAGGCTCTCAAGGTGAATACGAAACGCTTGTCAATCAATTCACGAGTTGTGTCTGACGTGTTGCTAGTTCCTGGACTCCTTCAAGCTGGCCAAGGAGGTCGACCGCGAACTGTTGCTCAACGTTGCCCGAACATCCCTTGCCACGAAGCTCAACGCGACACTAGCAGCCAAGCTTACCCCCGATATCGTCGATGCCGTGCTGGCCATCTACCAGGCCCCTGCCAAGCCCGATCTGCACATGGTGGAGATTATGAAGATGCAGCACCGTACCGCCTCAGACACCCAGCTCATCCGAGGATTGGCGTTGGACCACGGTGCCAGACATCCCGACATGCCCAAGAAACTGGAGAACTGCTACATCCTGACAATGAACGTTAGCTTGGAGTATGAAAAGACCGAGATCAACTCTGGCTTCTTCTACTCAAGCGCCGAGCAGCGAGACAAGCTTGTCGAGAGCGAGCGTCGGTTCATCGATGCCAAGCTCAAGAAGATTGTTGAGCTGAAGAAGCAGGTGTGCGGCGATGACGGAAAGAAGAGCTTTGCCATCATCAACCAGAAGGGCATTGACCCTCTCTCCCTAGACGTCCTGGCCAAGAACGGCATCCTGGCTCTGCGACGAGCGAAGAGAAGGAACATGGAGAGACTTCAGCTCATCTGCGGCGGCGTTGCTCAGAACAGCGTTGACGACCTAACACCCGATGTCCTCGGCTGGGCTGGTCTCGTCTACGAGCAGACCCTGGGCGAGGAAAAGTACACCTTTGTCGAGGAGGTCAAGGACCCCAAGTCTGTCACCGTCTTGATCAAGGGACCCAACCAGCACACCATTGCCCAGGTTACGGATGCCGTCAGAGATGGTCTAAGAAGCGTCTACAACATGATTGTTGACAAGAGCGTCGTTCCCGGAGCCGGTGCTTTCCAGGTTGCCTGTGCTGCCCACCTCAAGAGCGATGCCTTTTCGAAGACGGTCAAGGGCAAGGCCAAGTGGGGTGTGGAGGCCTTTGCCGATGCTCTTCTCATCATCCCCAAGACCCTTGCTGCTAACGCTGGACACGATGTTCAGGATGCCCGTAAGTCGATAAAACAATAACCGAATTCACAGTATGAGGGTGCAAGACTGACATTCAAACCACAGTTGCTGCTCTGCAAGACGAGCATGCTGAAGGCCAGACCGTTGGCTTGAACCTGGAGACTGGAGAGCCGATGGATCCCGAGCTGGAGGGCGTGTTTGACTCGTTTAGAGTCCTGAGGAATTGCATTGCGTCAAGCTCAGGCATTGCGTCCAACCTGCTGCTTTGCGACGAGCTGCTCAAGGCTCGACAGATGGGCCGAGCTGCAGGACCGGGCCCGGGAATGGACGGCCCCGAGGAAGGCATGTAATGAATTGAATCTATTGTTTAGACTAGTGGTAGACAAAAATCATCCCGGAACAGGCTCAAAACATCTAGGCACTGCCATTGATCTACTATTGCATTTTGATACAGCTGCGTGTTTGTGATTTATATGGATCAATCCATTTCCATTCCTCTGTCTCACCATGGCCGTTTTCATGATACTGGACTAATAGAGCCTGTGCCGCTGATAAGCCCCGCAGCCAGATTATCGTCCGCCCAAAAAAAAAAATCTTGACCCCACCATCGTTGAAATAGGTACATCAAACCAAAATCACAAGCCTCCAGCCTGCAGGCAGTTTTTGCGACAATGGCAGATTACGCTTCCGACTCCTCGGACGGCGAGTTTACGGAGACAAATGTCCTTCTTGGATATGCGTCCAAGGAGGCTGAGGAAGACACGATAAGCAAACTGGGAGGCACTCCGGTATGTCGCTTTTGCTCTCTCTCCAATGAATTGCTTTTGCGCCAAAGCTTTGCAATGCTAAATGAGATGGGATGTTTAGGATTGGCTTGATGCGGATAAACCACCGTCAGCGGCCCTGGCAAGATGCAAGGTCTGCAAGGACATGATGGCCCTGCTTCTGCAGCTGAACGGCGAGCTCCCGGAGAAATTCCCGTCTCACGAGCGGCGGCTATACGTATTCGCCTGTCGCAGGGCGACGTGTCGGCGGAAAGCTGGTAGCGTTCGCGCGCTGAGAGGTGTGAGAGTCTGGAAGGACGGTGCCGAGACGACGACGGCGCAGGTTGAGGAGGAGAAGAAGAAGAAGAAGCCCGAGGCGAAGAGCAAGCCGGAGGAAAAGAAGCAGGATGGGCCTGGTCTTGGAGAATCGCTGTTTGGAGCGAAGCCTCTGGGGGCCTCTGGTGGGAATCCGTTCTCCAGCGGCGGCGCAAATCCTTTTAGCTCAGGGTCGAGCAATCCCTTTAGTTCTGCTTCGTCCAACCCGTTTTCGAGTCAACCAGCTAAGCCTGCTGCTGCTCCGGCCGAGAAGCCCGCCGAGACGCCAACTGCTGCTACTTCAACAAGCCTCTCCAAGACCTTTGCCGAAACTCTGGCACTCAACACCACGCCCACGGAACCTCCTCCTCCTGCCGAACCTTGGCCTGGAAAAGCTGCGCAGCCAACGCCATACCCGACCCTCTACCTTGCCGACGCCGATTACGAGACTCTCGATCCCACTTCGACGAAACTGCCGGCCAATGTGACCATTGCCGATGCTGACGCCCCGGAACCTTCTGCTCTTGATCGCGAGGCGTTTGAATCCGCCATGGATGCTACTTTCCAGAAATTCGCCGACCGGATGGCTCAGAACCCGGAGCAGTGTATTCGGTATGAGTTTAATGGTGTTCCGTTGCTGTATTCCAAGACGGACGAGGTTGGCGAGCTGTTGACCAAGCGGACGATGCCGGGATGCCCTAACTGCGGTGGGCGAAGGACGTTTGAGGTGCAGTTGACGCCGAATGCTATTACGGAGCTGGAAGAGGACGATTTGAGCCTCGATGGCATGGAGTGGGGGACGATCATAGTTGGTGTTTGCGAGAGAGATTGTTCTCTGAGACATACTGCCGTGGAAGAGGCGGGTTATTTGGAGGAGTGGGCGGGTGTCCAGTGGGAGGAGCTGTCGAAGGAGAAATAATGGTTTGTGAAGGGTGGGAATTTCTTGTGGTTAGACAAAAAAAATGTAAGAGGACTACAAAAAAGCCTCGATGAGTTTATGATATCAAATAGGAGAGCGCGAATTAGATTGTAGATGTGGCCCGGTTCTATACATGGCTGATCTTGTATCGCTTTTTTTTTTTCCATTAACAGTTGTTTGTTTCCTATTAAACGCCTGAGTTTTTGGGACCCCGCACCAATAATGCCAGTGATTTTTGTTCTCATTCCGCATCACGGGTTTCCGTCGACATATCCATTTGTCACTCTGCTCCCTGTATAAGCAAATACTTGGTTTAATCAACGCCTTCTATCTCTCCGTGTTTGTCGCCTTTCACTTCTTTCCCCACTCTCTCCGTGTGTGTGTGTGTGTGACAGCATTTATACGGTTTCCTCCCAAGACCGTCTAATCACCCTCGCAAACTGATCGACGTTGACGTCCTCGCGAATCTCCGACTTCTTGGCCTCGTTGTCGGGGTTGGAAGGGATCTTGACGTTGCCGTCGTCGTCGATGGTCCAGCCGGCGACCTCGGTGAGGAACTTGCGGGTCTTGTCCTCGTTGAAGCCGAGCCATGAGACCATGTGTGAGAGCTTGATTTCGCGAAAGGCGTGTGAGACGAGGGTGGCGATGCGCTCGCGGACGAGGTCCTCGAAGCCGGAGATGTCGGCGATGAGGTCGGCGCACAGGTCGTCGCCGTCGAGGTCGGCCCAGAAGTCGGCGTACTGGGCGCCCTGGAGCTGGGAGTTGAGGGATCGGAGCTTGGTGATGGCCTCGTGGAGCTCGCCGGTGGAGGCGGCCGAGGGGTTGATGAGGTGGAGGGCGAGGATGAACTGGGACGAGGGGAATTGGGTCATGGCCTTGACGAGGACGTTGGTGACGACCTCATCCTTCATGCGGTCGGGGTTGAGCTGGTAGCTGTAGTTTTTGGGCGGGCTTTGATTAGCATCGTTGTATACTTTTATGCGCTGACAAGCCATAGCAATGAATAAACAAAAACAGTAGGTGATTCTGTTATGTATCCTTCATCTTTTCAGACACCACTAAAGTTGACTTCAAGCGACTGGGCTGTTTAGACCCGGTCTCAGGTAATAGGAAACGTTTACAAAAACGGTCATCATGTAGATGGGATAGATAGCGGTAGAACAGGGGAAAACAAAGCAGGGCGATTCTCGCACAATGTACGAAATCAAAAGAAAAGCCCGCACTCCACAACATCAAGGCCACTCACAGCTTCAACAGCGTCCGGTTCGCATTGCAGTCGGCAAACTTCTGGTCGCACTGCTCCTGGAGGTAGCTCTCGAGCGTACCAACAGCCTCGGGGTTGTAGCGCTCGAGGCCATTGATGACGGTGGTGATGTAGTCGGGCCGTTCCGCGGGATCTTCGCCGTTCATCTTGGGCTGGATTTGAGGGAGGATTTGAGGCTTGGAGGAGGGGAGGAATTCGGTGAGGGGAGAGGAATTGTCGACTGGAAGTTCGAGATGGTGGGGCTGGAAGGGAAAGATTTCGCATATTGCGGGTTGCTGGTTGTGCGGCTTCGAGGGGCCCAAAGGGGCTTAGCGGCGCAAGGGGGGACGGGGGCCCGAAGCGGGATTCACGGTCACGTGCCGTCGTGTTTGGACAGCGTCATGAACGATGAGAGGCTCGCGTGAGGGAGGAGCTTCAACCACGATTTTCGAGTGACGGTCCGGAGATGACGCGTTTTGTCATGATCGATGAGCGAGCATCGTTATCGGATGAAAGTTCCATGTTGCTGAGATAAGAGTTCCAGCGTTGAGGGGCTACCCCAGCAGTTCCGAGCTGCACAAGACAAGACGCAAAGACACCATGTCGAGTCCGTCCAAGAAGAGGAAGCTCAACAGTGGCAAGAAACAGCCGGCAGCCCAGTCAAAGGGATTGGAATACTTCTTTTCCAAGCAAAAACAGCCGGAGACACTGAATACCTCGGTTGGTGGAGATGGTGATCCAAGCAGCTCATCAGCTATACTTTCCGATGAGGAACTGGCACGGAAGCTACAGGCGGAATGGAATCAAGAGGTGACCAACGAGGTTCACCCCTCTTCAGGAGACCGAAATGCGACTTCAAAGGACAAAGATGTTGGACCTACAGCAGAGACGGTAGAGGATGGTTCCACGTCCACTTCTGCAAGCCAACCGGAGATATCCCCTCCGGATACGACACCCAAGAAGCAGGATGCCAAGAAGACGCTTTCTCTGCAATCTACTGGAATGGCCGATGACACAGTAACAACATCTATTCCGCTTGACGAGTCACCCCTCACTTTTGATCCGTCAAAGTATGTAAAGGAACTGCAGGAGTACTGGGCCCCTGAGAATGGGGATGCGTCCTATGCTCTCCTTACTAGATGCTTCGTTCTTGTTAGCGCAACAACAAGTCGCATCAAAATCGTCGATACTCTTGTAAATTGTCTACGAATTTTGATAGAAGGTGATCCTTCTAGTCTTCTACCCGCTGTAAGTGTTAGCACTAGACCTTGTAAGCGTAATAATTCTCATCGTTATCCCAGGTCTGGCTGGCTACCAATTCTATATCGCCTCCGTTCATCTCCATGGAGCTTGGTCTTGGCGGGTCTGCCATTTCCAAGGCTCTCCGCCAAGTCTGTGGTCTGGATAACCGGTCTCTTAAAGCCATCTATGACAAATACGGAGACCCAGGCGATGTTGCGTTCGAAGCAAAGAAGAAACAGAGTTTCACACTGAGAAAGCCAAAGCCTCTCACAATAAAGGGCGTCTATCAATCCCTGGTAAAGATTGCTACTACTCATGGACAAGGAAGTGGTGAGATAAAGCAGCGGATCGTGGATCGGTTACTGCAGGATGCGCGAGGGGGAGAAGAGAGCCGGTTCATTGTTCGAACCGTCTCGCAGTATGTGCGTATTCTCCGCTGTGACTTCTTTTTGCTATGAAACTTGTAACTGATGGTGTATAGCTCCGCATTGGTGCCGTTAAAACTACCATGCTCATTGCGTTATCCAGAGCATTCTCGCTTTCTAAAGCCCCAGGTTCTGAGTACGATACGAAGAACATTACAGAGCTGAGTAAGCTAAAGAAGGAAGAGCTGGCAGAAGTTTGGAGCAAAGCAGAAGAGATTGTCAAAGCAAGTTTTGCAAGGCACCCAAACTACAACGACTTGGTTCCTGCACTCCTCGATGTTGGGGTATGTGAAGAGCTGCTGCTGAGGTGCGGCTTGACCCTCCACGTGCCACTGCGTCCGATGCTGGGAAGCATTACCAGAGACCTCTCGGAGATGCTCACAAAGCTCCAGGGAAGGGATTTTGCGTGTGAGTACAAATATGATGGGCAACGTGCACAAGTCCATTGCGACGAAAAAGGCAAGGTTTCGATATTTTCTAGACACTTGGAGCTTATGACAGAAAAATATCCCGACCTTGTGGAGCTGGTTCCCAAGATAAGAGGAGAAGGCATCGGTAGCTTTATAATGGAAGGGGAAGTTGTTGCTGTTGACCGAGAGACGGGCGAGCTCAAGAACTTTCAGACACTGACCAATCGTGCTCGGAAAGATGTTGCAATTGGAGACATCAAAATCGATGTCTGTCTGTTTGCGTTTGATTTGATGTATCTCAACGGACAATCTCTTTTGGACAGATCATTTCGAGAAAGGCGAGAGCTTCTTCGATCCCTCTTTATAGAGGTACCCCACCACTTTACTTGGGTTAAAAGCCTGGACGCTACCTCTGGGGACTCGGAAGCAGTTCTCGAGTTTTTCAAATCAGCGTTGGAGAACAAATGCGAAGGCATCATGGTCAAAATCCTGGACAATATTCCTGATCTGCCCTTGGTGGAAGTTGAGCCCGAGCAACCTCTGGAAGACCCGGAAAAGTTATCGCTCCCCAAGTCTAAAGCAAAAGGCAAGGGGAAGACGAAGAATGCTACAAAAGGCGATGGTGATGAAAAGCCAGCAAAATCTCGAAGGAAGCCGCTCCTGGCAACGTATGAACCAGATAAACGTTTAGACTCCTGGCTCAAGGTCAAGAAGGATTACAATTCGAGTTTCGACACTCTTGATATGGTTCCCGTAGCTGGATGGCATGGGCAGGGCAGAAAGGCGAAATGGTGGTCGCCCATCTTGATGGCGGTACGGAATGAGGAGAGTGGCACGCTCGAGGTGGTCTGCAAATGCATATCGGGCTTTACAGACACCTTTTACAAAGCGAACAAGGAGTTTTACGATAACGGGGAGGAAAGTGGCGAGCCAAAGAATACCAAGCTACAGAAACCGAGCTTCATAGAATACTACGGTCCAAGCCCAGACGTTTGGTTTGAGCCACAGGAGGTATGGGAGATGGCATTTGCGGATATTACGCTGAGCCCAGTGTATACTGCGGCCATTGGGCTTGTGAGCGACGAGCGAGGTCTCAGTTTACGGTTCCCGCGATTTTTGAAGAAGAGAGAAGACAAGAGTATCGACGAGGCGAGCACGAATGAGTTTCTGGCCAACTTGTGGAGAAAGCAAGAAGCAAAGGCGGCATCGTCAGCGTCGAAGGATAGAGAGGCTGCAGTGGAAGATGCGTTGGATGGTGAGCAAGATGAATGAATCATTTTGGATAGATATCAGAATTGATGACGCTATTTGTGCAATGACTACGTCGAAGCTGGTAGAACAGAATATTGACTTGAATTGATGACTGGCTGGCTGTATAACGAGATGATTCATTTCCCGGCGTTGAGCCTCTGCGCAATCAGGCTGAAGACGGCAACAGACCCCATGAACAAAACGGCATGATAGAACTAGAAATTGTTAGAAAGAGATATACACATGAATTAAGGACTTGTGGCGGGAAAACGTACGGCTTTTCTGGAAATGTTCCTCTCTTCATCTTCTGTTCGGGCCTCGATGAATAGCCTCCTGAGATTGGGAAAGCTTGCCTGCGACATGGAGATTTCAGCAGACAGACACGCAGATGGTCATTAATTTGACGATTCTCGTTTGGTGGTGATTTACCATGTTGGCGGAACAAAAGAGTGGAAGAGAGGGATCCCGCGGTGAGAAGAGATGAAGAAGTGGGAGCTACTAAGAGATTTGAGTTTATGGCGTTTGGAGTTCAATGTGTGTAGTTTTTGGCTTTTTGGTGGAAGAGGCCCGCGCGTTTTAATACTGTATGGAGTGCCTGGAGGATTAATTCCGTGGGGACTGAATTGGTTGGTTGATGATGGTTGGATATTTGATTGAGGTTGAAGGATTGTGATGTTATATGATCTGATATGAGCTTGACGGGAGATGACTAAGTGAAGTGAAACTTGTGATGCTGCGTGTGGTCGTGGACTATGGGTTTGGCTTGTATTTATTCGGAGGCCTGCATGAATGGCCTGAGATTGGCTGCTGGTTCTACTACAGCACTATTGGGAGGATATAGACTAGTAACAGCTGAAGCCCCTTGTAGCGTGTAAAGCCATGGTAACAAGGTCAGGTTATGTAACTATAGCATAGCATGTCTGAGGAGCGAATACATTAGGCATCCGTCCAAAATGATGAGCACCGTATATAACATCAACTCTAGGCATCGAGATCATTATTGTGTCTACCTAGTAGGTACCTAAATGTTTACTCAACTGATGCCATTAATAGCCATCAATACTGTAGACCCCTAACACACTCGGTGACAGCTGGATGACTCAGCGAGATCGGGCACGTAAATCTGGCCATTCGGCGCCGACTTCAGTGGAGTTTTGATTGGCCCAGTTAGGGAGGCTGTCGCTGAGGCACTGCACTGCACTACAGCAAGCTGATGGCCTGGAATCTAGACATAAGCTGCAACTCTCAACCCCTCGACTCGACATTGGCTCGACAATTCCCAGAGGCCACGACACGGAGCCTTTGCTGGAGGCTCTGCCACTAGCTATCACCCCCTGATAGCAATTCTTTTTTCTCTCTCACTGTTTCTCTTTCTCTCTCTCTTTTCTCGGCCGCCGAATCAAACTCGCAGACCAGACACCTGCGTAAACCCGCCAGCCGTCCCAAACGCCAGCCTCAGCACCATCCTCGTGCCCCTCCACCCCCCAAGAAGCTCCTCGACGATGGCGGTGAATCGCATCCGGGGCGCCTTTGCCGCGCCTCGGAAGGGAGAGACGTTTGAGCTGCGAGCCGGGCTGGTCTCTCAATATGCCTACGAGCGGAAGGAGTCCATCCAGAAGACCATCATGGCCATGACGCTGGGCAAGGATGTGTCCGCCTTGTTCCCCGACGTCCTCAAGAACATTGCGACGGCCGACCTGGACCAGAAGAAGCTGGTCTATCTCTACCTCATGTACGTCGCCGTGACATTTGCCGAACCAGATCTCCGGCGTCGGTGGCAATGCTAACGAGGGCATGTGTCCCCCTAGGAACTACGCAAAGACACACCCAGACCTCTGCATTCTCGCCGTCAACACGTTTGTGCAAGACTCGGAGGACCCGAACCCGCTGGTGCGAGCGCTGGCCATCCGCACAATGGGATGCATCAGAGTGGACAAGATGGTCGACTACATGGAGGAGCCGCTGAGGAAAACGCTGCGAGACGAGTCGCCCTACGTGCGCAAGACGGCCGCCATCTGCGTGGCCAAGCTTTTCGACCTGAACCCGGCAATGTGCATCGAGAACGGCTTCATCGAGACGCTCCAGGAGATGATTGGCGATCCGAACCCCATGGTGGTCGCAAACTCGGTCCAGGCGCTGTCGGAAATCAGCGAGACGGCCCCCGAGACGAGGGCGTTGCTCATCACTCCCGCCGTGCTGAAGAAGCTGCTCATGGCCATGAACGAATGCACTGAATGGGGTAGAATCACCATCTTGACCGTGCTTGCGGATTATGTCGCCCTCGATGTCAAGGAGTCGGAGCACATTTGCGAGAGGGTCATTCCACAGTTCCAGCACGTCAACCCTAGCGTGGTCTTGGCCGCTGTCAAGGTGGTCTTTATCCACATGAAGTCCATCAACCCGGAACTCGTGCGGTCGTACCTTAAGAAGATGGCGCCTCCTTTGGGTAAGTTTGTCGCTGCTGAGCCGTCAAGACAAGCTCGGTAGAAGTCAAGTGGGTTGCTGCGTTGCTAACACAAGCACAATAGTCACATTGGTCGCGTCTGCGCCCGAGGTCCAATATGTTGCCCTTAGAAACATCGATCTGCTCCTCCAAGCCAAGCCCGACATCCTCAGCAAGGAACTGCGAGTCTTCTTCTGCAAGTACAACGATCCGCCATACGTCAAGATGCAGAAGCTGGAAATCATGGTCAGGATAGCAAACGAGAAGAACTACGAGCAGCTCCTTTCCGAGCTGAAGGAGTACGCATTGGAGGTGGACATGGATTTCGTTCGCCGAGCCATCAAGGCCATCGGCCAGGTGGCCATCAAGATCGAGGACGCCAGTGCCAAGTGCGTCCAGGCGCTGGAAGACCTTCTCGCCACAAAGGTCAACTACGTGGTGCAGGAAGTTGTCGTGGTCATCAAGGACATTCTGCGAAAGTACCCCGGTTACGAGGGAGTGATTCCTTCACTGTGCGACTACATCGATGAGCTCGACGAGGCCAATGCTCGTGGATCCCTCATCTGGATCGTGGGAGAATACGCTGAAAAGATTAGCAATGCGGAGGAGATTCTCGAGGGCTTTGTGGACACCTTTTCAGAAGAGTTTACTCAGGTATGCTTCGAAAGCAGCCCACGTTTTGGAGTTGTAGGCTAACATTCACATGTAGACTCAACTGCAGATTCTGACAGCCGTTGTCAAGCTGTTCTTGAAGAAGCCCAGTGGAGCGCAGAGTCTTGTGCAAAAGGTATTGCAGGAGGCGACCACCAACAACGACAACCCCGATATCCGTGACAGAGCATACGTCTACTGGCGATTGCTATCAGGAGACCTGGAGGTGGCCAAGGTAAGAACACATTTCTGTTTGTCTATTATGGAGAGGCGCGCATGTACTGATATTCATCCCTCAAGAATATTGTTTTGTCACATAAGCCAACCATTTCAACAACAATGACAAGCCTGCCAAATGCGCTACTGGAGCAACTCTTGTCGGAGCTGTCGACCCTTGCATCGGTATACCACAAGCCTCCGGAAGCCTTTGTTGGCAAGGGCCGATTCGGCGCCGACGAGATCCAGCGAGCCGCCATTCAAGAACAGCGCCAGAACGCCGCGGAGAATCCCATCGCTGCCTCTGTGGCCGCGGCCGCCGCCAATGGCTCATCCTCCGTCTCGCAAAACAACATTGAAAACCTGCTCGACATCGACTTTGATGGCGCAGCACCGGCGTCTCAGGAGCAGACAAGCGCAACAGGAACCCCTGACCGAATGGCAAGCCCAGCCACGGGTGGTATGGCTGACATGATGAGCATGTTTGACGCCCCTTCGGCCAGTGATGCTCCTACCGCGACGCCGGCTGGTGGCATGAATGATTTAATGAACGGGTTCGAGGGGCTCAACTTTGGAGCGGCGAATGCAAGCCAGCCACTGCCGGCGGCGATGCAGCTTCACGGTGGTGGCTCTGAGCCTAAGAAGGATAGCGATGATCTTTTGGGTTTGTTGTAGATGCGCAATGGCTTTTGATAGGCGGAATGCGAGCGGGCTAAAATGGTAGAAGAAGAGCTTGGGAAAAGGCATTTTACGGGGGATGCCGAGATAGGGGGCTGTAAGGGGGTGGCTCATGTTGGGAAATATAGTTAATAAGTGATGCATATTTGATATCTCTGATATATATACAAGTTATGAAGATGTTTTTTTTTAAAACATCTGCCCTCCGTTTGGTCGTTTGGGGCAAACTTGCTTGATGTGGGAGAGCTATTTCCACGCCGATGTTATCCAAGCAAGCTCTTGGTCAGCCCTGCCTGGTGGATTGCCCATGAACATTACCTAGGCGAGTTATCTTCCATTCTTGGCGTCGTCTTGCTCGATGATGTATATCTCGGCGCACGTTTCGTTTCCACGGCCATGTCAATCCCGCAACATCCCTGATCCCCCTTTGGTATATTGAAATGATATTATTCCCCCTCTTCACTCTTCACTGGGACGTTCCCTCAACGTGTCCCCCCACCGTACCATCCAGCGACGGCGCCGCAGTGTCCTTCTCCTTCTCCCACTCCTGCGGCGTCTGGCACTTGGCCGTCCAAGCGTGGATGGCGGCGATTTCGTCCTTGAGCGCCGTGTTGACGAGGCGGTGCCGCTTAAGCGACTTGAGGTCCTGGAACTGGGGGGAGACGATCAGAGATGTGAATGCTTGGCCGCAGCCACCTGTGTGTATTTTTTTTTGTGTGAGCTTTTTGGGATTTGTAATATGGGTTGTTGGGGGTTTTGCGGTTACCGGACATGTCGGTGACTTCGACGTGGATTGCGCCGAGGCGCTGGGTGATGGCCTCGCGGAGGGAGGCTTCTGTTATTGACGCCATTGGGGGGGGGGTTAGGAGATGTAGGAAGAAGATCGTGTATGTTTGAGGGAAGAGGAGAGTGGAAGAAGAAGATCTGATTGATTAGATAGATCGTGGGGTTGGTGGCATGTGTACAGTGTGGTTCCGACAGTATCGTATGTAGTTTTGGTACGGTATGAGCTCATTGGGCAGAAGAAAAGAAGCTTAGCTGAGCTTTGGGGCTTCTTCATTGGAGGGGCTGCATAGGATCGATACGAGTCCCTGGAGATCGAACTATTTACACACCTGGAATCTAGACTCTGCATCTTTCATCATCTCCTTTTCTTTGCTGCGGGTTCTGAGCATCAGAATATTGACTTCAATGCTATTGGTCAGACGTCTTGATAGAGGTCTATCGTCGTCAGCACTCCGGTCAACGTCTTTTTGTCGTCTTTCAGTTTCGCGTCTTCCTCGTCTCGGCTTCTCTGCGGCTCGATCTTCGCCCCGGCACACGATTTCTACTTCCAGTTCGAGCAAACGACCTGATAGCAGCGCAATGGCGGAATACGCAGATGGTGTGGGCGCTTGGGGTGCGTGGCAGGTCGAGCCGTCCAAGTTTACGCAGCTCGTCGTCGACTCCATGAGGACGTTGTACGTTGTCTTGCCTTCTTCTTCACATGTCTTGCCTTTGGATGCGTAGTCAAAGGTGCTGCTGTTATGGACTGACAGTTGGTGATTGATTCGTTACAGATACCCCGAAGAGCTCGCCGATCGGAAATGGGACAATGTCGGACTGCTGCTTGGCAACTCCGAAAGCGATGCCAAGAAGCTCGAGCCGACAGTCATGGTGACAAACGACCTCACCTTTCAAGTCGCAGTGGATGCCATTGGCCAGGGCGTCAGTGTCATTGTCAGCTACCGTATGTTATTAGACTACTGCCTTGTCCCAATTCGTTGTCTAGCTACTGATTTGGCCCCGGTGTCTACCATCCAGATCCCTTCATCTTTTCCGGCCTCAAGTCGGTCACGAATAGCGACCCCCAACAAGCTACACTCCTGCAGCTGTCCAAGGCTGGCGTTGCCGTCTACTGCCCGCACACGGCCGTGGATGCTGCTCCCAAGGGCCTCAACACTTGGCTCGCCGACATCGTTGCCGGACCCCATAAACACACCCCGTCCGTTGCCATTCCTTGCGCCACGGCCCCCGAATCGGACCCTCCAGCTGGATATGGCAAGATAGGGCACTTCGAAGACGGCGCTCCCGTGTCCCTGGCGGAGATTATCAAGAGACTTGCTCTCAAGCTTGGAGGCCTCAAGCACATCATGATTGCCTCCCCCGTCGGCTCCGACATCAAGACTGCCAAGGTGCGCAGCTTTGGTGTTTGCGCAGGCAGCGGATACGATGTTCTCAAGTCGGCCGACGTGGATCTGCTCGTCATGGGTGAGACGAGCCATCACTCTGCTCTGAGAGCCATCCAGCAAGGCAGAACCCTCATCCAAGTATTCCACAGCAACTCGGAAAGAGGCTACCTCCGAGAGGTGTTGAAGCCCAGCTTGGAAAAGCTGCTCAAGGAGGCCGAGCCCAAGGCTGAAGTGATATTGAGCGAGTATGATGCGGATCCGTTCAAGATACTGGACGTGAGTACCTTGCAGGAGGCCTGAGGGGCGTGTCATACGGCGTCAGGTATATTGGACCCGTTGCGTATAAACAAAGGCCGGGCGTTCATTGCTTCAGAGCAGGCTGTGTGTTGGAATGCAATGGGCCGTACCGCCCATCTCTTGACACCATCTCATCGGGTGCCGGTGATCTATTCCGTGTCACGGCAATGACCGCATCGCCTTGGTCAATGCATGTCTGCACGTCGTCCCCGCCCAGTCCCTTCTGCTTCCAAGCTTCCAGCAGCTTTCTCGGCATGTCCCACTGTCTCCTGGCCTCTTCGAGTCTGCCTTCCTTTACAAGTGCCTGTAGCCTCTCTGGAGTCGCCAGAACCTCAATGGCCAGCTGCCTCGTGCGGTGGCGGCGTTGCTGGACTTCCCGTGCTTTGCCCTCGTCCGAGTCCGGCGGCGGTACTGATTTTCGTACTGATTCTTGTATGGCGGAAGCCTGGCTGTAGATGTGGGCAATGGCCGGATCGAGTGTTGTGGCCATGGGATTCAGGGGATCCATATTGGCTCGCATCTGAATTGGTTAGCTGCTGCAATGCCCTATTTCATAACCCAATTTCCACGCTGGGCCTTGGTGGTACATACCTTTCGAATCGTCTCCGTTGCTGTGATGAGCTTGCTGTAGTTGTCGTACACAAGAGCCTTCTTCTCTGCATCCAAAGCCCTGACTTCACCCAGCACTCTTGTGTACAGCTTCAACAGCTCCTGCAATGTGCTCTCGGCCACAGTCTTTTGGAGGTACTCATCGAGATTGAAGTCGGGCGCGTCGATCTCGCTGGCAGGAACCTCCGAGTCGGGGACCTCAATGATGCGTGGCGTTGAAGGCGACGAGGCCGAAGCGGCGGCAGCCCGGAGATTGTAGTACTCGCGCAGAGCGGCACGGTTGTTGGACCGCTTGGAGCCGGTTGCGGGCTGGGATGCGGAGAGGACGGGGGACGTGACGGCGGAGCGGGAGACGTCGGAGGAGGGCCGGGCGGAAGAGGTGGGGGTGCCGGAGGGGGTGCGGCGGAGCGGAGCGGGAGGATTGCGGGAGGAGGCGATGGTGGACATTGTGAGGGTTGAAGAAGGGAATGGTGAGGTTGGAGATGTGAGGTTGGAGGTTGAGACGAGACGAGGTGAGGCTGGATGGTTTTGTCAGGGTGACCAGACAGCAACCGGCACAGCCTTGTAAGCTGGAGCTGATGCACTAAAATATAGCGCCCCTGGTCCCCTAAACCTTATCGCCAATCAACCTCCAGGTACGTCATTTAGCTAAGAAAAATAGCTGGGCTCTACTAATAATGTCCAAATATGAAAGTCTTGATAGCTTCAACCTCCAGCTTCGCCACACTCACAATCACAACCCCCCAAGATAACACAACAATGGACCTCATCCCACAACTCCGAAGAGCAATCCTCGCCCAGTCCCTCCCCCCACCATCACAGACCCTCCTCACAACACTCACATCCCGCTCTCCCCCGCCGCCAATCCCGTCTCTCCTCGCAACCGCCAAAGCCCGCCTCCTCGCCTCCGACCTGACAAACCCATCCGGCACCGTCGTCGACCCTTCGATGCCCGTGTTCCCACCAACCCTCGATTCGGCCACCGTCCAAGAATCCACAATCTCGCAAAACACGCACGTCCAGGTCCTCGACATTGAGAATCTGAGTCTGAGCCGCTGGGAACAGGTCGAGGAGCTCGAGGCCATTGAGCGAGGCGAACGGACGCGCGGACGACAAGTCATCAGGGTAACTGACGAGGAAAACGGCGAGGCTGACGGGTCTGCGGAACAGACGCAGGCTTCTCGAGCTGGTGCCGCGGCTTCGGGCGTAGCGAATGCCGTGCATAGGTTGGTGCTGCAGGATGGACGCGGCAAGAAGGTGTTTGCGGTGGAATTGAAGCGCATCGGCGGAATCGGGATAGGCAAGACGTACATTGGCGAGAAGATTCTGCTCAGGGCCGGCGCGGTGGTGGCGAGGGGGACGGTGTTGCTGACGCCGGAGACGTGCACGCTGCTTGGAGGCAAGATTGATGCCTGGCACGAGGCGTGGATGGAGGGAAGGTTGGCAAGGCTGAGAGAGAGTGTGGGAGCGGACCGGCCGCAGTGAGGAAGTGAGGTTTTTGGATTTTGGATCTGGGAGATTGGAATTGCTTTCTGTGATACCCCCTATATATTTCTATTCGACCGCATATTCTTCTTTCGTGGACGGTAAGTCGTTTCGTATAACCGTCGTGTTCCTCCGTCAGAGTGAATAGCCATCTCTTTTTGTCATGTTCACATACAACAAGTCATGATACATCACTCTCATCATATACCCTCAACACTAATCTCAAGAGCATTCCACCCAGACCCCTCCCACGGCGCCAAAAACGCTGCTCTCTGCGCGTCCGCCACTCTGCCCGTCCCAGCATACGCCCTGGCCAAGTCCTGCGCTTCCAAAGTTCCTCGCGGCGGAATGCCCCTCGCGGCGACCTTGAGCGACATCTCAGCCGCGTAATCACCGTCTTCGGCCGTCGTCTCAGCAAGCGATGACCAGCCGTGCGGGAGGTTGGGATAGAGCATGATGTCTGTCTGGACTTGCGAGACCATATCCTGCTCCGTCTTTCCGTCTCCGAGAGAGGCAACTGCCCTCAAGACTTGGCCGATGCGAGACTGTTCCGCTGCCGTCACCTTGTCGTTTGTGCGGAGGCCTTGGAGCTCTTCTACCACGGCTTCCAAGCTTGCCTCGTCTTGGTCGAGAAGGGCAATGACTCCTAGGAGTAGCACGCTTTGCACATGGTCGGGATGCTTTTCAATAACCTCAAACAGGGCACCGCGAGCCTTTTCCCTTGCGCTCTCTGTGCCTTGAGCCCACAGAACCTGGGCGAGCAAGCACGTCGCATCAGGGTTGTTGTCAGATTCCTCCAACGCCGACTCGAAGCACTTCTCTGCCTCATCATACGTCTTCAGGTAATACTGCGCAAGCCCCACAGTCAAGTGTGCCGACAATCGAGCCTTTTTGCGCTGCTCGCTCGTCAGCTCATTCTCGCTCTCCTCGCCGCTCAACCCCAATGCCATTTCTCCGCACTCGACGGCTTGTTCGTAGGATCCAGAGGCAAGGTATGCCCGTGCAAGATCTGTTCGTGCCAGAGTGAACCGCGCAAGGTCATCAGCGGACTCGGTCCTTTCGTAATCGGCTTCGAGCTTTTCGCATATTTTCTCTAGAGTCTCGACCGCACGAGGGCTTTCGCCAGTGCGCTCTTGCAAAAGAGTTTTGAGATGAACAAACGCCAAATCATCAGGGCGTAGGCTCTGGACTTGGTTAACAGCAAACAGAGGCTGGATGAGTGATGCCACGTTCAGGTTGAGCGGAGCCGTCAAGATGTGATCGAAGAGCGAAGACGAATAATGACGGCGTGCAGGCAGCGATGACGATTCGGATATTTCCATAGCATGCGTAAAAAGACCCCTGGCCTCCTTTGCCTCGCCAAACAAGAGCGCCACAAAGCCTTGGCCGAGCCATGCGTGCGCATAATCCGGATCGTTTGACTGAGCCCTCGTGAAGTTCTCATTGGCAAGCTTAAAGTCCCCTGCTAGCAATGCCAAAGTCCCCAGATTTGTCCACGCCACTGGGCTGCGCTCATTCAAGTGCAAGCTTCTGACATAGGCATGTTGGGCTATGGCAGGATTGATGTCGCTGGTCACTACGCCCAGGGCATTCCAGAAATCCGCATTGCCGGCTTCCAGTTCAATAGCTCGTTTGAATGCCCTGACAGCAGCCCTGATGTATCGATTCGGCTTTTTCCGCAGCTGTGATGGCAGGCAGGTATGGGCACGGTATTCAGCCCATCCCAGGTTATAGTACGCAACGGCTTGTGCGTGAATATCATTGGCCGATACGTGGATGGCCTGCTTGTAACTCAAAATCGTTGCGTGTAGACACGTAGCAATCTCAATGCCAAAATGCTCGTCTGTTATGACTTTTTGGTAAACGGCATCGGTGCCAACGTTGTCAACATTAGCGAGGATATCGAAAGCCTCTTGTGGTCGAGACTCCAGAAGAGGCTTGATAGAGTGGATAGGAAAATCCGCAGTTCGGCTCTGGACCTGCGTAAATATAGAACAAGCCTCAGCAATGCTTTTCCAAAAATTAAAAGTCTCCAACACACTGCCACTCCGCTGTGTCGCAAAGTTGATGGTATCTACGGCAAGATGAACCGCCTTTCCAAACAGGCCCCTATCCACGCTTGTAACGGCACTGTCGACCATGGTTTGCATCAATGCGAGAATCACCCCCTCTTCCTCAGCATGTGTCTCCAACACTGTCTGGTAGAGTGTGATGGCCTCGTCAAACTCGCCCAGTTCCCGCTTGATGTTGGCCAGCATGTAGTTGGTGAACCAGGTGTCTCCAGACGCATCCACCTTGGAGTCTTCTTCCAGTTTCTTTGCGTTGAGGATGGCTTTCGTCGCCGCAATGTACCGTCCAGAGCTGTGGTAGCTTTCGCCGAGTCCGACCCAGGAGTGATAGTCATTGGGGGTGATTCTGAGGGCTGCTTGGAACGACACGATAGACTTGTGAAAGTCTTGCTTGTTCAACTCAGCAACACCTAGGGCCGCAAAAGGCCAGCTGATTCCCTTTCGTTTCGACCCGGGTGGAGGTTTCACCTTGCCAGAGTCAACGATGCGCTGAGCAACCAGTTCCACCCGATCCCAATCTCCATCATCCGCAAAAGATCGGGCTAAGCGTTCGGCCGCCGTCACTTCTGAGGATGACAGCTCCAGAGCCTTTGTAAAGCATCGTCGCGATCGCTTCTTATCTGACGCGTAGTCGGCGTAAAAGATACCCAGGCTGGTATACGTCGGGGCATGATTCAAGGAATTGTTCAGAGCCTTGAGCCAATAGGCATAAGCACATTCGCCCTTCTTCCGCTTTCGAGATTGCCTACCCGTGTCCAGGTTCCAAATGCACATTCCGATGCGATACTGAGTATCGGCCAGGAGCTCCTTGGAAGCATCACCTTGCTCTTCCAAAGGCCCCAGACACTCCTGCAGTTCACCCAGCGCTGTTTGCCAGTCTCCTCTAAGAGCTTTGACCCAGGCAGCTTCGGACTTGACGCGAAGATTGGAAGCATCTCGAGCCAATGCGCGAGTAAGGAAATCGATAGCCTCTTCGTAATCTTCCTCCTCCTCAAAGATGAGGCCGACGCCAATCATGGCAGGAGTTGAAGACTTGTCGTGCTCGAGAACTTTGTCAAACAGGCGCTTGGCTTCCTGGTGATGTCTCGGAGATTGGTAGTAGATGAGCGCTGTCGCAAGCGAGATGGAATAGGCATCTTCTGTGTTTTCGTACGACAAGCCAATCTTTGGTTTCTGTCTGGCAAGGAATGGGACAGCCTTTCGCATTAATTCCACTGTACTCTCATATTCTCCGAACCGTAGAAGATACTGCCCGACTAATCTGTATCCAAAGACAGATTCGGAACTTGCAATACCATCAGTCATCATAATCAACCGGTCTTCTTCAGTCAGTGGGACCACAAAGGTTGGTGCGCCACCATCTTCGTCGTCACTATCGTCAGAGGTTTCCGTCTCAGCGGAGGAAGCCTTTCTCGATTCTTCTGCTGCGGGTGCAGCGAAAGGAGAAGAGCTGCTTGTTAAGAACCCAGTGATGATCTTGTATAGATCGCTTTCCGGGAAGAAGTTGCAGTAATTTCTTAGAAGCTCCGCGTCGTAATCGCGGATTTCTTTCTTGTCTTGCCAGTTAATGGCGATATCCCAGGCTAGTCGGAAGGGATGTCTGATGATGACCATGTCATTTGCCAGTCCAAGAACCTTCTGCTGCTCCTCCGTCTTTTCCGGTCCTGCTGGCAACACAAGGAGACGATCATGGCAGTATTGGATCAGTTTCTCTTCATAACTTCTCCTTACATCATCATCGGTAGTCCAGTTGATGAGCTCCCGGTAAAGGTGCTCCAGCTTGCTGCCGCCGTAGATTTCTCTCTTCACCTCGAGGGTGACCTCGGTCAATGTCGCGCCCAGCCTCGTTCGTCGCTCTCCAATGAGCGTGTTGATGGCCTTTTTCTCATATGTCTCGATAATATGAGTGATGGTTTCGTAAGTCTTGGAGGGATGGGGAAAGTAGCCTTCCAGAATTGAGTATAGAGGGCTCTCGGGCAATCTGATCCACAAGGCATCGGCATACTGTAGCTGATCCCCGTGGACTCGTGCAAAGTCGACGAATTTATCGACGGCTTCTTGGCACTTGTACAATTCCTCCGCCTGATGGAAGATGGGGGCTAGATGGACGATTGCTGTTTGATACTCGCGCAGCTTCCTAGCAGCCTGTTTCTCATACAGCTTGATGAGACCCTGCCAGGCCTGTGCATCTTGTGGACGCAGCTGAGTTGCCGATTGGTAGACAGCTTCAGCCTCATCCGGTCGGTTCTTCTTATCCAACGCAAAAGCCAAGAAAATATGACTGAGGGGTCAGTTTTTGGGCACATGAGGGTCCAGCCTTGAATGCAGAATAGCCAACGTACCCCTGGTAGTTGTTGGGCTCCTTTTTCAAAAAGTCCCGAGTCCTTTCAATGACATCGTCAAACTTTTGCTGGCGCACCGCATCGGCGATGCCTTTGAGCGTCGCCTTGCTGGACATGATGCCCGATGTTCAGTCTTCAGCAAGCTCTAGAGGGGAAACGAATCGTGCACAAAGAATGGAGTCGAATCAGAAAGAAACACAAAACAAAGAATCAACTGTAAAATCACACGGCCTGGGATCTCATGGCAGATGATGTGTCTGCCTTTGGAGATTCTTCAAGCCAAGACTCCCATGTCTGAAAGCTCGAGCGAGTGTATGATGATGATGATGATGATGATGAAATTACTGGCTCTGTTTCAATGTTGATGCAACAGCTATCGCGGGTGCTGTGGTGCCTTGGCCGAGGATTTGCCGGTTGCGCCTACCAAGGTCCTCTTCATCTGTCCCTTTGACAAGATCATTTTAACATCAACATCAACATCAGTGTGGCATCAATTCTTGAGCAAAAGTACAATTCATCAAAATCAATTGTGTTATCTCTACCTAGGTACGCTGCTATTATAGTTCTAGGGCGAGCTGCTCTCGGGCAGAAACAAGCGGTACGTGATGCTACTTCCACAGCGGCTAGCAACCCTTCATCTTATCATTACCTCCTAAGGTACGCCAGCAGTATCAGAACATGAAGCAAAATACCATATCAAGGAACAATTCCCACTGTTCTCTTGGGGATACAAATACCCAACTGATTTCATAACTTACATTAGCCTAACAAATATCACAATTCAGCTGCACTTCTGGACGTTTATGGCCAGTGACATCGAATAAGTGGGCTGCAGCAAACAAACAACCAGATACTTCTTTCGTGATCAATCCACCACAAAGCAAAAAAGGCCAAGAGGACGCCTTGCCACCAATTAATATAGTAGGCGGTCAATCATTCCTTGTCAACGTGCCAGGTATAAAGCAAGCCTCGGATTGTGGGGAGCCAACGAGAATGAAGCTATAAAGGTTGCCTATCGAGACAGCCATCAGCAAGGCTGGGGTTTTCTGGGTCTGTACAACCTCAAGAGACCTTGAACGACTCAGTTTTTGTCGCTCGGCTCCCTTATTCAGCCCAAAATCACTTGGCACCAGTCCCATTGCAAATTGCAGGTGCCGCAGCCTCGTTTTTATGTCATCTTGGACAGGGATTTGCTTCCAGAAAAGCCACATTGGGCTAAATAAAGAGATCGTCCCCTTAGCTCCAACAGCGCAGAGACCATTGTTCCCATGTTGTGGCTGCTTCCTTTGAAACTCGAATGTCGCTAGTTTCTTCCAGCTCTATGAATGGCATCGTGAAATGTCGGTGCCTTATCCAAGCGAGGGCCTCATACGCCTTGCGTGGCGGTTTGTGTAATCAAGCCTCAGATAGCCAAGGATGTGAATCCCAGTGTACGAGTACGCATTCGTCTCATCACATTATCCGTGCGTATAAACAAGTGAGCTGCTATTGTAGATAGGAATGCCAGAATATAAGGCGCCCGGTCTTCTAGGTGACTCGAGCGTCCTATTGTTGTTGCGACTTATACCCGCCAATGTCGCGAACCTGCATTTTCCCCTTGTTCTTGATATAATCTCTCATGAGTCGGGATCATTGCTGTTGTTTCATCAAGTCGGTGTAATTGGCGTTTCCAGCATCCGCGATGGCTTCGTCGGGTCGAAATACAGGCGCCTCGGCTCGCAATGAAAGCCAATACTCGGCTGCAACTCGAGGCAGACGCCCTAATGGCAATGCTATTATCGAAAACCCTCTAGGTATGTATGATTTCGAAAATAATATGAAAAAAAAAAAAAAAAAAACTTGAATAGATATTTGACAGAAGTTGACGGGACTAGTCCATCTCACGGACGAAGAATTGCAGAGGGATGTTCAGTCCTTTGTCGAGAACCATCTGCCATCCGTCGCATACGAGAACCTTTTACGTGCCGCTCGAGTCGCAAAAGACATTCGCATATACGATGAGGTTGCAAGACAAAAGGGATACCACTTTGAATCCGGCCTGCCGGTACAGTTGACGACGGAGGAGAAACATGCCCTGCGTCGAGAAAGAGACGTTCCTTTCAGTGAGAAGGGCATGCGGATTGTTATCCTCACAGTTTCCATCGCCGCACTGCTGCAAGGTGGGAATACATCTTTCTTCAGTTCTCTCTCCCTCCTCTAATTCCTTCTTCTCGCAACAGGCTTTGTTCAATCGTCTTTTAACGGCGCTTCTCTGTATAAAGAAGAATGGGGGCTCAAAGAACACATTAAACCCTCCAGTGTGGATAATTGGAAGTTTGGGGCTACCAACGCAATACCGTTCTTTGTTGCCGCATTGGTTGGCTGCCCTCTCTCGCTGCCGATCAATTATTGGTTTGGCAGACGCGGAGGCATCTGCGTCGCTGCGTTCCTCATTCTCGCAGGCTCTATTGGTGCTGCTTTTGCAAAGACCTGGTATCAACTGTTCGGAATCCGGATCATCAATGGCATCGGTATGTCTGACCAAAGAAAGTCTGTTCACGGCTAAACACTAATGGATGAGTAGGAATGGGAATCAAGGCCGTCAGCACGCCAATTCTTGCCGGAGAGACTGCTGTCGGATTCTGGCGTGGATCTGCCATTCTAGCCTGGCAACTATGGTAAGACAACACGCAAGGATATCGGGTCGATACCGTCAGTTAACATAGAAGAAAAGGGTCGCATTCGGTATCATGCTTGGCTTTGCTTTCAACCTCATCTTCACAAGAGCTCCTTCAGACGCGACGACACTAGCACTCATCAACGCATCACCCACGGTGCCGAGTCTAGCACTCTTTATAATCGCCATGTTTTTCTGTCCAGAGTCCCCTCGGTACCATCTTACAAAGGGGCCCAACTACGACGTTCAAAAGGCATATACGTGCATGACGAGGATCCGAAATACAGAGGTTTGTCATTCTTTGGCTCTTCTTTAAATGGACCTGATAGAGTTAACGCGATGGCAGCTGCAAGCATTACGAGACATATATCTTGTGTATAAATCGCTCGAGCAACAAGCTATGGGATTGGGAGATCTGGACGCGCATGCCTTCCGATCCCCGGGATTCATATGGGTTATGCGAGACTTTTTGAGACAATACATGCAGCTATTCCAACAAAGACGCCTGTATAATGCTCTCATCTCTACTTCGACAGTCAATCTAGCCCAGCAACTCTGCGGAAGTAAGTCAAACAAAGGATTTCCCCCAATGCTGCAGGCTCTAACAAAGTTTCAGTCAATGTTCTGGCCTTTTATTCAGGTAAAGCATAAGTGATGTAAACAGATTTGGCTCCAAGCTCATTAAAATTAGGAACCCTCTTCGCTGGTGCCAATGGCACTGATGATCAACGCTCAAAAATCATCCCAATGGCATACAGTCTAGGCTTTGGTAAATACATTCCCAGTTGTCAGATTCCCATCTACTTGTAGTACGAGATGCTAACCACTCAATGAATAGGAGCAATCAATTTTCTGTGTGGACTGCCTGCTGTGAGAAGTATTGATACGCTTGGTAGGCGAAAGTGGCTTTTGGGAACGTTGCCTCTCACGGCCTTGTTCATGCTCGCTGCCGCTCTATCGTGCACTATTTCGACTGAGAGTATCAGAATAGGGGTTGCTGCCTTTTTCTTATACGGTATGAGTGATGGACCCCCAATCGTCTGTGAATTTTGATCTAATCTCCACGTAGTCTTCGCAGCTGTATATTCTCCAGGTCTTGGCCCGATCCCGTTTACGCTTGCTTCAGAGAGCTTCCCTCTATCTCATAGAGAAGCGGTAGGTTATCGAGCCAACCCTCCAAATTCTTCAACCATCCTAATTTGTATCAGGGTGCTTCTTGGGCTATTGCAATCAACTTGGGCTTTGCCGGCATCTTGTCCATCGCCTATCCCAGGTAAGTGACGATACAAACCATTACATACATATACCTAGGCCATCGTAGGCTAATGGCCGCAAAGTGTGAATGCAGGTCTTAAAGCAATCGGAGCCTTGGGCCTCTTCTCTGGCCTCAACATCGTCGCTTTAGTCATGGTCTTCTTGCTGGTAGAAGAGACAAAGCGTCACACTCTCGAGGAGTTGGACCACATCTTTGTCGTTTCCAAGAGAAAGTTTATGCGTTTCCAGGTATTCGAATATCTGCCCTGGCTTATCCAACGATACATCCTCGGAAGCCCAAAGCCCCGACCAGAGCTCTATGAGGACTTGATCTGGGGCCCTTCGGAGGGCGAAGACCTGGCACCGTTTCGAGCTGCCCATTTCCTAGGGCGCGATACAGGTACTCAGCTATCAATTGCCGAGCCAGTAGAAATGGGCCAAGGCCGGGCGAGTGATTTTTCTCGGGAAGAGTTGCGGTTTGGAGTATATCAGCCCAGAGCGAGTCAGTCTGCAACAGACCAGAGTTATGCTCAGGGGATGCAGGCAACAAACAATGATGGGCCGGTGGGTATTGGTTATTGATGATGAAGGAGACGAGTTGCGATGAAGAGATGGCTTGGCTCTGACGAATTGTATAATGTTTGCTTGGGTTTCTTTTGATCTGGCTATGTATAATGAGGATGGTTTTGTCTTGCGTTGTGTATATGTATGTATTTATTACACGGATACCTAACCAACTATTCAATATTGTTAATTGACGATTGGTTTATATGGATATGTCCAGTGGTGCTTTACCCTGCAGTCCAGATGGTTATGAGGAGAGATCCGTACATGTAAGTTACCTAGTAGTAGGTTAATGTGTATCTCAGCGACTGTGGATGTAATGTCTCAACATTAGCTGGTTGAGCCATCTACGCGTATTCAGCTCTATCCATCAATTGATACACGGCACATCATCTTCATGTTCGTATTCGCAATCGCGTTGCCACCCGGATCTGCCGAATTGGAGAAATCGGGGAAACAGAAACAGAGATCGAGAGTCCCTAAACCGCTGTGGGGTTCGCCGTTTGCCGGTTTAGGCTCTAGCTGTGGCGACCGTGAGACCGCTATCCGCCAGTGGGGCAATGGGGTTTCCGGTAACTGAATCTTGTCTGGTGACATGCTCTACCAATCTACCTTGACAAACAAACCGTCTTCCGTCATCAACTCATCACCTCCAGTCTTTTGCTCCCTTTCTACAGCTACCTTACAGTACATCGACCATTCAATCGTGACAATCGACGAGTGGATTCGATTCAACTCCATTCGATCCAATTCGCTACCTGGTGAGAACCATGGCTTCCTTTCGCCTGACGATCGAAGATGGCCAGTTCCGCGATGCCCAAGGCCGCCAGATTGTCCTCCGCGGCATCAACGTTGCTGGAGACACCAAACTGCCGAGCGAGCCCAACACGCCGTCTCATGTCGGCGACGACTTCTTCGACGGCGACAATGTGACCTTCCACCAGCGGCCGTTTACCAAACAAGATGCCCCGATGCACTTTGCGAGGATCCGGCGGTTCGGATTCAACACGATCCGATATCTCTTCACCTGGGAGGCCCTTGAGGCCGCCGGGCCCGGCATCTACGACGAAGAATACATCCAGCACACCATTGAGGTCTTGAGAATTGCCAAATCCTATGGCTTCTACGTCTTCATGGACCCCCACCAGGACGTCTGGTCCAGGTTCACCGGCGGCTCTGGAGCCCCCATGTGGACCATCTATGCCTGTGGCCTGAACCCGCAGAGCTTTGCTGCTACCGAGGCGGCCATCGTTCATAATACCTACCCCGAGCCAGATAGTTTCCCCAAGATGATCTGGTCCACAAACTACTACCGACTTGCTGCTGGCACCATCTTCACCTTTTTCTTTGCTGGCAGGGATTTCGCCCCCAAGTGCATCATCGACGGCGTCAACATTCAGGATTATCTACAGGATCACTTCATCAACGCATGTGCCCATCTTGCGAAGCGCATCCATGAGGCCGGGGATCTCGAAAACGAAGTCGTCATAGGTTGGGAGAGCATGAACGAGCCGAACCGAGGCATGACCGGATACGTTGATTTGAGCGTCATTCCCAAAGAGCACCCTCTCAAGAAGGGAACGTGCCCGACAATGTGGCAGACTTTCCTAACGGGCATGGGCAGGGCGTGCGAAGTTGATACCTGGGACATGGGGGGACTTGGTCCATACAAGACGGGCACCAAGCTTGTGGATCCGCATGGCGAATTTGCCTGGCTGCCAGAAGGATACGACGACTCGAGGTATGGATGGAAGCGTGATGCTGGGTGGAAGCTTGGCGAATGCATCTGGGCCCAACACGGCGTGTGGGATATCGCGACAGATACCCTCCTGAAGAAGGACTATTTTTCCAAGAACCCAAATACTGGGAAAACGATTGATTACCCAGAATTCACAAACACCTATTTCCTCGACTTTTGGAGGAAGTACAGCGGAGCTTGTCGCGCCCACCACAAGGACTGCATCATGTTCATGCAGTATCCGACTTTGGAGCTTCCTCCCGAGATCAAAGGCACAGAGGACGATGATCCAAAGATGGCCTTCACCCCTCATTTCTATGACGGCATCACCCTCATGACAAAGCATTGGAACAGTAGTTGGAATGTCGACGTCGTTGGCGTGCTCCGGGGCAAGTATTGGCACCCTGCGTTTGCTATTAGAATTGGCGAGACGGCCATTCGGAACTGTTTAAGAGATCAGCTTGCAACTCTTAGACAGGAAGGCCTCGATCGGACAGGCAATCATCCTTGCCTGATGACAGAATTTGGCATTCCCTATGATATGGATGATAAAAAGGCATACAAGACAGGAGACTACTCGAGCCAGTCGGCGGCACTGGATGCAAACTATTTTGCGGCCGAAGGATCGGGAATGGAAGGGTATTGTCTGTGGGTGTACTCTACAACAAACGATCACGAGAGGGGAGATCAATGGAACGGAGAGGATTTGTCCATCATTTCTGTGGACGACAAGCTCCCCGAGACATCATCCATACTGAGCGAGCATGCGTTTGATCAATCAACTACGAGCTTGGTCAAACCTGGCGCCACCATCGTTACTGCGGAAACTCTGGATGATGCTGGAGTGAATCCTGGAAATCTTCAACGCACACTTACGAACCCGTCAATCAGCTCTGCCCCCTCCGATAAAGACCCTGAGCTGGCAAACACTCCGGGCTACCGTGCCGCAGAAGCTTTCATCCGCCCAACGCCAACCGTTGTGGCAGGGAAATTGCTCTCTTCTGGCTTTGACCTACGTAAATGCACCTTTAGCATCAAAGTTTCAGCTCCCCAGGCTGCAGCCGATGATACCCCTACTATTATATTCCTTCCCGAGTACCATTTCCCCAAGCAAGAGTGCGAAACCACTGTCTCGGCCGGCAGATGGGAGATTGGCCTTGACAACAGCCAGGGCACACTGCTTCAGGTCCTCCGATGGTGGCATCCCGAAGGAGAACAGACCCTGACAGTCAAGGGACCGATACGCAAGTACAATCTCGCCGAAGGGACTTCTGACGACGCAAGCTACTTGGAGCAATGCCAAGCCGGAACTGGGGGAAACTGCTGCATTATGTAAAAGTTGTTGATATGAACGCTCATTGTGGCGACGAAACTGGAGTCTTTTGAGTCTTGCGGCGTATATCATCAGAGGCTATTGGGTAGGCCAGCATGACCGGAGTTATGGATATATTTCCTTTTTTTTTTTGAGGGAGAGAGAGAGATGTTAGTTTCACCTTAACGGACGATCTGAGCGTCATACATTGATACGGACAGACCAATCCGTGCGCACCAATAATCATACATTCATTATTCATAGCAACGCTATATCATCTGTCTTGAAGACAGACTGACCAATCACGATGATGGCATTGACTTGCGATGAGAAATGAAGAGCGAATCATCTTTTGGTCTGAGCACTGTCTGATCCAATGGCCGGGTCCGTGATGACGCGCCTAAGTGAAGTAAATATTCATCGTCAGCACCTTGATGGCACTGACGTGACAACCTTGATGGCCCACGACGATTTCATTTTTTATTATTTCTTAATTTTCTAAAAGTTATGACTGCTATATAATAAGTATTGGACAACTACTAGTTCAAACTCTCGTCATGTTCTTGTTTCTTCTTTTGCATATATCTCCTACAAATTTTGCTTTGTATACGGTATAGGCTCTGGCCAACAGTTCTCATCACAATGGGACTACGGAAAATCACTAGGGCAAAGAAGAGCAAAAAGTCGGACGTCTTGGTGCCATCCAAGCCTCTGCCAGTAACGCTCTTATCCGGGTTTCTAGTAAGTTGGCCACATCTGCTCGGTTGTTCGCCAATCTAGTCTGGGAATTGCTGACACTCTCTCTCCAGGGGTCAGGCAAGACAACGTTACTACAGCACATTCTAAAAAGTGACCATGGGCTTCGTATAGCTGTTGTGGTGAATGATATTGGAGCGTATGTATCACGCTGTTCTGTATTGGAAAAAGTACTGAAATTTGCGTAGTATCAATGTTGATGCCTCTCTGATACAAAAAACCCACCATCTTACAAAAACTGATGAAAAGATCATCGCGCTGCAGAATGGATGCATCTGCTGTACTTTGAGAGGAGACTTGCTCGAGGAGCTTGTGCGCATCTGTCAGCTTCAGCAATTTGACTACATCATCATTGAAAGCAGCGGCATTAGTGAGCCAGAGCAGGTTGCTGAGACTTTCGACTCTCGCCTTGCAGAGCAGATGAGCCTCTTGACTGAAGGCGAAGGCACTGCTGACCTTGACGAAGACATGATTAAGGTTTTGAACAAACTGTAAGCTTCAAAAACTCCGTAGAATGGCTGCCTCTTATTAGCGGCGTGACTAATCGCGGTATAGGAAGCAAGCTGGCGGGCTGGAAAAGTTCGCCCGTCTGGACACGACCGTGACGGTCATTGATGCATTCACGATGCTGAATGACTTTGATACGGCGGATTTATTGTCGGGGCGGAGGGATGACGTTACTCCGGAAGACGAGAGAACTGTGTCGGACCTCATGGTTGATCAGATTGAGTTTGCGGATGTGATTATCTTGAACAAGATTGATATGGTAAGGTTGACCACGTCAAGATGATGTCGATTGATGACTGACGAAATGATCAGATCAACGATGAGACAAAAGCTCGGGTACTTGATCTTGTTAAACAGCTGAATCATCGGGCCAAGATCCTAGAGTCCAAGTATAGCAAAGTGGACGTCAAAGAGCTGGTCAACACGGGCCTCTTCAATCTCGAACATGCGCAATCTGGGTATGGATGGCTGCAGGACTTGCATGCCATGACTGTGCGCGAGGTATGTCTTCCATCTGATGATTGCATTTACAGTTGACCAAAATGTATGTGGAAGGCTAACACAGAAATTCTAGGTAAATGGCCGCAATGTGGTAACTCCTAAGCCGGAGACGGAGGAGTATAATGTGCAAAGCTTCATCTATTCACGTTATCGGCCTTTTCATCCAAGGCGGCTCTTTGCGCTGTTGTATGACAAGTTTATCTTGCAGATGGAGCAGCCTGACGATGATGACGAAGAAGACGAAGAAGAAGAGGAAGATGGAGACGAAGGACAGTCTGACAGCGAGGATGCTGAAATGGTTGACTGCGAAGATGGCGCAAGCACCAACTCGTCCTCAGAAGACAAGTCGATTTCGACATCTCCTTCTCATTCCCCATCAACTCCCGATACTGGAGTGTCTTCTCATGATGATGGCAAAGACACCAATGATATGGACGTCGACGTCTTGATGATGCCCCCCAACGACGTCATCCTCGCCAAGAAGCGTGCTCACCCAACACTTGCACGGCTCTTCCGCTCCAAAGGCGAATTCTTCATGGCCACACGACCTCACCGCGCCGGCGAATGGTCTCAAGCCGGCGCCATGCTCACTCTGACGGGAGGACGCTCCTGGTTCTGCACTTTGCCGGAAGAAGAGTACACGACGGGAAGCCCCGATGTAGATGCCTTGGTGAAGCATGACATTGCCAAGGGCGGCGAGTGGGGAGACAGGAGGCAGGAGATTGTGTTTATCGGAGAAGGGCTAGACCATGATGGCTTGGAGGAGATGCTTGATGCGTGTTTGCTTACGGATGGGGAGTACGAGGAGTGGAAGGGAGTGATGAGGAAGGATGGGTTAGAGGAGGAAAAGAGGAGGGAGATGTTGCAGGAGTTGTTTGAGGATGGATTTCCGGATTGGAGCGGAGATGATGATGAGGAAGGGCATGAGGGACATGATCATTGAGGCGGGATGCCTTCATACATGTACTAAAAGTAGCTGCATCATTCAGACATGTGATGTCTGAGAGATTCCTTGGAACCGGAATGAAAAAAGAGTAAAAAAGGAAGTATTGCATCAAAATAGCTAGAAAAGAATGAATAACCTGAGATGCTAAGATTGATCTGATTATGCATGTTTCTCTGCATGTACAGCTGGAGACTTCCAGAATCACCCCCTGTCGTGGTCATGGGTGAGGCTGGGCGGTTGCCACCCGCCACAAACCGGCACAAACCACGCATCTTGAGGGGGCCCAAAGTCGGCACAAATAACGCAGCGCTGGGTATATATAAGACTCGCGAGGTTCATGAGAGAATGAATGTTTTTCTCTTCTTCATCACAAAGCAAATAATTCAATCTTTCTACAGCTGCTTCAAAACTACACAGTTTCAACAGTTCCTCACTTCTTCTTCTTCATCAAAACACCGACTATATCAACTTATTCACCATGTGTGGCGGAAACTGCGGCTGTTCTTCTACCTCTGCCTGTAGCTGCGGCTCCAACTGTATGTAACCTCCGCTGCCATCAGCACTCACGAAGCCACCGTCATGGGGAATTTTGCTAACTGGCGGGTTTGCGCAGGCTCTTGCTCCAGCTGCCACTAACAAGTTGAAAGACTCGGGCACATGGCTTGCATCACTTGATGCTTGAGAGAAATACGGCCACCTACGTTTACGGCACTGGCTCATTCTTTTCAAAAATATACGACGACACATCACCAAATTCAATTTATTTGTACCTAGCTGGGACACTCCATAATCAATGCACCACCACTATTAAACCATAATTATCCGTTCTTGTGCATGCTCTGTGAGTATTTTGTTCGGTGAGAGACCCAACAGGACCCTGCGTTTCTTCCCCGGATTTGGTCAGCCGTCAGCGCAGGGCCGAAGGGGGGAACTGGGGAGCCCTGTAGAGTGCAATTTCCCCTATGGAAACTGCTTGCACCGGTGAGTGGCTACATTAGTATCGAACAATAAAGTGACTACAGTTCAAGCGCGTATTACAGAACTCGTAGGAAGTGTTTACATGATTCTTCTGTTGTTGCAGCCATCTTCTTCTTTTATTTCTAATTTTCTTCTTGTATCCGTTATTATTGGGCAACGACACCGCCGTAACAAGAGTCAGCCTCACTGCATGCGCACAAGCACCTATCCATGGATGATCTCTGGGGTTCTGAAGGGCTCCATAGCATCCCCTAAAGCTACGGGGCCTCAGGCACATTATGGAGCGCTGCAAGGCACTCGCTGCCCGTCAACGCTGGCAATCAAGGTACCTGGAACGGGGCCCGAGGTTCCCCATACCCTCTGGTAGACGTATTTCCTCACCGCACATCATGTACCCAGTACTTGCACTCTCCCGCTGCCCGATTTGCATGTGATTGAAATCGATCAAGGCGTCTCACGTGGCCAACCCGCACTCATCCGTTTGCTAGCAGGAGCCCGCCCTCGGCTCTTGCCAATAGAGATGAGGATGATTGCGGCCTGCTGACCTTTTCACTCTGTTCTCTGTACTCCGTATTTGCGCTGTGAATTTCCTTCATCTTTTCTTTCTCTTTTCTTTTCTTTTCTTTATATTGCTATTACTATATTCACGTCCCCTTTCTACATACATTGCTTTTACTTGTTGTAAAAAATCCTGCTCCAAACCCTCCCCCCTGCCTGCAGCCTGACGCGGTTGCGCGACCAATGACGTTTTGGGCTGGCGGAGACGACGGACTGCCTTAGATGGCTGCCATTGTGAGTCTCGAGTTCTGAGTTCTGCTCCCTTGTTCTTGTTTGTTCTTGGTATTCGTACTCGGATATGCTTCCCGTTGCTTCCCGTTGCTTCCCTCTCTTCCTGTGTTGTTCGCTCCATCCTTTTTCTTCTGCCTTTTGTTGTTCGTCAACTTCTTTTTCCTCTCTTGTCCATGCGCACTCGCCCGTGCAAGACAGAGGATGCCCGCCGTTGGATCGACATCCCCCAACTTTATAGGGCTCGTTAGGGTGATGTCATGAAGACACGCTGCCTAGGCCCGTCTCTCGTCAGCCTTGGTCGACGCCACGATCCGAGCTCTGGCTAGATGCCTCGTTGTCGTTACGTCGTCGAGCTGCCGCGATTACAGTTTCGATATACAATTACACCTTGACAGTCCCGCGTGCTAGTGCTTGCGCCTGTTGTCGCCGCGCATCTACACGTATTCGAGCTCCAGCTCCAGCTCCAGCCGTCGCAACTCTTGCTGACCATCTGCCGCATTTCCCACTCGCAGGACCTTCCGTGGATCTCACAGCTCGGCCGGCCAATGTCTACCCGCGACGACTCGTCTCTGGGCGCCTCGCCGCCAGCCTTCGACTCTCTCGTAGCTGCTCCTCCTCCGACATACGCCTCATTCTCCCCAGTTACGCTCTCAGCCACGACACCCTCGAGGAACAGCCGTCGATCGACCGTCCTAGTTCACCAGAAGAGCCCGCTGCTCCTAGCCACACCTCCGCAGATCACGCGCGCGCTCGCCTATAGCCATCCTTTCTTACTCCCACTCAACACATTTGTCGGCCTTTTAACATGGAGCACCGGAGACCCCTGGCAGAGCTTTCTATTACTGTGCGCCTTCTGGGCGGTCGTCCTCTACGGCGATGTCGTGCTCATGCGAGCCGGCCCCATCGTTGTCTGCATGGCGCTGATAGCGGGCATGTACGGCCGGCGATATAGCCCCTTGAGCAGCAGCGGCTGGACCGAGCCAGCGCGCATTACGAAAGAAGCTTCTACCTCCAAAAAGGCCACAGCCAATGGCGGCAATCATCTGGAGGAAACTCCCAATGGGAAACAGCCTGGCCACTCTCGGGCTAGGTCGGAAATTACAAACACAAAACATCAGAAGACGTTGGACGAAATTGTCGATACACTCAAGGAGTTTACTGGCAGGTGCAATGTCCTCATGGATCCCCTTCTCGAGATGACCGACTTTCTGAGCACTCAGAGAACCCCTACCAGCGCAACCACCAGGCCAGCACTTACAGCCATGTTTATGCGCCTCCTTATAGTCACGCCGTTTTGGGTCGCTCTGACCATGTCCCCGTTCACAATCATTACTACTCGACGCGTTGTGCTGCTTGCGGGATCAATTGTCCTGACGTGGCATGCCAGAGTGATGCGAGTGTCTAGGACCATTGTTTGGAGAAGCGCAACCGTTCGCAAACTTGCTGGAGCCATCACCGGTCTCCGTTTTGAAAACCCACCGAAGCCACCGCCTAGTAAGAATGGCACAAACGGAAAGGAGTCACAGATGAGCAAGGCGACATCCCTAAGTTCTTCTAGCTTGCAAGTGAACCGTCGACGAAAAGGGTCTGCAAACGATGCTAAGAGCGCTGGCGTCAAGTTCACTTTTATCATTTACGAAAATCAGAGACGGTGGATCGGTTTGGGGTGGACGACTAATCTTTTCGCATACGAACGGCCTGCGTGGACAGATGAACACAACAACGCCGTGCCACCGAGGGACGAGTTTGAGCTTCCCGAAGTTGAGGATGGAAGTCGCATGAGATGGCGGTGGGTAGAAAGTAGCAAATGGCGGGTAGATGGTGTGAGTGAGTCTGAAGAGCAGGGTGCGGTGGACTACGATGGTCCCGATGGAAAGAATGGGTGGATATACTATGACAACAAGGTAAACAAACATTGCCTCTCCTCCCCTTAATCTCCACCAAGTTGACATTGAACTTGTAGTGGCAAAATGGCCGGCGAGGACTTGATGGATGGGGTCGGTGGACACGCCGCAGAAAATGGTATCGTGATGCCGAGTTGGTGGAGGTGGACGAATCCCAACTTCCTCATGCTCATGAATTAGACGCCACGGAATCTACGTCGCCGCCGCACACCACATCCTACAGCACCGCCAACGAAAAGATGCGAGCCGAGCCTGTGATTATCAAACCAGACGAAGACCAAGTTGCGGACGATTTGAATACAAAGATTGCGGATGATACAATCTCACTCCACTCGACAACATCATCACGGTTCTGGCCAACCCTGAGGAGACGCACTACGGACCGTTCCGGGGATAGCCTCCGCCTGGACAGTCAGAGACTGGAGAAGCGACGAAGTGGCAGCCAGAGGCCGAGGAGAACGAGCGACGTTGCTAGCGACATCGTTGGAGAGGATGACACGAGCTCGTTGAACATTTCGGTGGCACTGGAGCTGCAAAAGCAGGGCAAAGAAGGCGGGCAATGGGGGATCGGAGATGAAGCCCGCATGAGTCTGGAATGAATGGATGGATGGCGTGTGAGATATCATTGAGCCGCACCTGTGGACCAGCTCTTGCTACACAGGACAGGCTTCTGCTTGCCTATTTTTTTTTTTTTTGGAGTGTTTGTATGAGACCTTTGTAACAACAATACTGTCGTAGTAGCATTGACAAGCGGGTTTGCTGGGATTTGGGGCCGCGGCGTTGGGATAACCACATTTCTATGAAGGATAATGAATTATTGCTTGTACAAATTATACATTGTTACGCTTTGAATATTACTCTAGTTTGAAGTTGAAGTGATGCCTGGTTCTGAGCAGTGCTGGCTCAAGCAAGTGGCCAAAGGATGGGGACGTGACTATCTGGCAGTTGATTCCAGCTGGCTCGCAATTCTCTCAAAGAGGGCTCTTTGTTTGAGCGGGTGTCTATCCGATTTCGAGTTCTCTCTCTTCTTTCTCTTTGCAACAATTTTCCTTTCCCAAATTCCCTTTGTTTGTGCTTCAAGAGAGAGCACGAAAAAAAGATTCACGTCGAAAATAATGGCAGAACTCCAGCGACGGCATCAAAACTCGCCCCCTTCGACGACGACAGTTCCCACGCCTGCCCTCCCGACTTCATCGTCGTCGTCTTCTTCCTCTTCTTCTCGAACAATTACTCCTCCCGAGAATGCCCGTCCACCTCATCGCGTGTCTTCCTCTGGGACAGTACAAGTCGTGTCTCCCGTGGCGACTTCGATCACAGCTGTATCGCAGACTGAAAGTTCTGCTTGGTCGCCCGCCTCTAGACCATCTCGCATCTACGGTATTACCTCTGAGATTGGTTCTTCAACAAGTATTGCCGGGCACAATCGGTACGGCCAAGGTCAGCAGCAGCGGCGGAATCAACCGTATGTGCTGGGAGGCGTTGTTCCGCACGCGGCGAGGCAGCCGTTTTGGTGGATGGATTCGTCGGCTGTTGATTTACCACGACATGGTGATGGCGAAGGAGATGCGACTAGGGGAGGGAATGAAGTGAAGATGCAAAGAGCTGTTCTTCATACAGTGATGCATGGAGTTGTCTTGGCGTTGCAGAGCGGCGTTTCGTTGGGCGTGTTGGCTCTTTTTGTGTGGATGTCTTTGTGGAGAGACGAAGAAAGGGGTTTGAGTGATGTATCTGGTGGAATGTACGTGTGAAGCTCTCTCGACTTGTTTCCGCATAGATGAGTCAAACGTGCTAACAATCATCTAAGGCTAAACAACATGCCGTCTCTGGCGACGACATCTGTTCTTATTCTCTCATCTATTACACTTGTCGTTCATGAGATTTATGTTCTTTCTCCAGTTGTGCTGCTCTACCTCCAGGCGGCAATTCTTGCATTGACTACCGTGTCTGCAACAGGCATGTGGATGAATTGTGTGGGGGAAGACGATGCTATGCTGAAGTGCGTCTTGATCAGCTGCAGTGTCTTCTTTTTGGGAACTTCTGGACTCGCGTTTCTGAGAGCAGTTGCCATCTGGAGGATTACCAGTTCGGATGAATCTGAAGGGCTTATGCAGGTAAGGGCTGATGGGGAGATACAAGGAGAGAATTATGCAACGTTTCAGAGGCCTTGATTTTTGTAAACAGTTTTTAAGAACTGATTGAGGATAGAATCTGAGTTTGAATTCATCTTTCAGTTCCCATTAGCTTGAGAGTATATAGTCCTTCGATGTACAACGGATCATCTCTTGCTTGAGGCCGCCACTCCTCTTCGTCAATACTATATATAAACTCTCTTCAGTACATAAAACGACGCATCGTTTCCCTTCTAATCCATCGAACAGCTCTAATGAAAGTTTTGCTTATCCCATCTCTCGCAATTCGGGCAATTCATCAAAACGACAACCTTGCCATTCAACCCTTGCTCCTTGACAAACGCATCAAACTCGGCCAGAAAATCCTCGTTCGTAACCACAACCCGCTCTTCCTCCACCATTTCCCTCAACTTCGGCCTCATGGCGACAAACCACGGGTTCGCGTACTGCAAGACATCCTTCCACACTTGGTGAGGATCCTTATGCGTCGACACCCCGTAGTAGACCAGCTCTGCGTGCAAGTACGTGACGGCTCTCATCAAGTTGGCCACCTCGAAGACGCGGTTGTCGCGGAGGATTTGCAGTTCAATGTCGCGGCCTAGCTTGGTGGCCAGCATGGAGGGGTGCCAGAGGAGGGATTGGGAGATGAGCCAGTTGCTGAGATGGGTTTTGTAGGAGCCTCTGATCCAGCCGAGGTCGCTGATGGGGCGAGGCTCGGTGCTGTGTTGGAGGGATCGTTGTCGGGGCATGTTTTTTATGTTTGTGGTGATGGTTTGATGTGGTATTTGAGCTTGATTTTGGAGAAGAGGGTCTTGTAAATGTTGATGTTGGATTAGAGTGAAGAATAGAGAGGAAAGAGAAGAAGAAGAAAGGCCCATGTGTAAGAGGAGAGATCGAGCAAGGGGCTTTAGTAGGCATCCGTTTGCATTGACAATGGGCATTCAAGCATCTATTGTACAACATATGAACAAACAAGAGATGCCGATTTCCGGTTTGCCGACGTATTGCGCCAAATATCCCTGATGGAGAGATGATTAAATGATGAATCGAGAAGCTATTGTAGAGACACTTGTGTTTCCTAGCTACAGGCATGTCCGTCAAGATACATATCCTTCATCCATCGTACGTGCTACCTGCGAACAAACATTGAAAACAGTAAGAGTTGCCTTTTCTTCTCGTTATCCCCATTCAATGCCCAGAAAACACGTCGCCTATCTTGAGACCCCAATTCTCCTCATCAGCAAGCTTCCTCATCACATCTGCCAAACCGTCACAATATCCATCTACTTGTTCCGCGTTCAACTGTGCCGTATCCCACGACGCAATGAAGAAGAGATTATCTCCATCCACCATAAAGGCGCTCCAAAAGAGTCCGCTATCAATCAGATGTCAGCTAGTTTGATCGAAACCGTGTACTACACTCGCAAACGAATGCTCGTCAACTCACCAATCTGGCCAGTCGTACCGTGCCACCGGCTCCAGAGTCTCGAAATCACTGCGAAATCCTCGAGATGCTGCGACTCCCATACTCACATCCCACACGAATGCTTGTCGGAATGACGCGTCCATGGCTGCGTTGCCTTCTTCACGAAGCTCCTGTACGACCTTTTCCCATGGCACATGCTCATGGCGGCGAATCTGCTCTTGTTCAAGCATCATACGCTGAATGAATTCTACGAGCGTCTCTTCGGGCCTTGCTTCAAACATGTTTAGGATCCATTCTACAGTAGGGCCGTCAATGCTCATGGCGGGCGGGAGGCTGTTTGCTATCCAGTCTGGCACAAACGGCCATGAGCGGCCGCTTTCCCATGAGCTGAAGAGGGCGACTGATGATTTTGTCTGGATGACGTTGAATAGGACCAAGGCACATTTCGTGAACAGCGCTGGTTCCAACTTATACAAGTCACGCATTTTCGCCATGTTTGGCAGACGGACGATTCTGCTGCGGCGTGGAAACCGGAATTCGTCTGCTCGGTCTTGCCACTCACCCTTCCATATGTAATCTCTGGCGGCTTCACGTTCGGCGGCGTAGAATGAATTGTTATCGTGTCCGATCATCATTCCTGGGGAGCGTTGCTTGGGCCATAGCGCGGCTTTGTAACGTGAAATGCCTCGTAGTCGTTGAGCATGGAACGAAACGGCTCTCTGTGCCGGCAGACTATCTTGGTACTCTGCAAGAAGCCCTGCAAAGAGTCGATAAGGTGTCTGCATGGGAATTATCACGTCGGGATTGTGGATGAGTCGATCCAAATCTCGATGCCAAGGCAAGAGTGTCAAGGCATCGGCTATGGAGTGGCTGTAAGTTATGCAAAGCAGATATTGCCCCGTCTCTTTGATCTTGATAATAGCGGCACTGAACATGAACATGGGAGAGTTGGTATCTGAAGAGCTGTCTTCATAGAGATCTTTCGCCTCCTTTTCCGTTCTCACCTCGACTTCACGCACCAGCTTCTGAAAGAGATGCTGGCTGTGGCGCGCAACGATATGGTAGAGTAATCCTTGAGCACCTAGAAGGATCGTTCGTAAAAGAGGTCGGGATGCTATCCATCTCAACAGTCCATTGTAAATCTGTGAGATGGCAGCATCGTGAATTCGAAAGATGAGACGAATCCGATATGACTGTGGTCGTTGGCCGACAATCGTTCTATACATGGAGCCCCTGATGGGAATCACATCTTCGACATGGGATCCATCCAGACCAAATCTCTCAATTTGCTCTTGAGCGGCGACCAGAATATCGTATTTACTCCTATTCTCAAGCATGGGATGTTGATTGGAGCTGTAATCTTGTCCTCCTTTGCGTAGAAAACTGTAGCCTCCATCTGTCGGGTGGACTTGGACGATGTGTTTCTTTTCCATTTTAGCTTCTGTTTCAGACGGCACATCCCTAGTCATCAGAAGCTTGGCCTGTTTCTCAATCGTAGCGTTTTTAGTCAAATCTTGGAGATAGAGCTGCCTTCCAAGCACTCGCAGCACAGCGTCGCAGTATCGAAGCAGCGTGATGCTGTCGGCCATGCAAAAGATATCATCCGTCTTGCTGGGACGGACACCCACCAGCTGATCCCATATTTCCCTCAGGCGATCTTCCAACGTCGACACTGTGTCTTTCCTTTCCGTCTTGGGGGTTTTACTTTGGTTGAGTAAACGATGCTTTGAGACGATGTCGGTGAGAATGGCTCTTTTGGGCTTTCCAAGAGACGTGACTGGAATATTTTCGATGCCCAACTCCTCAAGTGTGTATACTGCATCGAGGGAGTATTGAGGCCCCAAGATTCGTGCTTTTTCCATCACTCTTGCTTTGGGTGTCCCTGAAGAGAGCTTCACAACGGCGACGGGGACCTGGCCCGCAATGTCATCTGGGACACCCACGACGAGCACCTGTATATCTCATCAGCTTGAGCCATCTCGAGATGAGTGAAAAGACCTACATGGAGAATGCCCGGAATATCAGACAGCGTAGACTCGATCTTCAGAGGATTTATATTCTCTCCTCCTCGGATGATCAAATCGTTGTAACGTCCAAGGATATAGACAACTCCCTTGTCATCAATCATGGCCTGGTCTCCCGTCCGTAACCACCGCCCCGATTTGTCATTGTAGAACCGTTCTTCCCCTTGTTCATTCTCAGCATCGCCAAAGTAATCATGTATCACCGAAGTCCCAGCAATATGGAGCTCTCCCACTTGCATTCGAGACAACACCTGTCGAGTCCCCAGAAGACAAACGCGCACCGCCGCCCCGGGAAGAACCTTTCCAACTCCAGCATGGTGTCCGTCGACCAGCATCTCATCCTGTCGAGACCAACTGACAATTGGCGCCCCTTCAGTCATCCCATAAGCCTGGATGGCATCACGCGCCCCGAGCCCCTCTCTGCAGAGACGTATGTGCTCCGGCCCAATCATGGTGCCGGACAGCGAGACAATGGACAGATTCAGGTCCCGTGAGCTCGGAAACGAGCCGTGGGACAAGAGGGCCCGCACGAGGGTCGGGGTGGCTGACATGACGGTGCACTTCTCCTGAACCAAGGCCGTGAGCGTGGCGTCAATGTGGAAAGACTTGGCCGCGAATACGACGGTACCGCCGTGTCGCCACGCACGAAGCGCGTTGTTGATGGCAAAGACATGGCACACGGGCGTGTGGACGAGCCAGCGGTCGACAAAGCTCGGGTCGGCATTGGCATCATAGTTGTTGGTCTGAGACACCAGGTTGCGGTTTGTGTGAGGGCATCCTTTGGGCTTGCCCGTCGTTCCACTCGTGAAGACGATGAGGGTGGGAGCGTTTCCGTTGGCTCGGCGCGGTCCTTGATCGTCGTCTGTGTCACCGAGTGTCTCCAGCCCCTGAAGGGCGAAATCCCGGGCCAGGAGTTGGCCGAGGCTGATCCAGCCATCCGTAGAGCCACTTCCACAGTGTATACGGAGAAGGGGATATGGAAGCTTGGATATACCTCCATCTAGAAGCACCGCGGCCTCGGTGTCCTGGACCACTACGACGCGCGGTGTAATGGACTCGAGCATCAGGCAAACGTCGTCCGTCACACGAGGGTCAACAGGGACGAAGACGGCCCCGATCTTGACGCAGGCCCAGAGCAAGAAGCCCCATTCTGCGCAGTTCCAAAGCACGGCGGCGACATGCATGCCAGCGCCGACGCCCAGCTTCTCCAGAGTGTCAGCCAGATGCTCAGCGCCGTCCCGGAGGTTTCCATACGAGCATCTGAGACAGTCCGATCGCGCAGTCGAGATTTCATCTTCCGATACGTGGCTGGCGTCTGCGGGCTGCCACAGAGAGACTATTGCATCTCTCTCGGGATGGGCGGAAGCTGTGGCGGTGAAAATATCCCAGAGCTGTTGATCGAGATCAGAGAGGGGTTCGCCGTGGATCTCTGCGATGATGGTGTCAGAGATGGTGATTTCGTCTTCCTGAGGAGCCATCTTTATCTCTTCCTCTTCTCTCAAGTATCTTGATTGAAGTTGACTGTTGGCTGTTTTGAAAGACACAAAGGATAATTTCCAGTGTTTATTGAGAAATTGATGGCGGTTCAGCAAGATATATAAGCCAGTAAATTCAATCAACACGATGAGAGCAAGGAGCTTTGTGTTGTTGGCAAATACTTCTCCATCCCCATCCTTTTATCCCGTCTACACAAGCCGTCACAGCTTCCGTCCCGTAAAGCAGATTCCTCCAGGCGCCGTGTGCCAAACACACGCGACGCAGTTTCACCTTCTCTTTTAGCCTGAGAGCCTAAGGCACATTCGATCAACCATGCAGCTGTTGGTTGATGCCCATCGTATCTCTTGTGATACAAAGGGCCGCCGTCTCCCCAATGACACGGCCGGGAAAACGCCACTTCGCCCTGGCAGCGAGCCAAATAGAAGCTCTACATGGTGTAGCACGCATTCTGAGTACCGGCAAGCAGCGTCTCCCTCCAAGACACTGGGTCCAACGCGGCGCATTGCTGAATCTCCACGGCAATGTCGGACAGGGGGGGGGGGGAGGTTGTTCACGGTAGTTGCCTGTGCCGTTGACTTTGCTTCGCACAAGGTCGAAAATAAGCTCTCTCGAGTATGATGAGTTGGTCCGGCGTTACACACATCTGGGATGTGTCTGAGACTTTAAATTCATGGGGGGGCCAGAGCCTGAAAACTGCTGACGTGCTCCGCCTCACGCTGGCAAAGTCAACTTTCGCTTGGTATCCAATCTATTTCGCTGGATTCGATCGTGTCCGGGATCAACCATGTAAGTCGATGTAAGTTGAGCAGCCTTTGTTGTTTTCGTAGCGAAGATTGACGGATGAAGTAAAGACATGATAAAATTGCGGCTTTCTCATGACATCAGAGAGTAACGGATCGAGGGCGAGCCTGAAGGAGTGAACCCGAAGGAGTGAATCCCAAGCCTTGCTCATATACAGTCTCCGGGCAAGGCATTAGCTTCGTCCAACGGCGGTGGATACAGAAACCTCCATCAACTGTGGCCCGAATACGCCAGATGGCCTCTATCGTCAGGCTTTTTTCCTTGATAAATAGTGACAACAAGTCGATCCCGAGGGGCTTCCTCCGCCAAGTAGCCCATGGCCCCAGCCCCGTGATCCTCCTTGATCTGCGAACACGACTTGTACCATGTCATTGAGACGCACCTCTGATCCTCCTCTTCCAAGTCGTGTCTCGAGTGGTTGCATATCGTAATGTCCTCATGTCGCTCATGCGAAGACAAACACCGCCCATTGGCTCCAGACGCCTGCAGCTAACCACGTCAGCGCGGTATTTCCCGGCACAAAGGAAGCTCTCGTGTCGGATATCTGCTTCCTCCACACATGTCGGTGCGCAAGGCCAGCATCCGATCGGCGTTGAGCTATCTGAGCAGCACGATCCTGTACGGTTGCGAGACATACAGCTGTCAGCATCTCTTTCATCCTATCTTGGCTCTTTTCAGAAGCAGGGGGATATGACTATTGGGTGTGACTGCATGCTGCAGAGAGGAACAGCGGTAAAGGCAGCTCCCATCGCGGGTTGACGCAAAGAGGCCACTGTCGGAGGGTCGTGTCGTTCCCAAGCTGCTGGGAACAAAACGTGTCAGAGGTTACGGTTTCGTGGTCCTGACAATCTATTATTATACTATTCCATCTTAATCAGAAACCAGCAGTTGGACGTGCTCAGTCAATGAGAGCTTCCAGCAGACCCTGGTTGATGCGCTCACAAGTTCCACAGCAGAGAACAGGAACACGAAGAAGAAACTATTGATATTATTCGGTCCTATGTATGCAAGGCATGTTGTTAGATGAATTTGTGAAACACACCTTGGCCAGACGTGCTGTGACGTTTATGAACAGGCTTAGGGCAGCCCCTTTTCCTCATGTATTGTCCGGATACCGCCAGTTAGGTACCGCCCACAGCCAGGACGAATTCCAATTACACGTCCTCCGCAGAAGCATGTGCATAGAGTAGCTGTCAGACACTGAGTAAATGGTTTGGGCATACTGTTAGCGTGCCTTGGCTTAAATGATACGGAGGCTTCATTGGGCTGGCTCAGAGATGGGAGTCGTACTCTGTTTCGTCCCAACACACCAAAGTTTTCCATGCCATGGGAGATTTAAGACTATTTATTTTGACTTGATACCTTGTGAAATACCATTAGCGATGTCTGGATTCTTCGGAAATCAATATTTAATGCTCTACTCTTTCATTCTACTCGTCGTTTCTTACATATTGCACCATGTATACAAGCGAACTCGCCAACATCAACTTTCACGAAGCAAAGGCTGCAAAGATGCGCAATCAAAAGCACCAGTCAAAGATCCTTTTATCGGATTCGACTTCATCTACGATTGTCTATTTGCAAAGCCCGTCGAAAAATACCTCGATTCTACATATAAGACGTTCCAACAGCTCGGAGCCACATACGCATACAAACGATGGACATGGGAGGCCGTCTACACGTGCGACAGCCGAAACATCAAGCATGTTCTCGCCTCGGGCTTTGACGATTTCAAGCTGCCCCGTCTGCGAGTCAATGCAATGATGGGCCTTCTCGGGAGCGGCATCTTTACGTTGAACGGATACTCGTGGTCGCATGCTCGAGGAGTCTTGCGGCCATGCTTTGCGAAGCAAAACAAGGAGAGCGTGGTCAACATGCTCGAGATGCATTTCCAGGCCCTCCTGAGGAGGATTCCCAACGACAGGGCCACGATCAATCTACAGCCACTGTTTTTCTGGCTTACCATGGACTTTGCGACAGACTTTCTCATGGGTCACTCAACGCGCGTGCTCGACCGTGCTTCGAGCCATGCGAAAGAAAAGCAGTTTGTGGACGATTACTTGACGTGCTCTACAGAGATTGTCAGAAAGATGCAACTGGGTCCGCTCCAGATGTTCTCAATCAATTTCGCTGCCATGAGAGCTCGAAGTCGCGTGTTCCGGTACATTGACGATTTCATCAACGCCTCCTTGGACAAAAAGGACGAGAGCGAGTCTACAAACATGGGCTGCAATGTCCTTCAGTGCCTCTCGGCTGTGACGACGGATCGAAAGCAGCTTAGGGATCAGATCCTCCACATCTTGGTTGCGAGTCGCGATACCACAGCCTGTTTGTTAAGCAACCTGTTTTTTGTTCTAGCCAAGAAGCCGCACATCTACGACAAGCTGAGGAGAGAAGTAATTGCTATTGCAGGCGTCGAACCTGCAACCGACAGCCAGCTGAACAACATGGAATATCTAAAGTGGTGTGTTCAAGAATGTAAGTCAAAGGCGGACAGTTTTCCGTGGCCTCGTTTGGCTAATGTCATTGAAGCTTTGCGACTCCATCCCGTGATTCCGACGAATGCTCGAGAAGCATCCAAAGATACCGTCTTACCATATGGTGGAGGCGAAGACGGCAATTCACCTCTTCTCATCAAAAAAGGAAATCTCGTCATGTACAATATATATGCTATGCATCGAGACGCTCGAATATTCGGACCCGATCCTGAAGAATTCATACCCGAGAGGTGGAATGGTTTGAGGCCAGGTTGGAATTATCTCCCTTTCAATGGCGGACCACGGATCTGCATTGGTCGTAAGTAATCCGAGGCCACCAAATAGCTTGGGCTATTCTAACGCGTCAATATAGAAAAGTTTGCCCTTTTGGAAACGTATTACCTCGTGTCAAGGATGGTGCAGACGTTTGAGACCATGAGCGCAGTTGACGATTCGGAATGGGTAGAGCTTTATGCCCTTGCCACGACATGTAAAGACGGAGTCAAAGTTAGCATAACGAGGGCTAATTGACGTCAGTTACATCCTTCTAGATTAGGCTGGCGTTCATGGTGTTTTAGACGTAAACAAATGAGGTTTCCCGTAGTATTCCTTTGTGATGAGTCTCCAAAGCTCATGATAAATTAACAACTCTCAAGTCCTTTCTATTTTACGTGACCAACAGACTCTATGCATGCTATATAATCTCATGAAGCTACAGTTATTCCAACAGACATGCGTATCTCTTCATTAGTATTTTTCATCCTCACTATCATTCCCCCATAAACTTCGTCCTTCATCCGGATCACCCCATTCCTCGTCGTCATAGAAGTCGTCGAAAACAAAAATCTCGACGTCAAGTTCGGCTTCAGAGCAATTACCTCTGATGGGGAGGACCCAGTTGACCTGCTCTGCGTCCTGGCGGCCGAATTTCCCGCAGACATGGATCGTCTTGGGCCTCCATTTGCATCCTTCTTCCGCCCTCCACTTCATCCGGACACACCACAGGTCGCCTTCTACCTTGCGGATGTGCTCCTCTTTGAACCCGTCCGTCCAGAGCTGACCCTGGATCTTCCCTTCGTGGAAAAAGACGCGCTCTGGATCCCAGACCATCGCACTATGGGCCAAGGCGATGAGTATTTGTTGCTTGTGCATCAACTCCTTGGCCTTGTCCAAGGCAGCCATATTTCTCATGCGCTCCTGGCCAATGTTGAAGAAGAAGCCATCATTGGTGTCGGGGTTTAGTAATATCTCGATCTTGCTCGATGGCTTCCGGCGGAACGATGACCGGGAGAATAGTCTGGATCGGTTTGTTCGGCGTCTGCTGGCGTCCCTTCTAGCGATCTCGCGGTTCACCATTTTCTCTACCCGCTTGAAATACCTTCTTACACGGCGCTTGCGGCGTTCGCCATCTTTGATAGCATCTTCCACCACGCCTTCGACACACTCCCTCATTTGCTCTTCTAGCTCAGCGTGGCTGTCCAAGATGTCCATGGGGCGATAGGACCTGCTCCTAGTTCCCAGTAACGCAAATGCCGTCAACTCGCAGCGGTAACTCTCGAGTGTTATGAGTACGTGGTCCATCCACTCTTTTCGGGTATCACACAAGTCGATAGGTCTGGGTTGAGCCCGAAGTCCGAACTGCTCAATCTGGTTGAGTCTCATAAAGGCTCGGATCCTCGAGTTGATCCTTGGCCATAGCGGCTTTTGATCAGGCTTGCAGAAACATGCGCCAATATCGTAAAGAAGATATTCTATACGTTTGTTGTCAGAGTACATAAACAAAGCCGAAAGGTGCCATGACACTCTATAGAAATCATGCTTACCTTCGTCCTTTTTGCTGTTTTGAGTCGATGATAGATCCAAATTGCCCACTTGTTGGATTAATTCTTCGATTGGTGCTTGGGGAGACACCTTGGGATGGGCCTTGGTCCGCTCTTTGCCCCGAAAAATATCAACAATAAAATTCAGAGCTTCTAACGATTGTTGGAAGATCCTAAGGAGAGGTGGAGGAGTTCTAGACAGTCGTGCATAGCGTAAATAGTGAGCGTATAAGAGATGTATGAGTATATAGAGGGTAGAGATGTTTTTGTTGATGCGAAGATGGAAGAGAAATAACAGGATAGGGCCGCCTATTCATGAACGACCCGCCTGGATAAAGAAGCAAAAGCCAATTCTGAGGGGAAATATCCATTATCTCACAAACTTTTACTCACTGAGCTTATACTTGATGCTCCAGCGGGCTTTCAGAAGATATGGCGACTTCTGACACCTCGAGAGAGTTTGCCCGATGACTACATGTATAAGGCATGGCTCCACCAGTATGTGAAGAAATGTATATTCAAGAAGCCCCTCATAGCCAAGTCCTCGTCGAATTTCCCAACGCAAAGAATGATGTTATGGTTGGAGACGGAAATTAGGGCTCATGTAGAATAGTATATACTACCTAATATACTGATAGGGGATGGAATCTCACAGATGTAGTTTTCTCAGGTACATATCCGAGTGGCCGGTATAACTGCCTCATTGAGCATATATTTGAATGTCTTGACCTGGCGGGTCTTTCATTTACATATAGTAGCTCAATACCCATCCATGACCCCATAGCAGATCTCATACTACAACTTTGAGGCACATTAAGGTTCAGTTAGCAACTGATATCTATAGTTGCCATGACAATCACACCTAGCTATCGAAATACACGCAGGGCCACGATGGATCGACGGGTACTAAGCTTTCTAGGTAGGTTGAAGTTACCATAGAGGGGAGCGTGTACTTCCATTGGTACATTATAGAAATTCATTACCAATTTAACGAATCCTTTTTTCACATAACAACCGTACTTATTGCAGTGGAACAGCGTTTAGTGTACCAGTATGAGTGAAGCAGAACAAGATACTATAACGCGTGGACTTCTTAAATACTCAATCCCTAATTAAATACTAAAGGTATACGTGTAAATGCTAATTTAGATTCGAGATAAGATACACAAAATAGTGAATTATGCGATGGCCCATGAAGCACTCGGGTAAAAGCTTTGCGCTGGACCACCAGTAACGCTCCCATTTTGTTCCATCTTGAACTTACTGCCCTCAAAGGTGGCACTTCCCACCTAAAGGAACTTGTGACGGTATGTGGCGTCTGCAAGGTTATAGCTGAAGTAATAATCACGATAAGACAGGAGTGTGACTTGATCTTTCATGATCGTACATAGCGAGATGGCTACCCACTATACGATAACCCGATTGTGAAGAGGTTATGGAATTTTACAGAATTTTACAGAATCTTTACTCTCCTCAGTCCTGTAAAAACAATACGGCCTGTTCTAAAAATAGCATCATACCTGCTAGACATGTTTGCTCAACGCAATGTACAGCCTCTTCTTGCTATCATTATAGAAGAGTGAACCCCGAAGGTCATTCTCGTTTTAGCCAACATCTTGATGAAACTCTGAGCTGAAGCTGGAACTGGAGGCTCAATATTGACAGATGATGGCGTCAACGTTTAGCAACCATGCTTATTCGGGGAGCAAGGGCGGCCATTGCGCGATTCCTATTTAGTCGTTGACGATGGCCAAGTCGAACACGGCTTGAGCATTTTTGGCTGTTGTTAACTTGTCGTTTTCTTTTCGGCTTTTCTCCGTCCCGGCTTGGGGTTGCCGGAGAATTTGCACGCTCTCAGTGAGTCACGGTGTTTCAACAACAGTGAGTGAAGACTGTCCCCAGCATCTGTAGACAACCCTCGGACCCTTTATTACTGCATCTCATCTCGTCCACGGCAACGTGACGGGGGCCGTTCTGGAATTGGCTAGTCTCCATCTGCAGGTGCAGTAAGTTGGTTCATGCCGGCGATTGAGTCATGCCTAAACTCGCAGATGGATGCTGTTTCTGTTCTGCTGCTGCCTGCAATACGCCTTATGAGTGCCCGTCTCCGTGATCCTTTTGTCGTATCCAACTGCGTAAAGTACATGTACATCACTAACACCGAGAGACACATGCAACCACCTAAACATATAACTCATCGTACGACCAGCTGTGTATAATGTACTCGTATAAGCCCTCATATGAAATGAAGAGGAGGAAAATTCTCACTGCCTCCAGCATCCGGATCCCGAGATCGCCTAACCCGAAAAAGCATGTCTAATGCGCCGTTACGGAGCCAAGCAGGGCAACTCATCCAATGCTGTAACTCGAAACTTTGTACTAGAACAGGAATCACATACAAGTACAAGTACAGCGAGTGACGCAGCAACCGTGGTGGGGGAGGGGGGAAACGGGACTTATTTTGCTGACCCAGAAAAAAAAATTAAGAGAGAGAAAAAAAAATTCACCATCGGGAGCCGCCGATAAGCATGTGTGAAGCGGATTTGCTGGGTTGGCGATTGCCTCTATAATATACTCCTCTTCCTCTTTCTTTTTTCTTCTTCCTCCTTTTTTTCCTCTTCCTCTTGGGCATTCTGAGTATCCCGTCTCGCTCCCGTGGTCACCCGGCCTCGTTAAAATACAACCTGTTCAATATCCGTTGCAAATTTCCTTCTTTGATACCCCTCGTCAACGAGAAAATTTAAAAAAAGAAAAAAAAAAGAAAGAAGAAAAAAATCACCGTCAAAATGGTTGAAAAGCTCTACGTTACCTACAACGACGTCCACAAGCTGTGCCAGCAGGCCGCGACCAAGATCCTCGAGGACTTCAAGCCGCAGCTCATCATCGCCATCGGCGGCGGCGGCTACGTGCCCGCGCGAATCCTGCGCTCGTTCCTCAAGCGCCCCGGCTCGCCCAACATCCCCATCCAGGCCATCGGCCTCTCGCTGTACGAGTCCCTGGGCAACGACTCCCAGGTCGAGGAGATTGGCACAAAGGTCACCCGCACGCAGTGGCTCGACCTGACCGCCCTGGGCGAGATGGAGAACCTCGTCGGCAAGCGAGTCCTGATTGTGGACGAGGTCGACGACACCCGGACGACGCTCGAGTATGCCGTCAAGGAGCTTGAGAAGGACGTCGAGCTTGCGCGCCAGAAGATCGGACCCGATGCTCCCAAGGCCGAGTTTAGCATCTTTGTTCTCCACGTGTGTTTCTCTCTCTCTCTCTCTTACTACCGAGGTTGTATGGTTTACTAACTCCCCTTTTCTAGAACAAGAACAAGGACAAAAAGGGCCAGCTGCCCGAGGACATGGTCAACAACCGATACCTGGCTGCCGTCACTTGCGGCGATGAGTGGATCAACTATCCCTGGGAGGCCATCGACATTGATGAGCACGACCGCCTTGCCGCCCTGAAGAAATAGAATCCGCTTCGTCGTTAAGCCTGCGGATATGTAAAATGAGAAATAGAGCCAAAAAATAATAATAACAAATAACGATGCCATTAATATTGCTCCTCTCTTCTCTGTTCTAAGCCTGCTCTCTTTGATGTCTATTGTAATGATACAAGATGTTTTGATTCTATACAAGATGCCACCATGCCACTCCATTTGCAATTGGTTGCCCGATTCAAAATGCCGCCCGCTAAAACTCCGACTTGAAAATCTATTCCCTTTCTTCCCTTTGTATTAATATACCTCATCTTCAGCCGCCCAATGTTCCCTCTCGCTGGTGTCGCTCCTTGAGCCGCTTCTCCTGCTTCATGAACTCGCGAATGCCAACTGGAACGTTTTGGAAGGCTTCCTCGTCCCATCTATCCTTTGTGAGCTCCCAGGCCGCATCCGATCGACCGCCATCGGCATCCATGGTACGGCCCCCAGCCTTTAATCGCGCTTTCGCTTCGGCCTTTGTCGCCGACCATTCTTCCAAGTCTTCTCGGTAGCGATCCCACACGCAGTTGACGCACCCGCTCATGCAGCAGTTGTCGGGCTCTTCCGGGCGAGGGGGGATGAGGATGCCGGCAATGTATGTAGATTTCGCCTTCTTCTTGGCAAGGCGGTCGGCTTCTTCCGCAGGGCCGAGGAGACGAGAGCCAAAGATGACGCGTGCCCTTGCTTCAGGTGTTTGTGTTTCTTCGGGTGGCAGCGTAGGGAAGGTCTTGGAGATTGCGTCTTGGGGCTTCTGAGTCGTGTCCGTGGAGGTGGAGCTAGGTGCCTTCTTAAGCGATCTCGGAGGCGAATACAGAGTAGGGTTTTCGAAAATGGCTTGGTAGTATGCTCCGAGAGGTGTTCTTTGCGGCCACTGTTCCTCCGAGGCAGCTCCAGTGACACTGGCAAAGCATCGTCGACAGCATCTCCCCTGCAACGAAGCCGCGCTCTGTCGCACAAGCCCGAGCCTCGATACGACGTTTCTTGATGACATTGATTGTGATTTGTTTCGTTATCTCTGGAGAATTGCGCTGCGGCAGAGGTGAGGCGATGCGATGCGATGCGCAAGGGCGAATTTATAAGAGCCGGCAAGAGACCGGAGGAGAGCAAGGCGATGAGCCGGAATTCGCACTTCGGCTTCGCAGAGCTTTTGTGGGGGGCAATTCGGACGTCATCGGGCAAACCGGCATTTTTTGTTCTGGAGAGCCACACGTGATGGCTTGTGTGCTAAACGGGAGCTTTCATTTTCAGTCTTGAGCCTGCATCCTTTGGTAGAGAGATGAGAAGTTTTTGATTAAGCTCTTTTCTGTAATAATCCTGTCATTAATTTATTATTGATGTAGGTAGTAACAAGTAACAGCAAGTAAAATTTAGCAACTCGCATGACCTAATTTATCGTCGAATGCGTAGAGCTGTACGAGTACTTTGTACCGAAACCAAGCGCTACCGCCTACCGCTTTGGTCCCAGCCCGCCTTGTTTAGCTGCAGCTCTCTGTGACGCGCTCCGTTCGGCCAAAAACACCAATCCCACATCGCCAAGCTGTTCATCCAGGCATCTCGCATCCTGCTTTTTTTTTTTTTTTTTTTCTTTTTTCCTTCTTTGCTCTCATTCATTTTTTCTCTAGTCCAACAATACGCCTATTTCTGCTACATGGTTTTACGACTCACCGCCCCCTGTTTCTTCAGCAATGGATGGGCCTGCGTCAAAGAGACGCCGGGTCTCACCTCGTAATTCGTCTGTCAACATTGGCAGCAGCAGCAGCAGCGACGCGACTCCAACATCCCCGGAACCTCTAAGAGCCCGCGCCAATCGCCTTGCAAACGCTGCACAGTCACACGCAGGCGTAGTACGTCCGCAGCCACAAACGTTAGATAATACACAATCTGCGCCGCCAACAGAGCTATCAAAGGAGCCGTCTGTGAGCGACCAAGGCGCACGAGAAGCTGTCGACAAATCCGCCAACGCGACGACTACGGAAGCTAGGGATCCAGCGCAGGAGGAGGGCCAAGCTACGCAGGGCCCTGGCCCATTACCCTCATCAGAACAAGCCGACAGCAGCCCGACTGGAATACCTACCAGATCGCCTTTCAAGCCGAGGCCAAGACCGTTACCGCCGCCGGCGCCCGAAGGAGACGACGAGGCGGATTCATTCTTAGGGAGGAGACAGCGAAGATCGCCAAATAGCGGCAGGCCCATTTTACACCCAGAACCCGAGTTGCCGCCATCTGCCCCCGATGCCGCCTCTTTCAAACCTCCAAAGGGCATACATAGTAGTCCGTCGCGATGGAGAGACAAACCAAGGCCGAAGAAGAGCTCACCTTTGAAGCCCTCCTCAAGCCATCCCCCCGCGAAACCCGGCAGCAAGGCCGTATTGCCGATTCACAGCTTTCAATTACCTCCAAGGGACAGCGATAGCAATCCACAAGAGGATCAGTTGCACGAAAAAGCCCATCCCGCCCGTCAAGTTGGCGTGTTTGATCCGAATAGAGACAAGAAGAAGGAAATAGAAGCTCTTGACGAAGAGATTGCAAAGTTGAAACAGGATCTGCAGATAGTAAGCAAAGAGAACGACAGAATACGGCTGATGCAGTCTTCCGGTCGTATTCTGAGTTTTGCAGACGAGGAAGAGGTGTTTGACGTGGTGCGGCGCCATCTCATCGACTCGGAGGCAAAACCTCCGCCGCCACCATCACAGCAGCTCTTGAGAGCAGCATTAAATCCTACGGCGCTGTTGCCTTTTGGGAGGACAACCTCGGTTGTTGCTACAACAGACGACCAGGTCAGCACTACAGACATCAAATCTCACCATCCCGTACGGATGACGGCAGAAGAAGAGCTGCCATATCTACAGCTATTCAGCCCGTTTGAGGTCACGTCAACCATGGCTGTCTTGCATGCGGACGGGGACCAGCCCTTGCGGCAGCGGCGTGTCATGACTTTCCGGTCAAAAGACACACCAGGGCTCTTTACGTCCAAGGTCGAGATGGTGGTGAATGCCGCCAACTCGAGCATTTTGGAACTCAAGGTGCACTCTCTCGAGCCCGCGGCGAGAGCTGAGCTGGGGCCATTTGCTGCCAAGATATGCGAGGGCGACTGCAACAGAAGCATGCAGCGCAACATAGGAATACTGTCATGGGCGATGGGGGAATGGTACCAGGCTGCAGTGCAAAGAGCACAACTATGGTCCAAACTGGATCGAGAGCTGGCTTCCAAGGGAGAGTTTTTGGAAGCCGTCGCCGAGGCGCGGAGGAAAAAGCCGTTGCGAAGAACAGCTGAGGAGATGGAAGACGATGGGGGGGAGCAATCAACATCCGCGCCACCCTTTAAGAAGGCCGAGTTGGTCCACTTCATGGGCCAGCAAGCGTTTGAGTTTAACATACCGTCGACGAAGCGGTCGGACCCTACATCGTCAGTTCGGTTGGAGTGGAAGATTGAATTTGACTGGATTGGAGAGGCGCAAAACAAGGTGACTGCCATGATTGGGGTCCCTGGCAAATGTAAGAGCTCCATTGTCTTGTATCCTCTCTGCATTTGAAACTACATGCTAACAGATCTATTACGCAGGGCGCAAAGCTGATCAACGTGGTGTGCTGGGAAAGCTTCCCAAGCTGTTTGAGGATCTGGTAGAGGGGGGGCAGGACCCATCCCTTGCGGTTAAAACCATTGTGGCATTAGTTGTAGGAGAATAGCCAAGTGTCGGAGCTGTTGAGTGACGTGATACCAAGGGGCGTCGAGTAAAGACATGTTTCAATCCTCCTTCAAGATAGATGAGCACTTGACGTGATTCCACCTCATCAATGACAAGAGTAGTACGCCTGAAGCGTGAACATTAAAAAAACACGATTGTTTTGAATCCCCAGGGTGATATTGCACACGATTATTTTTACATTTTGTTTATCCCTCGTCCAATTGCGCCACGTATACCACGACACGATTTAGTCCACGTCAACGCCCAGCTTCCTCAGGTCGACCTTGGCCAGCTCAATCTCCTCCATCAGCTCCTTGTGCGCCGCGGGGACATCGTTGAAGGTGAAGACGCCCCAGCCGAGACGAAAGAGGAGGAACGCGCCGAAGGAAATGAGGGCCCAGAAGGGGAGCTGTGTGATGTTTTGCAGATGTTAGTTTGCGTGGTTCAAGAGGAGACGAACTGGGGAGTTGGTTGGTTTTTTGGAGTAGCGACGCACCACTGGGACGATTTCTTGCTGGACGAGAGGAGGGAGAGGAATGAGCTCTAGGAAGAGAGCAAAGTAGAGCTATTTTCGAGCGACAATTAGCATAAAAGAACAGCTTCGTTGGCATCTGCACCACGATGCCAGGGGGGGATTTCGTACAGAGGAGACCAAGAGGCCAATGGAGATGGTCTGCTGCGCGCGGGTCATGATGGACGGCGTGGACGGTTTTTGTTTGGGCAGGCGAAACTGGGAGATTCCCGAACTGACTGACGAAAATCAAAAGAAAAAATGAGCGTAAAGGGTTTTTGCGACGTGTGTTGAAATGCTGGTCCCCCCTTTGCAGAGATGGAACAAAGAATGGAAGTGTCCCAGGTTGAAATTCCGCGACCGAAACGAACTAACAGCGTGGCGCCTCGGCCGAGTTTGGATTGGACCTTGGAGCTTTTTAGGCCTGGCTTTTGGCTTTAGGGGAGGCGCGTCAAGGCGGATTCGCCCTGTAAATTGTAAATTCTGGAGGCGGGTGACTAAGCAAGCAGCCTGCAGCGTCTTTTGATGGCCTCTGCTCTTCTTTGGCAGTACGAGTACGAGTTACAGCGGTCCGCACTTGCACTTGTCATGAGCAAGCAAGCAAACAGCATCGTGTCTTCCATTCTGCTCTGCTTCATGGCTATTTTGTCTTCTTTTTTTGTTTGTTTGTTGCTCGTGCAGACAGTATTTGACTTTGCAAATACTACTGTGCTGTACTGCACACACGAGCATTTCCTACTCACTAATCGAAAATAGGGCATGCAGTTAGTTGCATCTTCTCTGGCGCAGGGATAGAGCGCCCTCCATCCAGATCGCCCATCCAACCCTTCGGCTTGCCAGGATCCCTAGGATGCTATCCGTAGGCTATCCAGATTTGCCAGACGACCCTGGTATTCAGCTTTGCTCTGGCCGGCGTGGCGTCCAGTGACGGCCAGCGGCCAGCGTCGCAACACAGCAGGCCCATCCCCATCCGAGCAGAGATGCGCGCGCTGCGGTGGCCACTAGGAGACGGGCAATCAGCTCTCAAAGCTGCATCTGCTTCTCTCCCAGCCGTCCTAATCGCCGGTGCCGTCCATTCAGAGCCCCGGGCGCTAATGCAGGCCTTGCGATGTGCCGGTCGAGGGTCAGAGGTCAAAGGTCAGAGGGAGCTTCCGGCCTGGACTGGACTCCATTGATGCGACCCCTTGTGAGACAGCTTGATTCCCGATACGGGAGCAAATGACGACAGGCGCCGGCGGGGAATGTCTCACTCTGCGGCTTGCAATTCGTGGACCGGCGTGGACCAGATGTTTTCCGACCACTTTGTACTCCGTACGCGGGCCAAGAGTGACCGTGAAGCAGAGAGCAAAGACATGCCCGGGCTTTTGATGCTTGCTTGCTCTTGGTCGAAACCTGCAGACAGAGCTAGTGGCTGCTGCATGGGTGAGCTGGCACCGTGAACCAAGCACGCAGGCCGTATTTGTGATTGCGGTGGTGAATGTCTCACCACAGATCCACGGGCTTGCGGCCGGCCAATACGACTTCATCTAATTACTGCATGTATTACGCCTACTAGTATTAGTCTATAGATGGCATCTCCCCCGGGCTTTTCTTCCTTCCTCCTCCTCCTCTCCCTCCATCCTCCGTTGTGGTCCTCTACCAGTCTGTTGTTGCTTGAATTCTACAACAAGATCAATATGACGACCCCGATTCCCAAGCCACCCGGCGTGCCATTGCTCGGCAACATCTTTGACGTCAAGCCCAGCAACACGTGGGACTCGTTGAGGAAGCTCTCCGAAAAGTACGGCGAAATCTTCCAGATCAAAATCCTTGGCCAGACCATCGTCTTTGTCGCTAGTGTGGCTCTGGCCGAGGAGCTTTGCGACGAGAAGCGTTTCCGCAAGTACGTCGGCGGGCCAATTGTCGAGATCCGAGCGGCAGTTCACGATGCGCTCTTCGTGGCATATGACGATGAGGCTAGCTGGGGCATCGCTCACCGAATCATCTTCCCTACGCTGAGTCCCGACGCCGTGGGGGCTCGTTTTGGAGAGATGCGAGATCTGGCTACGGAGCTCTTGAATAATTGGAGAGGTCTTGGAGAGCAGAACAAGATCTCTCCCCTAGAGCAGCTCAACAGACTGAATCTCGAGTCCAGCACCTACACCCTCTTTGGCAAGCGGCTCAATGGACTCACGGGTCCTCCACACCCGATGCTCCAGGCGATGGAAGACTCTACATCCGAAGCCATGAAGCGCCCTACGCGGCCGGGCCTGTTCAACTGGCTGCTGTATGGCCGCAAGTTCAAGTCGTCAATCAAAGCAATGCGTGACTATGCCGCAGACATGGTCAAGTATCGCCGGGAGAATCCGACAGACCGGCAAGATGTGCTGGCCGCCATGATGAACACGCCAGATCCCGAAACGGGCAAGACCTTGACTGACTCGCAAGTCATTGACGAGATTGTCTCGATGCCCATTGGTAGCAGCACGGCGCCCTGCTTGCTCGCATACGCAATCTACATTCTTCAGAAGAACCCAGAGGCCATTGTCAAGGCTCGTGAAGAGCTAGACAGAGTCATTGGCAACGGAGAGTTTGAGCTTGAGCATCTTGAGCAGCTAGTGTACGTTCAAGGCATCATGCGCGAGTCACTCCGCCTGTCCTCGGCTGCACCAGGCTTCAACATTGAGCCACGGCCAACTGAGGGCGACAAGAGCCCCGTGCTTCTCGGCGGAGGCAAGTACGAGGTCGCACACAACCAAGCCATGATCATCGTCCTCCACGGCGTGAACCGAGATCCAGCCGTGTTTGAGGATCCGCTGGCGTTTAAGCCCGAGCGCATGGGCGGCGAGGCCTTTGACAACCTGCCCGCCGGAGCCAAGAAGTGGTTTGGCAATGGCAAGAGGGTGTGCATTGGCAGATACTATGCCTTGCAGTGGAGCTTGGTTCTTTTGGCCAAGATGATTAAGGAGTTTGACTTTGAGCTGGCGGATCCAGAGTATAAGCTGGAGATGGACGGATGGTTTAATATTCGGCCCATTGACTTTGAAGTCAAGGTGAAGCCGAGGGCTCTGTAATGTGTCATGTGTGATGGACTATATAAGGATACCAAATTGGCAAATGTCAGTATAATAAGGAAGATAGTTTGAATCAAGTCAGGACAATAATTCACTCCCCCATCAATGACTCCAAAACACCATTCTTGCCTCTCCATCCACCTATCCGTCCACTCCACGCTTTCACCTCTTCGGAATCACCTCAAACGGATCCTCCCCCTTCCTCACCGCCGAAATCAACATCTGCATCCTCCCATCCACCCTCTCATCCAGCCTCCTACACGCCTCCTCCGGCGCGATCCCATCCCTCGCGCAAATCTCCTCCACTTTGCTCACGACCTTTTGCCGCACGCCGACATAGTTGCTCGCGTACTTGATCTCGCGCAGCGTCCCCGTGCGCCAGCCCGTGGCGTATTGCCTCTCGAGGGCCTCGATCGCAGGGTTGCCCTTCTTGCCGTGCTTGTACTCGGTCCAGACGTCGAGCACCGTGCGGCCCATGCGGTGGAAGCGGAAGGGGCGGGAGGGCGGGCCGGAAGCGTAGCGGGGGAGGGTGGTGTGGCGGGGGGTTGAGTAGCGGGGGCGGGGGGATGATGATGATGGTGATGGTTTTGTTGGTGTTGTGGTGGGAGTTGATGGTGTTGTGGTGGGAGTTTGGGGGCGGCGAGGCAGAGGCGTGGGTGATGGGGATCGTGGTGGTGATGAGGAGCGTTCTGATGCGGAGGATGGCGAGCAAGGGCGGTACTCTGCGTTTGGATCCGTGGCGTTGGGGCGATGGTTGATTGCTGTCCACGCGGATCTGCGCAACATTGCCTGAAGTCGAGGTGCGCCAGCCAATATCTTGAGATGGTCATCGTCCTCGTCCTCATCTCTCTCTTGGGAAGCCCCCTGCTCTCGCGGCGTTTCCTCTGCTTGATGAACGTCAGGCCCGTCTTCAAACCGCACTCCCTTCTCCGCCATAGAAGCCTTCTTCTTCTTCATCCTCGTCTGCCTCTTCCCTCTTCTCCTCAACCCGTGATTCCCACTCACCCTCCTCTTCGGCGCTTTCCGCCCCGTGCTCCGAACAGGCTCCCTATCCACACTCGGCACCGGCGGCACCTCCATATCCACCACGCCTCTCATAGCAACATCCTCCTCTTCAACAAGCGTTGGCTCCTCCTCCTCCTCCTCCTCCTCCTCCTCAACAAGCACCGGCACATCCGCCCCCCCAACACCCCCCAACGACCCATCCCTCACACTCTGCATAAACTTATTCGCCTGCCTCAGCATCACGAAATGCATATCCAGCCTCCTCCTCATCTCCTCATTCTCCTCCCTCTCAAGCACCACATCCTCGCTCAACCCCACCAACTTCTCCACCAGCTCCTCATTCTCCTTCCTCGCAAGCCTCACCTCCTCGCTCACGCCGCCCAACTTGCCCATCAGCTCCTCCACCCCCGCCGCATAGTACTGCTGCATGTTAATCACCATCTTGGCCACCTCCATCGGCAAGTAATCCAACACGTCCACCGCCACCGCCTCCGACTCATCCACGCATTTCGCGTCATTGTCCTTTTTGTTCCTCACAATCGGCACAATGCTCTTTTTGGGCGAAATCCGCCGGTTTGCTCGCCCGGGACGCAGACCCACGCCCCGCAAATAAGTCTCGGAGCCGGGTGGGTCTCCCGGAAGCACCTTCGGAGCCGAAACCGAAGGCACCGAGCGGCGAGCTGAAGGAGCGGTGCTTCGAGTTTTGCGAGTTCGGAGAGCCAGGGGAGATTTTGGGGAGTCAGAGTAGTCATTTGGGCGGCTTAGGGTCCAATTCGCCGTCACGGCCGTCTCCTGTTGTTCCATTTCATTTGAGGCAGTCGCGTGCACCATTGTTGTGGTATCGAAGAGACGAGCATCACGGTTTCCAATCATGCAAAAGCGTCCAAGAGAGAATAGAAGGAGTAGCGGCTATTTATCGCCGTTTACACGGCTCAACCTCATTGTTTGTGGAAATGTGCTTTGATTGCTTCTATCTAAAGCCAGAATGGAGGATCAAAGAGCCTGGCGGCTTTGCTTGTCTTCCTCACGGGCCTCAGAGAGGCCCTCAACGTCGCCCCTCTACTTTCGTTGCATTCCAGTCCCAAAGGCCATGCTCTTTATTCTATCCATCAGCTCTAAAAGAAAAAATATGTGTTCATTCATCTCATCCACATCGTTGGATGCTGCATTGTTCAGCCTGGTCGACTGCAACCAGCGTCCTCCACTCAAAATGAGCCAGCCAAGACGTAATAAAAGGCGCCCGTCAAATCACAGCTCTAAAACCTGCTGTCCCACTCCCTTGTCCATGCAAATTGAAGAGAAAGAAAAATAAAATGAATAAAAAAGATAAAGATAAAGAAAACGCTCTCCTGGTATATGCGCATGCTTGGTATCTCATCCGGTCCAGACCCATACGAGAACACGAAAGAACCTGAAAGAAGTTGGAAAAAAATCAATCGGGGTATACAACGCCGAATAAATGTGATGCGCCGAAATGCAAAGGAAGAAACGATAGATGGGGTATTTTGCACAAAAAGTCCAAAAAGAAAAAAATTCAAACAGCAACGCTTTTGCGATGAATCCGGATAGAAAACCGACCCTTGCGCGAGGATGAGGCAGGGCAGCCAGATGCACACTTCTCCTCTTGATCGTCTTCCAGGTCTAGCCTGTACCGACGGACACTGCCAGTGTCGTCATCAAAGGCGACATGTCTGCCTTTGCTTGCAAAGCAGTCGGGCAGCAGATTCCTTCGAAACCAGCCCTTGACGCCCTTGCTTGCAGCATCAATAGCGGCATACTCCAGTCGACGAGTTCTATCGCTGGTCCAGTAATGGGTAGTCTGAGGCGGTAGGACAGTATTCTGGGCCTCCTGGCTTGTCTCTGTGACTTCTTCGAGGTCGGGAGCCTGGAACGGGTAGTAAGGCGTTTGGTTGGCGGCCTCGACGGTTCGAAGTTGGTACGAGACAGATGTTTGGGGTCGATGAATAGGCGGGCGGATACGGGAGCGCAACGACTGGGTTGATGAAGTACCATACGTGGACAGTCCTGTAGTACGCCGTGAGGGCTTGGGTCGAATATATGTGGCCGACGTGCGTGGCGATGAAGTGTGCGACTCGTATCCAGAATCCTTTCGTTGGACCTTGGCGATGATTGGAGACTGCTCTCTCGGGGACCTGGGGGACCTGGGAGATCGAGTGGGCTGGCGACCTCGAGTGGTTGAAGGAGGCGATGATAGCGGGTCTACCAGCTCAGCATCACGAAAGCTGTGGTAGGAGATCTCGGACATGCGTCGTGTTGAGTGCGCCATAATGGTGGGATTCTCGAGGTGTTTGCGGCCGGCGCAGTATAAGTGATGGTTGGGTGTGGTGGGTGTCAACCATATAAGTCGGCGGAGGGGTTTGTAGTTGGTTAAGGCGATGTTACAGCCAGCTTTCGGCTTATTATATATACGTCAAAGACGGGGTGGTGTGAGGACGAGACTGGAACGTGAGCACGATATGTTGGAGGTCCCTTATGTATGCCTGTACGGAGAAAAGCCCCTGGGTATTGCGAGCGACTCGAGACGAGTGCAAGACGAAATAGAAGATAATCTGTGGTTTTGGTAACCGCCCGTAAAAAGCCACACAGGATGATTATAACGCAGAGTTATAAAACAATCGCCTGTGTGTGCAACGAGAGGTCTCCCCGGCGGCGCCCAGTCCTTTTCGAATCGATGAGAGCGACAAGCGGGATTGCGACTGGCAACGGCAAACGCTTCGATTGGTCCGGTCTGTGGTGTCCGATTCAGGGCCCACGGCAGGCGGGGACAAAGAGAAGAAAAAAATGAGAGCCAAGGGGCCACTCAGTAGGGATCCGCTGCTGGTGAGCCGATCCCTGCCCCAGTATGCAGGGCCGGGGTGCTTGTCCAGGTTGTTTGTGGAGTTTGTTGGAATGGCAGTCGAATCACCAGTCGGCGGTGAGCGAATGCAAAAAACCACGGCAGCAAGGATTGGTTGGCGATGACGAGATTCAGAAATTTTGATAACCTGATATGGAGGGCGACTATCTCTTCCCATTTACTACTTGTGGGCTGCACGGCATGTATTTTATTCTCGCCTCTTTTTTTTGGTTCTTGTTTCTTTCTGACGTAAACAGCAACGATGGACAATAGATAGATCGGCTGAGGCTAGCAGTCGCTTAGAGGAGGGAGCAAAAGTTCTGTTGATGAGTCAAGGTGAAGGGCGTCGTCAAGAGGGCGTCGAGACGTCAGTTGAGTTTGGTAACCAGTCTCGTAATGGATACCTGTAGCCAAGTTGCAGTGACGCCGTCGCGTGGCTAATCGATTGGACCCAGAATCCAGAGTCCAGGAAGCTTTGGCGGTTGGGAAAGGCCCATCGCCAAGCGGCGGGAGCTGAGGTCCAGTCTGTCAAGTAGTCTTGGGTACCAAGTGGAGAGCTGTTCACCAGGCCCCTCTCGCTTCTTTTCTTTTCAGTCTTGAACGCTTAAACGACCAGAGAAGTGGATTGAACGGCGAGAGTCCGCGCAGCACGCGAGGGGCTACCAGGGCGCTATTGCGTTGAACAAGGGCCCTTTTGCAACGAAATCTTGGTTCGCCAAACAAAGAGAGAGGCGAAGGCGAGGCCCGGGGGGGCCACAGATGAATGATATACTCACGCAACTGTCAAAGGACAGCAAATTGTCGAATCAAAGAATCACAGCCGAGGGAGTGTCCGTGAACAAGGTCCGGCCATGCATGTGTCTCTGCCGTACAGTACTGGTACCTGTCATGTGCGCAGATCAGCGTTGCGAGGTCATCATGATTGTCGCTTGCATCAAAGCTTAGCCCGTACAAGTACATGCCATTTGATCTATTAAAAACCGAGCGCGCAAGGGACCACATGCCGCCACGCACCAGCAAATCAAATCACACCAAGCAGCAGAGTCAAGTCCTCCTGTGGCAGGTTTCGCGTAACTTTGCTCTTGGGCGTACTACCTTGGTCTAGTACCTTGCTTGCTGCAGGCCAAGTGGAGGCGGCGCTACAAACACATGCAACAAGCAGACGCAGTGATGGGCCCCAGCACAGAGTTGCAACTTTGTCCGTTGCAGTGTTTGCAGCATTTTGCAGCAGAGGGGTCGGGGTCATGCGCATCGCCCCCAGAAGCAGGGCGAGTCGATAGGCAGTGTGGCCGGCTAGATAATGGTGGTTGGACGATGGCTTCCGATGTCGCTACCGTGGATGCCTCTCCAGAAGCGCCATTGGCCACGCGGGTAAAAGAAAGTTGCGGGACGGGACTTGGCTTTTTTGCAAAATGGGACACCATGATCATCAGTTGCTTCTAGTCGAGGCGTAGCGGCTTCTACAGCCGATGGTGGCCACGAGGGAATCCGGAAACAAGAGTCCAGGGAGCAAATCCGCCACCATTTCTCCGGGGGGGCACAAAAGACAGAACTGACAGACAATGAGGGGCAAAGTCGCTGCTTTGGTGTTGTTCTTGGTGCTGGTGCTGGTGCTGGTGCTGGTGCTGGTGTCGGCGTTGGTGTTGGAGGTTGGTATTGAGTGAATGTCGCTGTTCAGCAGGCGTCAGTGCGTACTCGTACGAGCAGACACTGCGCTTGGGGTACTCCGTACAGCTGCTGGTATGTGCTTCTCAGCCGTGCAAGCATCATGTGGTAGCAGCGCCCTCAGCTGCAGAGGCTAGACTCGAGAGCATCACCATTCACGGTAAGCAGGGAGAGACAAACGTCGGATGCTAAATCGGGAGAAAACAGAGTTTAACATTCACATGTCATGACAAGACGCCGAAGCCACAGCAAGTCACGGTCACGGCAGCAGTAGCTCTTGCCTTGGAAGTTCCATCCGTGCTACTACTCTGTTACTGGGTAGGTAGTACTGCTACTCACACCACATTCACACTCACACAGCAGGTGCTACAGCCACACACACTTGCCACAAGCCAGAGCCAAGGTCACAGCCAAGGCCAAAGCCAAGCGAGGCAAGAGGACAAGCTTCTCGTGACTTGGCCTCCAAGACGCACCTGCCAATCGCTCGCCATGCCCCCGCGTACTGACGCTGGCACTGGTACCGGTACAAGCACAGCAGAAAGCGGTGAAACTGAGACAAGCAGCAGCCATATGGTCTGAGCCACGACGGCGCTTTCCTCGCTCTCACCAACACACGCACACTCACACTCACACGCTCATGCTTTGTTTGTCTGTCTCTGTCTCTCTTCCCCTCTTTATCCAGGCAGCTGCGTACTACTACCTCTACTAAGGTATAGTACTAAGGTACTGACCATTCAATTGCATGCTCTGGAATTGCATGTGCTTGTACCTTCTGTACCTTTTGTTCTACTAATATTCTCGGGGTTCTCCGCATGGGGTACGGCTGATGAGATCCTTAGCACTACCTCCTCTTAACTCTACTAACCTTACTCGTGTTTGCCTCTATTTGCTCCTCTATTGCTATGTGCTATTACGGCATTTTCCACGAGCAAGTTCCACACGAATTAATGAACCAAGGCAAGGTGCGGAGTTCTCGTACAGCAGGGAGGCAGAGGCAGATGAGCTGCCCGTTTGCCTGTAGGCTGCCGAGTCATTCATTTATTCTCTTTCACTCGCTCGGACGCAAAGGCAGCCCAGATGGAAGCACATCCGGCTCTAGACCATCTGCCAAGCTGCCAACCGCGTGCTCTCCCCCCGTAACAGCTCAATGAAACGCTGGGAGGACAGGCCAATCAACCTCGCAAGTACCTTTGCTCTCTGGAAACGGCGTCGAGGTACTTGCGTCTGCCAACTTGAATGACTTGCCTTAAGACCCCTCTCTCTCATATACCCTGTCCATGCTCCAACCTTGCCTCAGGCATGGGCCGTGACATGGTTCAAGGGAAAGGAAAAAAATGCAATCAGAGCACATTAGGGCACGGGCGCACAAGCAGGGTCCTCGCTGTGGCCCATTCATGCAAGGTACGAGTGCAGCGCCAGATTCCGGCTGCCCTCTTTCATTTGCCATCTGCTGGCAATTTCGACCATCAGATTCGCTTCCCTCAATGCCTCATTTCCTCCTATCCAGAAGCTTCGGTCGACCTTCTAGACGAATCTCCATCGTCGGAAAGGAGCCAGCCGGCTGGGAACAATCGTCATTGCAATCTTGCCTTCTCCTTGCCCAGCAGATGGGAATGGCGTGCTGCTGGCGGCCTTGTGCGCTGCCAGGACTCCAGGGCTCCTTTACGCATGTCGCGTATCCTGCCTAGAAGGGAATTAGCACCATGTACAATCAATCGGAGACTCGGCCCCGTCGATATCGTTCCGCAAGAGGCCTCTGGAAAGCCCTGCAGCCCGGCGAGTTTCCGTTCGGCGGCACCAACTGCGACCACTGCCGTCGTACTCGTGCCATCACGACGAGATATCGCCGTCGAGCCGTCGAAAGTTGTTGGCAGAGCTTTTGCTGTCGCGGATCCGCGCGGCCCGCCCGCTGCTAGCCAATTGCTTTCCCCAGATTGCCATGGATGGCTCCAGAGGGCGGCGGCTGCTGAGCCTATTAATTGGCGCCTCTAAGCGCTTGCTTAATGCTTTCTAGGAAGCCTTCTAGACGCCCTTTGTCTAATTCAGGATCATCTTTGGCGCCAATTCGAACCTTCGACGGTTAGGCATGGAGCAGCAATCATTTTGTCTTCTTCCCTGTTCAACTGCCATGGCAATTGACCGAGAGGGGCGTCATCTCGGCAGTAATATTTTTTTTTTGTTGAGCCCCTCTTCAACTGTGCAGAATCTGGCATCTGCCTTTATTTGCGGGTCTCGCCACTCCTTCGTATTTCGCGGGGATGGGAGAAAGGGGGCCTGTTATATCGTCTCAAGATCAACTACTACTCGTACTCGGTGCTCTGGATGACATGTCGCTTTCGAATTTCTACAATACGTATGGTTTCTCGACTATGAAGAAGGCGTACATATAAGGACGCTGCCGCATTGTCTATTCAGGTCCGTTGGCCGAGTGGGAAAAGCCAACACCAGTGATAACTCGACAGCTCCAGAGGCCGCAGAATCGTAAAGATGGTGGAGAGCTTGCTCCAAGTAGACGTGACTTTTCAGTTGATACAGTGTCTTGGCTGATGACGAAATCTAAACAAGACGTTTGAATCAAGGCTAAGCATCCTATATACCTAGCAGAGGGTGATTCGGCAGTTGACATCTTCCAACTCAGACGCGAGGACAAGGTCCAATTCTTCAATCTTGGTCTTCGCCTCTTGAATTTGATTGAAAAGGCGGCTTTCAAGTTGGCGTCTTTGACTTGCGGTAGCCGTTGCGTTGTCGGTTGGTGAAGCTGGGCGGGGAGAAATGCTGGCGAAAGGTGAGATGATCGCAGGTGAGGCAGCTGCATTTGACGAGTTTCTCGTGCCAGAACCACCAGCACGTGGCTCACGTTCACCAGCACGCAGGGGGGTGGCAATTCAATAGGAATTGGCGGGAGATGCATTCACCACCTGTGGAGAGGAGTTCGACGGAAGAGGATGGACCGCGTCACCACTCTCGCTTTTCTTGGACGGCTTGGTGAGTAGGTAATAATCGTGGTACTTGTTTATGAAGTTGGCGATATCCAAGGTATATAAATAGATATCTTAGACATGCCGTAGGCAACGATGTCGGTCTATAAGGATCATCTTACTCCTTTACAAATACCACACGTTCGACAGTAGCAACAGTTCTTGAGTGTAGTGCGGATCAATGCTTAATTGGCTTGCATCATGGTTGGCAGCCGCCCACTGATAGGTTCAAGGACAAGATATCTTTGACGGTAATACATTAAGGATTATACCAAGGTCAATTGCGTCGGATATGCCGCTTCCCAAACTGCGCTGAATACCACAGCTTGGAATTCGCCATAAGGGTTGCCAGATCAATGCCAGGTGGATTCATCCACCTCATAACAACCATCCCACTAGTGGCGGAATATCATGCTCTAGAGCCAGTGCTACTACTATTTCCTTGGTTTTCCTCACTATGGAGAACGAGAGGAAACTGTTTGGTCCCATGAGCGGGCCGCGGTGAGACCTGGTTAACATTCCGGTCAGTCCAAGACACGGAGGAATGGAAGTAACCTGCACGACTACGATTCCAAAATACGATTGGACAATTTTCCAGGATACGGAGAATTTATGATTCAAAGAAAAGACGCCTTTGTGGCCCTAAATTAGCAAAACCCTTCTATTATTGATGTCATCCATGAGGCCCAGCCGCAAGTTTGAGAGAAATGGTCTTGGAATCAGTCTCGCATTCCCCAGGCCTAACTTGCTGTTGATTCGCCACCAACCGTTGAAACAAGCTGCCGTTGCTCTCTTGGAGATCTCCCTTGCGTGTCTTCAAAAAGAAGAGTTCTAGGAATGGAATGGAATGTCGAGTGTCTCGGCAAGCACAGAATCCGTGGGGCAATGACTGGGCAACGCCTCTCTACGTCTTGCATCCCTTGGCTCTTAGACGACATGATTTTGATAGATATAAAAGACGAGATAAGATGCAATCCAAGTTGGTCCCATTCATTATCGCCAGCAGCTTCATCTCACAAATTCCATTTTCTACATATCCATCCCACAACAAAAAAATCCCACCCCATCAAACCCCCATCGTCAACCCGCCAAAATGCAGTTCAAGCTCATCTCCATCCTCGCCACCGCTCTGACGGTCCAGTCTGCCTACGCCATGTCTGCCACCCAGAAAGGTCAGGCCATGGAGCAGAGCGAGCAGAGCAAAAACGTCCACCAGCTCGAGCAGCTCGCTCACGAGATCCACGTTAAGCAATTGGCCGAGCTTCACCAGCTCGACATCGCTCTCCCGCAACTCAACGCCTCTAGCATTACTTCCACCTTGAACAGCGTGGCCAACGTGTTTGCCACCACCGGCAATGCCATCAGCAACGTCACTGCTGTTACACTTGCCCAGCAGCTCCCTGTAAGCTCCATTGTAAAGGAGTGAACAAGTGGCGTATACTTACAAGAACGGCAGAACATCATTAACAGTATCAGCGCTCTGGCTGGAAACCTGGTCACCAACGTCGCCAGCATCATCACCACCCCGGTGACTTCCACCTTTGGCCAGGCTGACCAGCTGTCCATCTACAACGCTTTCGCCACTGTACGTATCTCTCTTATCTCCTGCTAAATAGCAAGATGTCGTATAATCTAACAACCATACCAGCTCACGAAAGCCAACACGGACCTCATCAACGCCTTCGTCGGCCCCAACGGTCTCGTCTCCAACTCTCTCCTCCGTGGCCCCATCGGCGTTGTCCTCAACTTGATTGAGCGTACCGTTGTCAACCTGGCCGGCGCCATCATTGCCCGCATCCCCGCCTACGCCAACCAGGCCCAGACCCTGCTGAGCCAGATCCACGGCTCTCTGGCACTGACCATCAGCGTCTAAGCTGCATCTTCTACCAAAGCTAGAGAAATCTTTTCATTGAATGACTTTGAGGGGGTACACTGGCAGTCAGGAGTTGGGGATGCTCCTTGGCCAACGTTGGGGAGGACGAGGATCACGATGGGAATGACTGGGACGTCTCTTTCTGTCATTGTTTCAAGATAGGGCCATGTTACTTATAAATGAACAAGTACTGCAAAAAGTCAATGGCAGCTTCAAAAAAAAATACAGTGCCCACTATCAGAGTCGAACTGATCACCTTGTCATGTCAAGTAGTTACTAGTGACACGCTATACCGCTTAGCCAAGCGGGCTGTATGATTCGAAGACGGCTAAAATGAGACTATTCGGTTTTCACGATGGCCCGCCCGAGAAATACTACCAGGGCTGGTTGTCTTGTGTACATGTGGACATCGCCTCAGTAGACGGCACAGTAGGTAGTATCAATTGCTTAAGGCGGAGTTAGCAAACGATGGTCATAGTTGTTGGAATGCAGATGAGAAATACGACAGTAGCACAGTGGCCGCGTTGTTCTTTCTCGGCAAGTGAATGAACGCTTCACAGCATTCTCAACCTCCCTCGAGTCTTTAGAGAAGACTCCTTGCATGAACCATCACACCTCAGCCATAATGCGGCTGCCTTTACTCCACTTGGTTCCTTTCACAGCATTTTTAATTTCGCCCGAGGGAGAAAGTAGCCTCGATTTTTCTCTTCTAAGTGCTGTGAAAGACATCAATAAAGTAAGTGGTTACAGAGAAGTCCATATGATTGGCCTATCAACACAAATTGGAGACATGTCGGCTTCATCTCTAGGGCTTGGGGGGGGTTAAAAATGCTGTGAAGAAGTCCGTCGGTCAAAACATGGAGAATGTTCCATCTCTAGGCTTTGGGCGAAAGAGGAAATGCAGTGAAGACTAATTGCTGCATGGTAGATGCATGGATGGACACATCTCAAAGCCTTGAGGGGGGTTAAAAATGCTGTGAATTGGTGAAAATGCCGGTGAATGAGTAGCCCCTACCTAAGTACTTTGCTTCAAAATGCTATGATGCTGGCTTGATTTACATGGAGGTAGTGTGTAAAATACTAGAATTTAGCCAGTGTCTAAGTCAATCGTGTCTATTGTCTTTGGAAAACGTTGATAAGAAATTTTGGTTATAGGAATGGGAATTCAATTCTGCCACTTTGGAAGCTCATTGACACCAGCAATGCAGGGTGTGATCGATAAATTTGTCTACCTTAGTCATATAATCGAACGGTCTTTTCTGTTCTAACTGCCAGTACTAAAATCCAATCAAGGAAGGGGGGCCAATGATGCTACCCTAAAGAGGACAAATTTCTTTAACAGTCTAACGCTCACTCGCTCGCGTGGCAACAATAGGATGGCAAATTTGCATCATCATTGCATATTGTTTCTTTATATAGATACCTATTGGCAGACTGACGTATTTGCCGATGCAGGCAATTCCTTCTCGCGATAGAGGCTCAATATGATGCATCCAGAACCACTCTACTGGGCGCGAATGGGCAAGCAAGAACAGGCCAAACCACGTCTTGTAATGACCAAAAGTCCAAAAGGAAATAAACGAATAGGAAAAACCTACGTCAAACACCACGCGCAGTTCTGTGACCAACATCGCTCTACTGGAGGGAGCAGCAGCACTGCACTACTAATTACCACAGCTATTACAATCGTTACACCCGTTGGGGGGCTTGAGACCCCTCGATCGCATCAATGATCTGCTTGTAGATGGCGCCGGTTTTCACCTGTTGGCTCGCGAGTTCTCCTCTTTTACAGAGAACGAACCAGAATGTGAGTATTCGCGCCCTCACGACCTTGTAGAATGTGGTGACCTTTCAGTTTCGCACGGGTGTCTCGGGTCGAAGATGAGACTTGCGACACTCCGGCGGGAATGTGAGTGTGTGAAGCGAACCGTCTCGGCTCCGGTTCTGTGGCATACTCGTAGGTATATGGTGTCACCAGGCAAACCCAGTGCCCCTCATCGATACCAGACCTAGCCAGCCTAACGCAAAGTCAAAATGCTTCACTGTCTGGTTCGCAAATCCTAGGGATGCGCGGTACTGTATCTGTCGAGCAATCGAGCAGGGGAGCGAGCGGTAACCGGGCTGCGTACTGTTCTCTGTCAATAACGCGTCACAGGGACCTAAATCAACTAACATACAGTCACTAGACGAGAAAAATGTTGTGCATCCATGGAATCATCTCTGGAATTTGCCAGAAGAAAGAAAACCAACTAAGCTTCCTAAGTCAACGCTGTGATACAGCAATTCGGGAAGCCGTGTAAGTTGCGCAACACGAGGATAAGACCCTGCACGTACCCGATGAGCAAGTTCCAGGAATACCAAGCTCCAAACCTCGGGATTTCGCAATGCTGGCCCCTCCGCTCGTTAGGATTGGTATAAGCTTAATCATATGGTGACATTGAACCAGTCAGTTGACGCGGATCCCACTTTGCTCTCCGCATCTAGGACGAGGGTTCTCCAGGTTGTTAATTGCCGGCCGTTATTCATCATAATGAGTCCTTGCTTTTCCGAGGAAGCGGAAAAGACGGGTCGACGCCGTCACGGCCTGCTCGCTCCAGAACAGACTGTGTTTTAACAAGACATGTGGGCGCCGTCAGGGAGCTTCGCGTCGACTCTCGGATCATGGCAGTCAATTGATATAAATCCAAGGGCGGTTAGCTGCCTTTGCTCCCGGGCAAATGCTCCGGAGCCGGGTTGTGCTTGATTGAAGCGGAAGGCTTGCTTCCGCGGTCTTGATCTCGCTATAATAGGGGCAGGTTCGAGCGGGGGGCGTAGGACTGCGGTGAGCCGGAAATTGCGTGTGAGTAGCTAGCCATTGGCGATGCACGCGAGACGAAGCTTGACACGCTCTTCTACGTACTCTATGTACTGGTATGCCTCCGAATGTGACTGAGATGGGGGGTCGAAGGACTGAATGGCAAAGCGCATTCGGGAAGCAACTTACTTACTTGGCTTCCAATACGCTCTCCACGTGCGGTCGATGAATGCCGTCAAAGCGGATTCGCCACGGTACGGAACAGTTGCCTAGGCATGCAATTGAGTGCATTGGGAAACCACCTGGGGGCCTGGGCTGCTGAAGACATCGTCTTGCTCGACGATTGAGTGGCAAATCGGCAGGGAGGTGCCAGGACTTGGTTTTATTCGCGGCTGTTGATTATGATGGCGAGGGGCCGGGACAGCCGTAGCCGTAGATAGCTGGCGGCTGCAGTCACAAGGGAAAGGGGTCTGGCAACGATGTCGTTTAACCTCGAATCTCAATTGGCTTCCCCGTCGATGCTCAGGCTATATTCCGTGCTGGACTCGCGTTGAGTAACCCAGTTGGAGGCGACTTATGGGCCGATGTGACACGACACATGCAGCTTTCATCATTACCCAGAGCTGGCTCGAGAGCTTTTCAAGTAGTAGACGCCTGAAAAAATTTATATTAAACGCGGTAGGGACCAACCCACCCGGGGTTGCATTGTGGCCTGCGTTCATCCGAAGTTGATAGCCGGCAGGTACCGACAGGTAGCGCACGCGCCCAAACGGCGCTGCACGACTACCGGTGGGTACAAGGCCGGGGGGGACAAGGTTGCGATGCATTGCCATGCAAACCCCGCATTTGCGTCGACACCAGATTTGCCCATTAGGAAGCTATTCTGGCCGGCCGAGAAGCAGGACGGGGTGGATGGCCGGATGGAAGGGCAAAGGGGGCGCCTTCTGATGACGGTTGAATCGCGAACCGGGCTGGCCTGAACGCTGAGTCGAGTTTGTGCGATCAAGCGGGCGCCGCATCTGTCGTCGCATTGCATTGCATTTGCATCCTTCACCAACCCCCCCATGTCTTCCCCAGGCTTTTGCGCAGCGGCTAGCGGCTGGCACGGGAGCCCGAAGCGGCCTGGCGCCCGGAAGGGGGTTCGCAGCTTGTGGTCGATTTCTGGTCGAGATTACTCGTACTCGCGGTGGCCCTGACGGATAATGGACGATGAGATTCTGGAGCGTTGGACCTGGCTTGTTTCGTGCTAGTCCTTGGCTGTTCGCCTTAGATAATCGGCCGACCCCATGCGGAGAAATGGCTTAAAGGTGGAGGGGCCAAACAGACGAGAAAAATCCAAGCCTCTGCCCACTTTTCCTCCCTGTATTTGACCGTTGATAAATCCCCGTCTCGCCTCGAGTCTCCAGCCAGGCGTTTCCGACCGGAAGACGCGACATTGTCTGCGCGCCCTGCGTTTCTCCGATCTCCGACCAACCGTGAGCGCAGCGTGGGAAGCGGAGGCTGAGGGAGAGCCGTCGAGACTGGAACTGATAGCGATCGGCAGGCAGGCAGAGCCATGGCCAGCGCACCGCTAGGGGGAGCAGCATCAGTGGCGACAGCGACAGCAGCAGCAGCAGGTCCAGGTCAGTAAAGTTCCAGCAGCTCCAGCGCGGTTCCAGCGCAGCGCAGCGGTAGTGACCCCTATAACTAACGCCCGCGGTGGCCCGCGCTGCCACAGGCTCTACAGGCACAGGCTCAGCAGGCTCAGCGGTCGCGCTCACCACCTCGCCCGAGTCGGCCTCAACCTCCCAGCCCGGCTCACCAACGGCCTCAACACCGCCGCCTCAGCAGTCTCTTGGAGCGGCTGCAACCTCGTTCCACCACCATCCGCGAGGCCGTCTGGTGAGCAGAGCGTGCGATCGATGCCGTCGGCGCAAGGCCAAGGTCAGTCTAGCCCATCCAGCCTATTGCATTGCATTGCATCGCTTTCCCATCCCGTCCTCTCCTTTCCCTTCCATTCTTCATGTCTCGCTCGGTCCCTGGTCCCTGCTTGCTCTCTTCCTGCTCCCTCCTCTCCCTCTCTCGTTATACCTCCCGCGACACTCGCAATACGTCTGTTATGTTGGGTTGTGCATACATTGGCACCATATACATCATACGAGTGTATATGTAAAATTCGCATTCACAACTCTTCTCGACTCTGCTCTGTCTGATTCTGATGCTGCGCTACTCCTCCGTCTACTCCGTCTTACACCTTGATCCCGTCTCGTCCTTCTCCCCACTGACACCACACAAGTGCGAATACCTCAGCGCCGTCGATAGCTGCACGCACTGCCGCGATGCCCACGTGCAGTGCACTTTCGACCTGCCACTGGCCCGACGCGGTCCCAAAGCCAGGAAGAAGAGCGATCAGCCCGGCCAGCCACCTCCAGACCCGAGCTCCCTCTCCACCGGGGCTCGTGGATCCGGCCAGATGCCGCCGCCGTTGAGCTTCTCCGGCCCCGCAGCAGGTGGACTGCAGCAGCCCTTCAACTCGTCTTCGATGTCGCCCGAGACGGCGTGGGAGCCCGTCGAGCCTCTCAGCATCGAGAATGGCCTGCCACGGCAGCCGCTGGGCGACCTGCCCGGCCTCTCCACAATTCAGAACATCTCGACTCGCCAGCGGTGGCTACACCTCGCCCACGCAATGACGTTGCGCAACACGACGCTAGAACGGGTCTCGAAGCGATGTATCGACCTCTTCTTCGACTACCTCTATCCTCTCACCCCCCTGGTGTACGAGCCTGCCCTCCGGGACGTCCTTGCATACATCTTCTCGCAGCCCTTGCCCGGCATGAACCAACCATCGCCGCTGTCGCAGCTCACGCCGGACGCGACCACTGGCACCACCCCCATCAGTTCTGCCGAGTCGTGGACGGGCTTCGGCCAGCCCAGCGGCTCCAGGATCGTTGGCAGCAGGCTGGCTCCTTGGGTCGACTCGACCTTCACCCTGGTCACGGCCGTCTGCGCAGAGGCGGCATTCATGCTACCCAAGGACATTTTCCCCGAAGGAGAATCCGTCTCGGAAATCTTTCTCGAGGCCTCTCGCGACTGCCTTCACCAGCATCTCGAGGCCGACCTGGAGAATCCGACGGCCAACTCGATTGCCATCCGCTACTTCCACTCCAACTGCCTCCACGCCGCGGGGAAGCCGAAGTATTCGTGGCACATCTTTGGCGAGGCCATCCGCCTGGCCCAGGTCATGCACCTCCACGAGGAGGCTTCGCTCGAGGGGCTCGTCCCCATCGAGGCAGAGTTCCGGCGCCGTTGCTTCTGGATCTTGTATCTGGGCGACAAGTCGGCCGCCATACTCAATAACCGTCCCATCACCATCCACAAGTACTGTTTCGACACGGGCATCACTACCCTTTACCCGTCGGGCATCGAGGATGAGTTTCTGAACACGGCCTCGGAGCCGCCCAGAAAAAGCTTTATTTCCGGGTTCAACGCAAACGTGCGGCTGTGGCAGTCGGCCGCCGATCTGCTGCTGGAAATCCGAGTGCTTCAGGACCAGATGATGCAGCATTTTAGGGGCAGCATGCCCCCCAACCACGTTCTGCCATCTGCCGACAGGCAGCACCTCGACTCCCTCTATGTCAGATTCATCACCTGCTTGGACGACCTCCCGCCGTACCTCCAGTCATGCACGCTGGCCATGGCAGCAATGGCCGAGGGCAACGGGTCGGCCGAGTCCAAGCAGTACGTGATCCAATGCATTAACCTGCAGGTGACGTTTCACTGTCTGCGCATGGTGATTACGCAGAAGTTTGAAGATCTCTCTTATTTTGCTCCTGGCGTTGAGCAGGCCGATTTGAGGAAGTCGGAGATTGTACGAGACATGTTGAGAGTGATGAACGAAGCGCCCTTTTGGGGCCTCCAGGCCAACGGCGAGCCAAACGTGAGTCTTTTTTTTTCCCCTCTCTCAATCCTTCTACCGTTTCCCTTATCACCCTGCGGATATTTATATTTTACACTTCGGCACTTGTTTTTGCTGACCACTTCCTATCTTGATACCGCAGGTGGAAAAGATTCGCCTTATCGGAGCTAGTTTGTTAGCCATTATCCATCGGAACCAGGATTCACCCCTGGCGACGCGAGCTAGGAGCGACTTTACGGTGCTCTTGGATATTCTCACGCGGCTGGACTCCAAGGCCTCGGATCAGCTTAGGAACACGTCTAATACCGTTGTTGGCTAAATGTGCGGAATGGAACAGAGCAAAGAAGAAGAAAATTTGTAACTTTGTAAATATGGCAGGGATTCCCTATTCTTCCTCCCCCTCCCCCCGTTCAGCGAGTTGGGTATGTTCAGTGTTTTGCAAGGGGGGGCAAAAGGCGTTTTTTTCGCATGGGTGTAATTTTACGTATGGAGCCATTTTATCTTTGTGTATAGGTACTACTACTACTACTACTACTACTACTACTATTTTCCATTTGCATTAATGAGATTAACCAAGATCTCCCGTCTTCGTTTCGATTTCATTTCAGCCCTGATGATTTTCACTCCGTGGTGAGTCCAGGGTGACTGGGTTACATGCAGCTTCCCTTGTGAGACAAATAAGCGAAGGGGGAAGGATTGGGATAAAAAAAAAAAGAGAGGTGAGCACAAAGAGGAATGTGAGTGATCGGGGAAATGCTGAGACATTCGGAGAAACATGGACGCAACGTTGTTTGAACCTGGGCTTTACGATTTCTCCGCTCCCTGCACATGGTATTCACGTAGTCAAGGCATATAACGGTTCTTCTTATCGAGGACAGAGAGTTGAAGGCATAAAAAAAGTTACGGACCCCATGTCTCATTTTGCTTTTTTCTGTTTTGAAATGGCTGAGTAGCATTGCATTTTGGATGATATATATGGCTAAACTTGGGGGCTACCGCTTATATACTTGCGTGCTTTGCTTGCTTGTTCAAGGAAAGAAGGGTGAAACGCAAGCACGAAAAAAGGCAAAATTCAGAAAAAAAGGGGGGGGGGTGAACAAGGGGGGAGGGTAAAAAAAGAAAAAAGAAGCATAAAGGCTATTCTTTCAAGCGGCGACTTTAACCCGCTGCCTGTCTGCAAACATGTCCTTGAGCACAAGGGCCGACTTCTTGGGCGTGCGCTTGAGGGTGGTGTAGTCTGTGTAGGTGACGCCGAAGCGGGGCCCGTAGCCGTCTGACCATTCTGTTTTGTCAAGGTATGAGCGGTTAGTTTGGATCAATATGTGATGGGGAGCTGAGAAGAGGGGGAAGGGTGAAGAGGGTGTTGTGTTGTGTTACGTACCCAGGTTATCGAGCAGAGCCCAGGCAAAGTAGCCCTTGACGACGACGCCGTCTTGGCTGATGGCCTTTGAGATGGAATCCAGGTGCGAGTCAAAGTACTGGATGCGGAAGGGGTCGTTGATGGCCTCCTCGCACGTCATCTTGTCCTCGCCGGGGCACGGGCAGCCGTTCTCGGTGATGTAGATGGGCTTGCCGTACAGGCCGTGGACTCTGGCGAGGTGCTTTCGGAACATGTCCGGGCAGGAGCGCAGCCAGAAGATGCCGCTCTCTTCGCCGACGGGGCTGCCGTCCTTGTTCTCCTGGTGCTCGTGGATGGCGCCGAGGAAGTCCGTCTTGGGGACGGGGCCTTCGCGGTGGCGGGCGAACTGAGAGGTGTAGTAGTTCATGCCGTAGAAGTCAGTCTCTCCGGCGTTGAGAATGGCAAAATCGGCGGGAGTGAGAGCGGGGAGCCTGTCGCCCAGCTGCTTTCTCATGGAAGCAGGGTAGTCCCTTTTCAAGCTGTTGTGCACGATGATTAGTATGTTGAGTGTCTCCAACGGATAGACAGGTCCCAGTAGGTAGGAACTTACAAGATTGGATTCGCATACCACCCGATGTGGAATTCCATGCGTCGCTCCGCAGCCTCCTTGTCTCTGGGATCGCTGCTGTCCCAGGGCTCATAGTAGTCGCCGTTGAGCGAGATGCCGATCTGCCCCTTTTGAGAAGCGCGAAAGTCTTTGCTGTAGACGGCCACGGCGCGAGCGTGGCTCATGATCTGGGCTTTTCCAGCCAGCCATGGCTCAGTGGTTGTGTCGCCCTCGGTGGAGTGCTTGTTTATGCTGCTCCTGCCGGGAGCGTTGCTGCCGGTGGCATAGCCCTGCGCCGTTGATTAGTATTTGATGGTTGTATTTTGATACACGAGAAAAGAGAGATGGGGTCTGAACCCCCAGTCAAGACTCACATAGATGGACTGGATCCACGGCTCGTTGATGGTGATCCAGTTCTTGACCCGGTCTCCAAAGCGCTCAAAGCACAACCTCGCATATCTCTCAAAGTCCAGCTGGACCTCTTCCACGTTCAACCAGCCTCCATACCTGTCGTGAAGCGCCTGGGGAAGATCCCAGTGATATAGAGTCACCCAAGGGGTAACTCCCCGCTTCAACAAGGCATCGATCAGATCGCTGTAGAACTGGATGCCCTCCTCGTTGACGGGATCAAGCCTGCCACCAAGAGGAATGATGCGCGACCACGACAGCGAGAAGCGGTAGGCCTTGGCGCCGTACTTGGTCAAGAGATCAAAGTCTTCATCGTAGCGGTGATAGTGATCGCAGGCAACATCGCCGTTGGCGCCGTTGGTGCGAGAGGGCTCCAAGTGACAGTAGGTGTCCCAGATGGACGGCCCACGGCCCCCTTCCTTTACAGCCCCTTCGATCTGGTAGGCGGCCGTAGCGAAGCCCCATTCGAAATCGTTGGGCAGAGATAGCGACTCGGACATTTTGGCTTATCTTTTTTATTTTTTTATTTTCTGCTGCTCGTGTGTCCTTGGGCTGATCCTTTGTTGCTTGTGTTTGTTGCGAGGTGCGTCTGCGTCTGCTCGTCAAAGGACGGTAGGAATAATAGGTAGCTCAACTCAGGCTAATCATGTACATGTACGAGTACGAGAACAAGTAGGTAGATTGAGAAAGCCCGTTATTGAAACGGACCGACCCGATGAGGCTTCGTGGTTCGCGTCAGGTTCAGGGGGGACAGCTTTATACCCACACATGAGCGGTTTGCTCTGCTTCTTCCTGATCCTCCCTTCTCTTGGCCGTGTGGAGACGGGACCATTCACATTGCCATTGTCCGCTTCGATTGCTCCGTCGAGAACGGTTCCAGTTAGTCGTCCGTTGTGACGCCCGTCTCGTCTCGAGGCTCGCGCCGCTTCCCCGGACCGGACACGTGTGGGAGCAACAGCTGGGGGAAGCCCACGAGGCAATCAGCAGTGTGCAGTTTGCAATTTTGCCCCCAGAGCTGCCCGATACCCCGTGCCATTGAAACGGAGCTGCCCCAATGGGGAAATAAGGATGAGCATCTTACTCACGGCTCGCCGCCTTGATTGGCTGTGCGGGTTTGGCCGGCCTTTGTCGAATTATCCGCCTCTTGGAAAGCCTCTCCAGCTAGCCGTTTGGTCGCTCCGCGGATCCTGATTTCTCCGAATCGCCGATTTAGATTCGATCTGTCCCCCCCGTGGGGAAGCGACTTTGGCCCTGGACGCGCGCTTACTTAATTGCCCTGCATTGCTAGCCTTTATCATCTCGTGTTACCCATTTCGACCATCTTCATCCGTCATCTCACGAGATGCTTCGAGATGGAGAGAGAATGGAACGCTTCTGGGTTGCATCTACAGCTGGCACTCGCTCGTGGCTGCTCGCCTTGACCGAGAATGGCTGACCTGTTGACTAAGCAAGGCCACCGGCGCATTTTTTTTGCGCTCGGTGAACCTTCTTTTGCGCAATGGCGTGGCGTGACAAAACAGCAGCTGAAGAGCTGAACAGATGAGCCAGATCCGGGCGCTGTCTGCCGCAACTTTTGGCCTCTGCCTCTGCCTCTGCCTCTGCCTCTACACATCGTCGTCGAGGGATAAGAGGCTGGATTATGGCTCCTGCTGCGGCACGCACGGCTGACGGTATTTCATCGCCAATTGACTTGGCATCATATCCCCCGTTTTGGCGGCGCAAGAATGGCATCCTGCTGTATTTCCTACTCACGTCATCGCTGCTCGCCAGCGCCGCGCTCGGCATTGACGGGGTGAGTTTTGTCTCCTCTGCTTTATTGTTTGAGCTTCTCCCAATCAACCAGGACTAATTATAGGAAATCGTCGCAGTCAATGACCAACGGAATGCAAGTTCTCCCGACATGGCAGGATCGATTTGGACATCCCCGAGGCTCAACCCTGGGCTTGTTCGGTGCATCGAGCGCCATTGGCGGCGTTATTCCATTCATATGCCTTGGCTGGATCAGCGATAGATGCGGACGCCGGGTTCCGACTGCACTCGGCTCAATTGTCATCATCGCAGGTGTCCTGGTAGAATTCTTCGCTACGTCGCTTGACATGTATATCGGAGGCAAGATTGTGCTAGGTTTTGGCTCTTCGCTGATCCAGATGGGCGCCCCAGTGCTGGTGACGGAATTGAGCCATCCGAAGGAACGAGTTCAAATCACCACTTTTTACAATACGTCAATCGTGCTGGGATACGTCATTGGCGCATGGGCGACTTATGGCTGCTTCCGTATCCCAGGACCATGGTCATGGAGACTACCGACGCTGATCCAAATTATCCCCTCGACCTACCAGCTCAGTCTCATCTTCTTTTGTCCGGAATCGCCTCGATGGCTGATTGCCAAGGGTCGGATGAGGGAGGCGCGCGAGATTCTGGTCAAATACCATGGCGAATGCGACCCAACCGCCGAGGTCGTCAGTGTTGAATGCGCAGAGATTGAACGGGTCCTTGCCAAGGAAGCACAACAGAACATGACATGGGTGGCCTTTTTCTCATCAATACCCAATTTGAAAAGGCTATCACTATGCTTCGCAACCGCCGTCTTCAGCCAGAGCTCGGGAAATCTGCTCGTATCAAACTATCTGACACAAATCCTAAAAGACACTGGAGTCACGTCTGAAAAGGATATCACTCTTGTCAACGGCATGGTGACACTCTGGCAGTACATCGTGGCGCTCGCCGTTACAGTCTGTATCAACAAGTTTAAACGACGCACTTTCTTTCTAATCGGCTCTGGGGGTGTCTCGCTCACTTTTATTGCTTGGACGATTGGGGCCGAGGAATATCTTGAGCACGGTTCTCTCGCTGCTGGCCGGCTGGTCCTTGCATGCATCTTCATCTTCCAGGCGTTCTACACTATGGCCTGGACTAATCTGGTGGTAACATACCCCCTGGAGGTAGTTACATACCAAATGCGGGCCAAGACGTGGGCTTTTGTCCTGCTTACAATCCAGGTGGCCACCATCTTTGGGAACTACGTGAATCCGATTGCGTTGCAAAACATTGGGTGGAAGATTTACATTTATTATTGCATCTGGGTGGCGTTTATCTTCATCATTGTATACTTCTTCTTCGTCGAAACCTCGGGACCGACATTGGAAGAGCTGGCATATCTTTTCGACGGAGACGAGAAGAAGAAGCGACTATCAGTCGAAACACGACGGCAGAAAGACGTGGAGATTCGCACGCAAACGGAATCGGTTTCCGGTGCGTCTGTATAAAAACAAGTCGAAAACTGAATTGCATTGGGTATATCACGACATGTCGGCGAAACTGGACGCCGGAACAATGTAAAAAAAAGAGCATGATAGAATGGGTATTGGCGTTGGGAATTGGGCGGCATGGGGAATGCATTTTTGCGATAGATACCTTGGTCGTTGAGCTTGAAATTGACATTACTCTACCACGTGGGAGCACCGCTTATTGAAACACCACTTTGTTGACGCAACATGAAGCATCACTCGCATGAACTCATTAGGTAAAGCCGCTGCAGCTGTTTTCTTGCTAACAGGGGTCAAGCAGGCAACAGCCGATCCTTCTTCTTCAATCTCCACAACAGCGAGGTCTTGAGTCGAGCCTCTGGACGTGAGCGAATCAAGTGACTAGCGACTCGGAGGCATCTGGCCAGTCTCTCGAAAATGGCTCAAAAATGCCCCCCAAGTCGGTCCATTTGCTGCGTGACACGAGATGTGAGTCTCCCAAGACGGACGGCTCCGCTTGAAAGTGGTTGGCTGGTTGAGTATACCAAGAAAGGCGAGGTGTTGCAACGGAATCCCGAATGTGACTCTATTCAGGTGGCGCAGAAACGGGCCACCAGCGGCAGTCTGCAGACACTGTAGCTTGGAAGAGACTTTGCTTGCGCTGTTTCGTGTTTCGCAAAGCACACGGGCCGGCATCAGCTTTGCGCCAAATGCCGGGACACGAAGCGTCGATAGCCGATGGCTTGTTCAATTGCCGTCGACTAACTGAGCTATGGGAAGCACCAGAACCGTTTGCGTGAGAGAATGGGGCCAAAAAAAGCCCGAGAGCTTGTCTGGTGTGGTGCAGTGGGGGATTTAGCTTGCAACAAAGTGTCCGGATGAAGATATATCCAGCTTGCAAGAGGACGAGGACATGATTCAAGCAACTTGGCGCCAGCGGGAGGAGGCGAGGGAGACGGGAGCTTTGTACGGCCTCAACTTCTTGACGAGGCTGACGGGGTGTGTGCCAACCAAGCAAGGGAAATGACGTGTCAAACAATGAGAGCGAGGTCGGCTTGTGGTTTGATGTGATGGGCACTAACTGAGCAGGACCGAGATCTGCTCCTAGCCGGTTGATTTTGTTGTTTTCTAGAACAAGGTGGCGTCCCAGCTAGAACCCTGGCGATGGTGCATTGCATACAGGAACCTGCTTTGATGGCGCGGTCCGGCTCTTGCTGGGCTTTTATTCCGCCGAACCAAGAGTGTCAATCCTATCTATTCACGACGAGAGCCATGCCATCACCAGCGGAGATATCGGCAGCGAAAGAATATGCAACGCAACCAAATGCCGTAACAGACGTTGCCGGAATTGCATCTGTTTCTTATCTCTCTCCCACCCCCCC